ATCTTTACGCAAAATCTTCCACGTAGTGGACGCTGTAAGGCCCAATTCTTGACCGCGGTGCCGAATTGAGACATTCGGATCTTCGGTGACACTCTCGTTCACAGTTCGTATGGTTTCATCGGTACGCACTGAACGAGCGTAGGAAATACGCGGCACGTCACACAAAGAAAACGTCTCGTCGAACTAATATTGGCTTCGGTTGGCCGTAAATTGGTATCAAATCACGGTACGTTTGGCGAATTGATTTGCCATTTTTGATGTAATATTCCAAAATTTGGCGACGTTCTGGGAGCGAAAGGTGATTCATGTTGATAACTTCAATATTTTCTGTGTCAGAAAAAACCAAGATGGCCGCCATCTGTCAATTCCTTCTCTGTCAAATCCCTATCGGAAAATAGATTGCTCAAAAAAAAACACACAGTAGTTTACATTATGGTTGTGATTTCAAAACCAATTATTGCCGTTTCATTCTAATTGGAGATTTCAAAACTTAAAGCGTTTAAGTTTTTTTTTTTTCACATTTCAGGAATAATTTTTTTTTTTAACTAAAGTAGGAAGCAAACGAGCAGGCGAGCATCTTGATGAGAGGTGGTCATCGTTGCCCATGAACATTTCCAACACCAGAGGACCTGTCTATGCGTCACAAGCCTGTTGACTCGCTTTTTGAAGAACCCCATGTCATAACGCAAAAGAAATACTTCAATAGTGATACACAAGAAGGAACGAATGTGATGATAAACATAAATTAATCATGCCTGCCTTCCAGAATAGCAGAGACTTAGGACGTTCACTAGGTATACACGAGATCTGAGACTTATTAAATTCATCCGCAAACGCCATGCCCATGTGGCATTATTAAAAAAAAAGTTACATACATCATATTACATATCCATGGAACCAGTGAGAGTCAGTAGAGACTGATGGGAGTTGGATATTGATTATTGACTATGGGCACATGCCCATACAACAATAATAATCTTCATACATATGAAGATTATTATTATTGGTACTTATATCATATATATTATATTATATTATTGGTACTTTTAACCGGACCTTTATTAAGAGTCAACACTACCTCAGTTCGAATTCAAATTTTTCCCGTGCTAATACGGTTCATTTTGCTTTCATCGAACGGCAGGGACACTGGCTTTATTTCAGAATTAATTAATTTTACAAACGAAATTAAGTCATTTGAAAAATGTATATCGTATACTAGAAGTATTCTGTTTAGTTCAGTAGATATAAAAAAAATCATTGTATTCGCAAAGCACCTATTGAATACAGCGGTTTTCCTGTAAAACTTCGAGGTAATTTTGTGTTTTCTTTTTATCGTGAAAATTTTTAGGAAGCGTCTTTTCACACCGTATAGTAAACAGTGTCATCATCAAACTTAAGAGTTATATATACTCTTGTCGGTGGAGCCTCTTCTAGTCCTCTCTCCTACAAGCCAGTTCCTTGACCTCCTTATACGACACGACACCGGCCTTTTCCTTTATTTGGTCTATGTAACTGCGCCTAAGTCCTCTTCCCATCTTCCTCTCGATCTTTCATATAGTATTCAGGATCGATCTTTTCTCGTTTACTATTCTCAATACTTCCTCGTTGGTTTTCTTTTCTATCCAACTTATACCCTTCATCCTCCTCCAGCACCACGTCTCAAAAGCTTCTATCATTCCCAAACAGTGTAATCAGCGTATATCCTCAATTTTACTATATATTTTTTCCAAAATGATTGATTCAACACTGTCACTGTTATGCGGAATCAACCAAAGCCATTTGAGGTTATATAGACTCTTAAGGGCATCCCCAATCTGATCTAGAGATATGCATAATACGCCGAGGTCTATTTCCACCTGCAGCCCCCATTCACATTCGCTCTATAAATTTGTGCCGTTAATCTATAAACATTCTTTACTGCCTCCGTGACCGAACGGTTACCATGCCTTGACTGCCACGCAGAGGTCCCAGGTTCGATTCCCGGGCCGGGAGAAATATTTGTATGGCCATTTTGCAATTATTTCTCTCGTGAGTTTGGGTGTAATTTGTGGTTGTCTATGTGTGTGTCCATGGCACCCGCGACACAGGGTTTCCCTAGTGCGGGGCTATGTTGAGTGTGTGCGTTATTATTATTATTCTTTATACACTTCTTTACATTCTTGACACATCAACAGATTGAACTAGGTGTGACTTTTTTAGTATTTTTGAATGTCTAATGTTTGGCCGGACACTGAAACTATACTAATTTTGTTACATGTCAACTTCAATACAACCTGTGTTTTCACAAACAAATGTATTATGATCTTTGTTGTATGTTTGACTGTCTGTGTATTCGATCAAAAAACTACGTTTTCATGGCATGCCGAAAAGTCAGTACAAAGATTTGTAACAAAAATACATAGGAAAATTTCGACGACTCGGTAACTGGACCCGTGGTTCAGTTGTTAAAGCAATGCTACGGTGCAGTATGGATGTCGATTAAAGTCCCACCGGGTCGACGAAGTTTTTCTGTGTATTCGATCTTAGTCATAACAAAACCAGTGGAGTTATTTCACAAAAAATCTCAATAAATAATTTTCATTGCTTTTCAATATATAAAAGCGCCCATATCAGGTTATTTGGTATGGCAGAATTTTTCGCACGGCCGTGTTAATTATATTTAACGCGTTCTTAACGCTCAAGGTTATAGAAAACAGCTGATATGGCTGGGTTTTTTCTATTTTAAATCCAGCTGCGCTCAGTTTATGGAAACCGTAAATAGATCATCAGGTCTTTGGCTTCGTACGGTAGTATGGAATTAATATTCTCGCAAATTGTCTCTGGCATTTGTATGCTACGAAAATTATTGTGTTCGCGCATGAGTCCAAATACTGTAAAATGATGGAATTGAGAATTACACGAATTGAAAATTTTAATAAGTACTGACTCAATCTTATTACGAATAACGGAATTATTTTTATTTGATACATAATAAGTAGTTATCCACTAATAAAGAGAATATAAATTTATTGGTTCCTTTCAGAAGTTTTTTGAACTTACAAATCGTTTTTTCTCAATTTCTTGATTTTTGTATTATGACAATATTTGGGTTCATGAGCGACTTATCGACGCGGAATTAATTTGAGCCGGCCAGAAAATAAAATTTGTCTCCATGCAATAAGAGCGAAGACATTCCACGTTTCGTTTCCGCTCAGGCCGGTTTAATGCGATACCGTGTTGACAAATTGTGGGTTGTGACTCCCTATTTTACTGTCACACACAATTCAATAAGCTGTCCTAATACAGTTTTCTTAACGCGACAGCTTTTTACTACGTTGCCGAATATAGTGTCGCTAGATGGCGCCATAAAATACATTAAGCGTTTCTCAGTGGGATTACTCTCAACATGTATGTTGTCATAATTATTAATACAAAGATTGTATTGTTGATTGTTGTGATGTATGTTGTCGTTGTCACAAAACAACGCTTCACCTGCATACGCGAACCTGCAGTTGTGTAATGTACAGTCAAGAGCACATCAATCTTGACACTGTACTTTGGACCGTTCTTATCATAAGCGGCATAGAGTTTGATTTAAGTCTCAAGTGTCAAGCTTGACGTGCTCTTGACCCAGTACATAAATTCTTGTGAATATATCTGTACTTTTGTCTACTGCCCATTAATTTCTTTAGTATACTCTAAGATTATGGTTACAACTGTTATTCTCCAATAGCCTCGTCAAAGCGTTCTTAATCTAAAGAATTTGTTAAAGTTGCCAATAGAATACATGCCAACGTAATGCCATCAACGTACACAAAAATAAACTATAAATTTACTTACAAAGATTTATTTTCGCAAACTAGTTTCGACACAAAGATGAACGACTTATAACACACCAAAGATTAAATGATAATGGCCTAGAACTTCCAAATCTATCTCCTTTTAAATCTGATACAATTGGTAATCATAACAGGCTAATAACCATAGCTAGATAGTTAATGTACAAAGGTTCAATTTCTATCATTGATTGCCTTTGACTATTGTCGACTCTGGTAATAAACACTCTATTACCATATTTTACGACAATCAGTCACGTGAACAGTGTACTATTTTTATTGATTACCATAAGTGGTTGATGACATTGTTGACCAGTAATATAAAATGTTTAAAAAAGTATGACAAAAGTTTGTGAACACTGACATTTTATTTCTTCGATTTACGTATCTACTAGTAAAATTTTCCATCCTTCGGGACAGGAGGTATCATGGTCAGACTGCCAGATCTTCGGTTGTAATTTTTCTTCAATAATTTTATTTTCCGACATCTTTTCGCGGGAAATCGTATCGTGTATACTTGTTTTTTTTTTAAATTTATTTCATGGCTTTGAATTCAAGTGATTTCGGTCGAAATATTAGAGATAATAAACACAGAAAATAATATAAAAGAGTAATAGCATTGTACTAAAACAAAATAATTAAAATTTTGTTCTTCTTTTGTTTATGGCGTTGAATAAAAAACATTTGTATAATAATTCAACATAATGCTCGCCATACAAAACACTGTTACCAGCGATAAAACATCAGAAATGAGTAGTTTGATTGTGCGAGTTTTAAGTACATAGTGCAAACTGTTTTAATTTGTTTGATAAGCTCGTTCTACGTCTTTAAACGACGCGAATCGGCATTTGACATCAATGGTCATGTTGTGCATAGACTATAGTCTTATGGAGGAATTTGAAAATACCGCAATATGGCGAGGGTCCAAAAGTACCAACCAGCCTTCACATACTATTTCATACTTATGACTAAAGAAAAAAAACTTAATTCGATTAAAAACTAAAACAAGACGCTTCACGCACTATGTGGACAAGATATTCCTTAGAAGCAATACTAGAGTACATTAAGGAGTTTTAACTAAAAATCAAAGTAATAAACGGATTAAGAGCTCATAAAATAATTATAGTAGTATAATAGAAATAATCCGCAACATAGTCCAATACATATTGAAGATTTTAATTTAGCTCATTTAGAAGTCTGAATTTTCTCTAAAAGCATCTCCAACCGTCCCGTCATGACAGGCTGTCCTTTCTTAGTCTTCTTGCTCAACTTCTTAAATCTTTCTTGCTTTTTCTTCTTGTATTCTTGCAACTTCTGATTCTTTTCTTCTTTCGCCTTTTCGATCTCCTCTTTCTTCCTTTGTTTGTCTTGTTTTATTTTATTATACTGTTGTTTAGCTTGCCAAAAAGGATCCTTACGACTTTGAGCTTTTTCCCTTTCTAGCACATCTGGGTGTTTAACAAATCTACCAACCTCTTGGTTAGAGTCTGTTACATCTTCGTCAAAATTAATTGGCTTGTAAGATCCAGCAGCAGGTTCATTCTTTACTTCTTTATAGAATTTTCTTAGAAGTTGCTTCTTCCTTTGCTCCTCCCATTGTTCAAGCTTATATTTCTTACTGTATTTCTTCAAACGATAAGCTTTTTTGTCAAAAGGTTTCTTGTCTTGACCATTTTCTGGGGCAACTCTATTTTGCATGAAATTATCTTGACGTTTCTTTTTTTCGTGATGGTCAACTCCATCATTTTTCTTTTCCCTTTTTACTTCTTTATTGCAATCTCTATCAGGTTGTTTATCTTTTTTCTTGCTGGCTAAGAAGAATGAGTCCCTTTTCTTGTCCATTTTCAAACCTACAATGAAATGATAAAGCGTGTTTGAAACACAAAAAGAAAAGTAAAAAAGAAATACTTGTGCATGCAAGATAATATTTGAGATAAATATAAATAGATAGAAACACGCTTTCTCACTTCAATTACAATATAATATTATATTCAAAACATATACTATACTATATTCAAAATATATATGTAGCAAATGTATGATATTGTGTTTATTAAGATACTTTAAACAAAAGTTTACTTTTAAACAAGACAAACATTATTTTTTTAATTTTTACAGCTTGTCAAGTTTATTAAACTTGTTCAGGTTACAAATCACACCAATCTCGAGATGGGCTCAATTTTGGTATTAGTTTGTTTTTTTTTGCTTTTGTGCATTATATTGTATATTAAGCCAAATTACACTGTGAATTAAGCATATAGAGTATAATTTAGCTCACATATGAACTAAAGATTTGTTGCTATCTAAAGAGCACACAAGCTGCATTTAGACATCGTAATATAGCAGTTAGTATGTAGTCGAAAAGCAGTTTATAGTCTAAATGCAGCTTGTGTGATTACAACTAAAAATATAAATAAATTACAAATAAATACAAATATTCTCTTCGCATTAAAATGAAAAATACTTCCATTACTAATGCTGAATTATAAAGCTCAAGCATCAAATTTTGCTTTTCTAACAAGATCCTCTAATCCTCCTTAATAGCAAAGAACAGTATGTATAGATATGTAAAACATTCCTAATCTTCTTTATAATATTGTATAGAAATTATTTTTTTAAGCACTATATATATATTTAAATTAAATAACTTTTTATATTTAATAAACATGTACTACCATAGGGACTTAAACAACAAGTTTGGCACAGTGAATGAAGGCAAATGTAAGGCGTGGTTCCGATAATCATTTTGATGAAAGTATACTTTGTGTTGTTGACATCAATATTAAAAAACTACACACCATACTTGGTGCTTGTAAAGACTTGGGTTTATGTAACATAGAGAAATCTACATTACTAAAGCTATACTACTGAATATTGCTAACAAAGTGGTTTTACCACTTAACCTCCAAGAGCCAGCAAACTACACAGGGAAAAGCGCTAAAAGCCCAATGTTTATTAAGATGTACTGAATATAATTCTAGACATCCTATGGTCATAAAAATTAACAGTGCTGAATTTGACTGGGTTTGAATCACTTCATGTACATTTTGATGTACACGGAGCCTTAGGAGAGTATATGGGGAAATAATTTATAAGAGTACTTCTCAATATTGAATTTTTCAAGCAGTAATTAATTATTAAAGTGAGCTGACTTCACCAATGTGAGCAGTATTTATTACTAAATATTGACAATGCATTTTCGTAATGACGTTTTCCTTTACTGTTAGTGATAAGTATAGCTTTTACACATTTAGTTACTAACCATTTACAAATATGTAGGTGCGAATCAGGTATATTTGTTTTTTCAAATAAACCAACGTCACCCAATAAACCGTGACCATGGCATATGGATAGGCTCCAAAACGTTGGTTTCTTTGAAAAAATAAATATATATGCAATTTAGATAAAAAAAAATTGTTTCATTTCCTGTGTATAACAATGTGAAAACCTATGAACTCGATAAGTATGTAAGTAATTTAGAAATTAAAATCTTAGATAATGCATTAATATCTTCTGGAAAAGACTCATTGTGGATATCCCAACTGTTGTTCTAAGTACTTACTAATTGAAATAGTAGCTTTGAAGGTACTACTGAAGTAGTTTATTTATCATTGAAGTTATTTTTAGTAGCTGCTCAGTATCAACTTATAGTCTGTCTTTTTTGAAGACGGAGTAAAATGACTTTTGTAGTGTTGCCAGTTTTCATAAAATTTTAAATAGTCATGTAGTCGTTGTCGATAGTTTTATGATGATCAAGATGAATAATGAATTCAGCTCACTGAAATTATGGTAATCTAAGTGGAGCTGAAGGCTCAGTGGCATCTGCAGAAGCTGTAAAGTGACTTACGGAAGGATGTACATACAGTATTTGCTTATGGAGTGTGTTCATACAGAACCTATCAGAGTACAGTTATTTGCATAGGTTGGTTTCCCATACATTTAATTTCATTTTGTCAGAGCCAACATGTAGTGTTACAAAAATTTTGTATACATGCCTTTAACTGCCTCCGTGGCCGAACGGTTACCATGCCGGACTGCCACGCAGAGGTCCCAGGTTCGATTCCCGGGCCGGGAGAAATGTTTGTATGGCTTACATTTATTTCTCTCGTGAGTTTGGGTGTAATTTGTGGTTGTCTATGTGTGTGTCCATGGCACCCGCGACACAGGGTTTCCCTAGTGCGGGGCTATGTTGAATGTGTGTGCGTTATGTTTGGTTAGATTGCATTTTGAATAATCTGTTGGAATTTTGTTAAGTGTGTTCTGGATGTATTGTTATTCTAAAGCCATAAATAAAGAGTTAAAAAAAGCACAAGTTGCTTGAAAAATTTGTAAATATCAAAGTTCAAAGTCATGATAGATTCTCAAGATAGGCATGAAAATTCCTTAATTAATCAAGATTTGGGTGCAAATATAGTAATAAATCAAGATACACGTAAAAATTTATGAATAAATCTAGATAACGTGAAAGCTATAGTTTCTTCGTAACGCAAGTGCTGTGACGAAAATTTCGTCACAATTTATAGATGAGTCACTTTAGTCGAAAAAAATACACATCATTGTTTTCTTATTTAATAACATAAAAGAAATACTATTTTAACTTATGAAGGAACGGTAAGGTAGCTGGATGGTATTCAGGAGGAAATTAATCATCAATTATTGAAGTATTGACGCAAAATGGATACGGCCATGAATGATTTCGTTCACAGCCACTGTTCCATTTAAACAAACATACGATGTATGTGGCAGGTATATAGCAATATATAATCTCAGAATATTAACAATAAAGTAAATAATTGCAAAAAAACTTACCAAAATAAGCCACCCACTGGGTAGGCTTTGAATTAACGGCGGAATCTTGATTGTTTAATTGCACTTGGCACGAAAAAACTTTACCACGATTATAGATATTATTTCACGGGTGTTAGCGTAATAATCTTTGCCTACCATGCCCCAGTGAGAATTTTAGCTAGATAATTTTATCACATGGAACACGGTGTGGGTTTCGCAAAAATGTCACGAAGGGAAAGGAACGAAGTGCGGGGCGCAAACAACAAGGGAAACGACATGCGCACAGTGCGCCATCTGGGTCGTGTCATTTTTAAGTACTTCACGTGTCAGATCAATAAAACGGAACATGCGCAATAGCAATTGCATGACAAATTAATAAAAAATAAATTTACCCTATTTTCTTATTTTAAATGTTATCTTGTGTTTTTTCACATACAAAACCTTTGAGGATGGATAGAAAGTACAACACTCTAAATATACAATAAATTTTCTTTATATCGCTATGTTAGAAGTCTGATAAATGCTGTGTATAATGAAACGTAAAGTGCAATGTACTGCCACCTATCCCTTTGAAATTGTATCTAAAAGCTATTTTTATTTCCACTAGGTAGCGGTATTAATATTGTTTCGTAACGTAAACTATTACGATTGCTATCTTTCTTAAATTTTAACCACTTCTATTTTTTAATGATATAAGCCTCATCAATTTACATTCTTGCTGTGACAATATTGACTGTTTAAAATAAAACAAAATGTTCTGGTGAAACAGGCTTATTATTTTTTTCATAAGTAAAGGCTCGTGAGATGTGTAGTCTCTTACTATTACAATCTACTGAATTGTCCCGTGAAACAATATGAATAATTCAATATACGTAAAGTCAATATACGTAATTTTGTTAACATAGCGTAATTTGTGCAACAGTCAATGTATTAGAAAGTATATCAAGCAATATTAAAGGGCCGGTGCGGTGGAGTGCCGCAGTCGGCCACGCCGATTGAATTACAGGAGTTTAGGTGAACTGGAATACTGTCGCGCACTACTACGTTACGCGATCTATGATGATTGATGAAAAACTATTTTTTTATGTTTCTATGCTTCTTTATAAAACGCTCATTGCAATGTTATGCAAATACGTGAACTGTTTTCAGTAATGAATTTTATCATCTTAATTAACCAATTTTAATATTAAGTATGTGGTGATAACTCTTAAAATATTAGTGATCATGACTTAATTAAGTACATAGTCTTAACTGCTGTCAGATTTGGATGAAAATTAGCGATGGAGAATCGCTATAAAAAATAGATGTTACTTATAGATCTCACGATACATTACCAGGGCATATCTACACAGAATACGAATTTCGAGGTAAGGAGGAAGTTGGAGACCAAGCCTTGTGAACTAAACAATGGAGATGATGATGATGATATGCCTCTGGTTGCTCGGATGTGCATCCGTTCCACTATATCGACTACGCAGTCAAAAAAAGTCCCCGGCGCATTCAGGCAGACACCGGTGGATGCATATCGGTGGATTCCGGTACATGCCGGTGGATCCCGACACATACTCATGTCTCATGTCACGGCGCAGTGCCCTCTTACGTGCTCTAAGTACCACAGTGAGTGAGAAATGCGCTGCGATACAGAGCATTGAAACTCTTATTGCAATTGAAATAATATAAAATGTAATATTGATAAAATTAGTTTGCGCGCTGACGTTTACGCAAGTATAATATTTGATCCTACCATTTCATATAGACCGCCTGCATCCTCTGTCGCTGAAAAGATTTAGATATCGAACTAAGATTTTCAAATTCGTTTAACCATAGAACTATCGTTTTAATCAAGCTACCAAAATGCTACAATAGACCTTCTAATTCATTCATAGTTAGTATCAAAATGATGGCCAGTTAAATAAACAAAACGACTTTTCTGCTCCATAGTCCTGGCGTACAGTAGACTGGATTCATTAGGGCATTATTTACTGATCAAAAGAAGACTGTAGTATGTGACTATCTGTCCCACTGTGAAGTCGGGCTGTATATTTACATTTTGTGCTACAAAAAAAAACACAATTGCTTTAGTTTCAGTTCAATCGTAAGACCGACCTCAAGGTCTCACTCTCCTTGTGCTAATGTGGCTATTGTTTTCGAAATTAGAATCCTTTTTATTGGCATATTTTTTGGAGTTTTAAGAGTAAGTTAATTGTAATAACAATATTCTAACACATTTTTTGTTCGTCTCTTCTACTTTAACTTCCTTCATTCGTATAAAATATTTTGTTACATGTTTTGTACCTAAAAATTTACAGTATTAAACTTAAAAGTCAAAATAATTTCCTTTATAATTAATATAACCATCACACACGCAATTTGAGCGTTACGAAAATGAAGTAAGGTACAAATTCCAATATTTCAATACAATCCGATTTCAATAAAATACCAACATGACGTATCCGAGGAAACCTAGTCTATGTAAATCGATAAAAGACATCGTTGGCAAGCCAGGCAAGAGCATTAAACTTAAAAATACTTCCGTTATTCTATTGGTACAATTCAATTGACTGTTTTCTTCAATATTACTGACAGCAGTTCAATGGGCAACAACGTAATGCACGCAAACTGTGAAAATGTATACAGGGTGCTAAAGAATTGGATACGGATGTTTTTAGAATCAATTGCTTACCTCATTATAATCGAAGTTAAATAATTGCAATAGATCTCTATTAGTTTGTCGAGAAATTTAAGAAAAAGATTAATTATACCCTGAAACCTTTTAACTCACTGGTCACTTCGCTATTAAAATGAAAAAAAAAAATCTGTCGTCGGTACTTCATTATTTGTTTCTAAGTGCGCGGGATGAGTATGGCTCGACCTTGTCTCGACAGAATTATATAATGTTTCTGCATAAAAACTTTCGCTTCCAGCATGGGAAACGAAAATTTTTAAATCGCTTAAAAGTGTTTTTGATTTGTATTTTAAATTGTTTCTTCTAATGCAAACTATCGCCTATAGGTATCCTTATCTAATTTGTTAGTACCTTATACATACGTATATGTATAAGGTAATGTATAAGGTAATGTATCTTTAGATATTGAAAGTTTGAAAAAGTAATATTTAATATATTTGTTCCTTTAAACGGGTAACAAAAGATCCAGCGTGTTCGAAATTGGACACAAAGTCGCAGAACACATACACATAACAGTGCATGTACACTGTTATGTGTATGCGTTCGAAATAACTCAACAAAAAAGCCACAATGTTTTATTTTTGCCTTTTATTATTGTAAATTCTACCTCATCCCCATTGGTATCGCCATAATCTTATGTTACCTACTTAGGTACCTAAACAAGTACAGACGTCATACTTGTCTCTAGGAAGTTAAGTATAGGCATATTCTTTTTTTTAAATGATATGATGGGAACTTTTGATTTATGATGGGGCGCTTTTTATTAAGCGACACGCGCCTGCCCATAGCAGTTCTTTCTTTTTCCTTGAATGAACTCCCACAAGGAGGCTCTACTGCTACTAAATGCATGCCCATTCTCGACCATATCACTCAATTACTATTAGGTTTTAAAAATTCATTAACTTAATTAAAGTTCTTAGGTTTTCGCGATTGTTACACATAGGAAATGAAACTATTTTTCCGGATTTAAATCGCGTATATTTGTTTTTTCAAACAAACCGACGTTTCGGGCCCTTTACAGGTCCCATGGCCACGGTTGACTGAGGTGGTACAGTCTTCAACCAGTTATGCCTAATATTGATGCAAACCACCCTATTTTTTTTAATTTTACAAAGAAAACATTCCAATTTACGCTACATTAAGTTTTACAAATTATTTTATTGAATGAATTTTTATTAAGTTCAATTTATTATTAAATATTAATAGAAATTAGAATAAACTGAAAGATATTAATTTGTACTGCAGTCTTATGTCTGTTTGGGATTTTTCATTAGAGGAAATACTGGATCCTAAACTGGTGGTACGGACAAACCACCTTCCCTGTTGAAATTAGGATGTTTTTTAATTTCAATAGCCTCTCGCAGCATCCTGGGTAGATAACGGACTTCTTTTGCAAGGACCTGGGGTTTGTCAAACTTCTTTGAATGTGTAGGCTTAGGTTTAGGCTTTGTTTGTCCAATATAAGAGAGACCGCACTCACAGTCAAGCTTGTAAACTCCTGCATCCTGTAAGGGGATGTTACATTACACGGGTCTCAGGAACTGAGAAATCTTCCTCAGGGGCTTGAAATAGGTCTTGATAGATGCACGCCTGAGGAGTCTTCCGATCTTGTCTGTAACACCTCTCTCGTAAGGTAAGATGGCAGGTCTTCGCTCCACTGTTGGTGGTTTCACACGAGGCCTGCGGCATTGGCGTGGAATCCTCAACTTATATTCGCATGTAGGACTTGCTTTATATGCTGAAGTTCCCCTGCCAGATGATTACTGTCGCAGACACCATGTGCTCTCTGAAACAAAGATTTGCCCACGGTAGCTAACTGGCTAGGATGGTGATGGGAATTACCATTGAGATACCTATCTGTATGGGTTTTCTTTCGAAATACAGTATGGCCTAAGGTGTTATTAGGATTTCTTTTAATTAAAACATCTAAGAAAGCTAAAGTACCACTACTAGTATAGTATTGTATTATCTGTGGTATCACAATTCTCTTGTTCCAACGTCGGTTTGTTTGAAAAAACAAATATACGCGATTTAAATCCGGAAAAATAGTTTCATTTCCTAATTTAATTAAATTTCACCCTGTCCCTGAGCGCCACAGACGAAACGACGAAAACGACGAAACGCCAAGTAGCTTGCAAATCACCTTATTGAAACCTCAGTTAACTAAAAAAGTATGTTAAAAATATATTATAAATTTGTATGCATAAAGTGGTATTAATGTTAAATTTCAGATGGTATGAAATGAAGCTACTCCGCGTGATCGACTCTCTGCAAGGCGGGTCTCCACATAAGACCAGTGTGGTCGTCTCGCGTCACGATCAGTACACCGTCGGGGAGACCACTGGTGGCTTGAGTGTGCTATTCACGATATTATGTATTGTAGACCTCTTTGGAGTGTTCCCTGTGGTAGCACTACCTAAGAGCATTATAGCATGTGGTAAGTGACATGGAAAATATATCTACATCCAGCAATATTCCTGATATAGGAATTTTTGAACTTTTATCCGTTCTAAATTGCGTGTATTTATTTTTTAAAATACAATGTTCCGAGGTCTTTACAGGCGCTATGGTCAGTCTGACAGTCAGTCGATCCAAATAATAAGAAATCAACATTCCTGATAGTAGTAGTTTTCTGCGTCATGCAATCCCAATTCCCAATGCAATGACCATTTCCGTAACCTTTGTCAATACCACAGGAACGATACTACTACCAAAAAATAAACGCAACTCTGTGAACCCGTCTAGGACAGAGTTTCTTAACCTTTTTCTAATTATGGACCCCTCTCAAAATATCAAAGAGCCCACGGACCCTTTCCGAAAAGATGAAACAATTAGGTTTAGCTTTTACTAACTTATATTGTTTGCGATTAAACTTTACTCAATTACATATGAATAGTTAGTGTGATGGTTGTTGTTACATTATGTTAGGTAGGCTTGTCACAGACCACAGGTTAAGAAACTCTGGCCTAGAATGAGATTATGGTGCACATGTTCGTTTACTATAGAAAGCTGGGGAATAATAACAATGTAACACAGAAAATGTACCTATCTGCCAGTACTCCAATGACATATGCACCGAACATAGGCATATGCATGAGATAATATCCAATATCCTACGCGCAGATTAAAGATTTCAGTCTCGCTGCAATTTTGCGTACCGGGAAAAAATATCTCAGTGCAGTCTCGATAATCCCGAGAAAAACGAGACTTTTGAAACTGTTTTAAAAGAAAGTTTTGCATACTTTACCATGTAGCTGGTCTTTACAAAAATAATATTATTTTGCTGTAGGAATATACGGCTTACCGCTGGTGATGGCCGTATTCAGCTTGCAGCTGTACACAGCAGTACTGCTGGGCAGGAGTTGGCTGCTAGCACAGGAAATTACGCCAAACATACGGGAGAAAAACCGGTACGTCTTTGGAAATGTTTTTCTTTGCTATGGCCGTTTAAACGAATTAAGGATCCTTTAAGATTTCAAATGTGTCACCAGATGAAACAGAAAGTTTTAAAACCTATGTCCTCACCCTTGAATAAACCTTTGAAATGTCACAAGATTGTTGTTGTAATAAGACAATTAATTACTCCTTAGCTTCCCTTACGCTGCAGTGGCAGAACTGGCGTTTGGCAAGCACGCAAGAAGGCTGGTCACCTTTCTTATAGACGCGACCGTTTTTGGCGCTGGAGTTCCTAATTTCATTTTTGGTAAGTGTTTTATGGTACCTATATGTATACATACTCCTGAGAGCACCATACGAATGTACCCTGCGTACATCGCCGCGTGTAAGCACATCAAAATGTGTTCCACAAAGTTTACTCATAAATAAAAACCAAAAACCAAATAAATCAATACCATGATGCCCTCTAGTAGGCACGCGATCAAAATGGAACTGTAAGTCAGTTATATTTTCCCAAGTGATCGGAAGTTCAAGTGCAAATGGTGCAATCATAAATGATTTTGGGAAACAATAGCCCGTTTACCATAGCCATCGCGAGCGGCACTCGGTGCCCCCTAAGACCCTGCGCTCGTGTGTGCCGCACACCCTGCACCATAGGTAAAGCCGGCACTGGATATTATAGACGAACAATAACAAATGTGACCATAGCCGTTCACAGTTATAAAGGAAAGGAGTACCAGTCCATTCAACATGCTGCAACTAATTCTGTTAGGTCGCCCAAAGCATGCAGGCAAGTATGTATATGATGACATCGGAAATGAAACTATTTTCTTCGGATCTAAATCGCTGCTTTTCAAGAGTAGTGGCTCATACTTGTTTTTTGTGTTCATATTTGTCTTATAACACAGCTGTGCGAGTGACGCAGGTTATTTAGAAACAACGCGTTGTTGATCACGTTGCAACGTGAGCGGCGCTCGGCGCCCCCTATGGCCCTGCGCCTGTGTGCGCCGCACACCCTGCACCATGGGGAAAGCCGACACTGATTGCCCGGTTACAATATAAAGAGATCAGTGATAAATAGAAATTCTAGGTTGAAACCATCTGAAAATTCTCACCTAAACATATTGACTCTGTATCGGCTAACCTGAATCCAAGTGTACGTAAAGGTTTCATGGTTATTTATGATCATACTGAGAATGTGGCGCTAGTACTACAAGAAACTAGATATTTAAAATTCCACATAACGGCGAGGGTTTAAAGCACTGATTCCCAAAGTGGTGAATATCGACCCCTAGGGTTTTATTCCAACCTCCCGGACTTACTAGGTACTGGACCCCTTGATCCATGTCAGCAGAAAAAACATTCGGAGTGCATTAGATGTTAATCAACGATAGTGTATCCCACTCCAGCCAGGTTACAACCAAAATTTTGTGTAAATGGAATAATCCACTTTACATAGACAGTACCAATGTACGAACGGTAGCATACTAAGCTAAATATTGACTGATCTTGTTCCGTGACTCCGGAGGCGATATTAGAACAAAAGTGTATAAGCTTCACGTGCTGCTATAATAGACATAGAAATTATCTACCTATGAACGTTTCACAATAATCAAGATGTTGAGCTATATTCGATTAGAATATATAAAACTTAACGTATGTTTTTTAATAAAATTAACTCTTCTAAGTTACTATCTAAGTTAACTTATCTAAGTGAGTAGCACAGTATAATTTGTTAAAAAAATCAATATTAGAACGGTAGGGGGTTTACGAGACAAAAAGTTTGTGCACTCTTGGTCTAAATATAAAAAATTTATATTATCTACCATTGTTTCAATTACAGCTTCTCAAAGCATGCAGCTGTTCTGGTGGAAAATCACGGGCGGCGAAGTTGGGGTATCGTATTGCATTTGGATGTTGCTGATTGGTCTGCTGCTCTGCCCGGTCATGTGGCTTGGTTCGCCCAAGGATATGAAGTTAGTCCCTAAATATCTCTTCCAAACAAGAACCCATGCTCTGTGAGGTTAAAAAAATGTATGTAAGGTCTAACCCAAAGCTGACAGCTACTATTCTCAACGAAATAGCAAAGGTATACTCAGGTGGACAGCTACCGGCATTTTAGACACCCTTGTACTAGGAATGCATATTACGATTCGATTTTCAAGCGAATCGATTCAAAAGAAAGGCAAAATATATAAGCAATCATAAACATTTTGTAATAATGTCATTACATTTATTGAATTAAACTCGATTTACAAATATTTATATAAGTAGTTGTAAATAGGTTAAAACCCGGGTGCTTACTTACTTCTGTTTTCGTGTGATAAAAAGCTGTGGCTTTATTGTGGACAAGGGTATTAAATGTTGCGGTAAAAACATTGACCTATCAATGGGTAAAGAGCAATCCAACTTTGTTAAAAAAAATCTGAAATTTCCAGGCCCCTAGCCGTCACGTCTGTTTGCATAGTGTTGACTGTGGCATTTTGCACATGGACCTGCATTCTGTTGGACGACCTGTCGCCTCCTAACGAATCCAACATTTCGAACTATCGACCTGGTGTGCAGGATTTTTTAGTTGCATATGGCATCATTGCTTTTCAGGTGAGTGCGTTTAGACAACACAATAAACATGATGTCCCAAAACTCAACGATACGCTGGAACCAGGGTATTGGCCAGTTGTGTGGGTTGTTACCCAGAAAAAAGTATTCTGAAAAAATCGGAGTCTTTTTGTGAAATGAGCATTGAAAAATGCAGCGTTGAAAAATTATAATCCTGTATAAAATTTTTACAAAATTTGCAAATTTTACTGTTTTCATTCTTGTAATGATATCTACCCCAAATAGCCCAGCTAATGAACACAATGCCAAATAAAGCCAATGTTAGTTTCAGAACAAAAAATAAATGTTAATTTTTTTTGAAATACATAAAAATAGGTTGTTACAAACTGGGCAACACCCTGATCCTGGCTTATCGTTGAAAGGAGTCCCTTATGTAGTAGAAATGATATGAAATTGTCCGAATCTTTATATATGTAAGTTTTCATTTATTTGTTCATAAGTAAATGTTCTTGTAACTAAAATCTCCCACGAAAATAAAATACCAAGCATGTATAATTTGCAAACCGCCATTATTTAAAAGATAAGCTCTCAAGTGGATTGAACATTTCAAATAACTTCTACTATACTTTTAGTTTAGGCTTATTATGATCGCCATAATTTTTATTTTATTTTTTGTTAGTAATAAGTACTTACTAGGTGAAGCCTGAAAACCAGCATATTGGCGAGGCTTTTACCTTTTCAACAGACTTAAAAAAAAATGAGGAGGTTCTCAATTCGACTGTATTTCCTTTTTGTATATATGTTTCGCGATAACTCCGGTTATGTAATTTGTATAAGTAATTTATATAATTTGTGAACCGATTTTGATGATTTTTCTTTTGTTGGAAAGAGGGTAGGTACCTCAGTAGTGGCTCCATTTAAATTTGAAGAAAATATTGCACCTTTAGAGGTGGTGGGGTGGCAATTTGGGGATGAACCCGGTTTCGTGCACTTTCCGGTAACCGCTTGCAATAATACTTGGCAAACAGATGTAATTCCACGCACTTTTGAGGTCGGTTTTTTTAGTACTCTATTGCTCTGTACTGAGAATATTTTGGACACAGTATTTAAAAGTTGCGGGTTCAATTCCCATTCCCAGTCCGTGATGGACATTGATATGACGATTAATAGAACCACATTATTTTATACTTACTTGAAATACCAGGCAGTGCATCGAAAATAAAATTACAAGAGCTAAAAATTTTACAAAATAAAAATATCTAATTACTATTTCATTACCTATACTCAACGTCAACTGAAAAGGTATACAAAAAACTAAAAACATGAACATTAAATAATTATACAATTACACAACATGTATTCTTATTCTTAAAATGTTACAACGGAACATTCACATGAGCCCATTGTTTAAAATTTAAAATAAACTGCAACAATTTGTACAAGAAAAAAAGCCGAATCGTTTTTTGTACTCCCTGTGTCGACCGTCTTATCTTAACGGCGCCGGTCGTTCTCGCAGTGTTGTAATGTAAACAAAACTTTGCGGTCCCCAGTATTTTGTATCAAAGGGAATAATAATGTGACCGACATCAGTAGTGAAGAGTTATGGTTTTAGTTGAGTGCTAATAAGTTGTAATTTAGTGCAAATATGTTGACAACTTTAATGGTGGCGCAAGAAAAGGTTACAAAATAAATTCAATGCATCTGAAATCCATCAAGAATTTATTATTCATTAGAGTCTGATATTCGGATAGGGAATTTCATGAGGAAAACAGTGATATGTAATTTGTATCGTAAAATCTAAACCTAATTGGAGTTCTAAGCATTTTTCTAACGCCGTTGTAACGGAAATGCAATTTTTACAATTAATTGATCACTTTACGCGGTATATTGATTTGCCGATGCCCTTTTCTGTTTGTTTAGTATGTGTTTTGTGCAAAATCTCAATGCAAACTTGTCAAATTAGTAAGAGTCAATACAATTTGAAATACTGCTCCGATTGGTTTTGGTACATCTTGTCGGGTGAGCTGGATAGTTTCTTCACAAAAGGTCACCGGTAAAAAAAAATCTGTTGCGACCTGGAATCTTTACAACAGGTGACCAGTTTCGAGTGTGACGAGCTTTACAATAAATGACCAGTAGAAGAAAAAACTACCTGCTATGAGCGAGTTAGTTGAGTGTCGTCTAGTGTACAAGTTGAGGGTTGGATTCCTGACCAGGGCGAATATTGATATGATAAATATTGATTTGTCGTTCATTTCGTTTCAGAGTTTGTCTAGTATGCTTTGGGCACCCTAGATACAAGTTTATATACATATTTCCTACAGGTAAAATAACACAAACAAGCTGCCATATAGTAAAATATATATTTTTATAAATAAAAGTTTACAAACATTATTTCAAAAACATAATTGCGAAATGGCACACATCGAAGGAGGCCAATGTCCATATGAAAAATGTGGAAAAAAAAAATTACAAAACAAGTAAATAACAAGTAAAAACAAGTAATTGCGAAATGGCGCACATTGTGGATGGCCAATGTCTAGTAGTAGTGGTCTGCGATAGACTGATGATGAAGTAATTACAAAACATAATTAATTAAAAAATAAGTAATTACAAGTAATATGAAGCATGTCCAGAAATGGTATTACTATGAAATTCATATATCTTTGTGAAAATACTCCACTAATTTGTAAGAGATTAAAAACCCATTGACAAACATCAGAATTGTCCATAAAGTAAATGAACTTATTTAGCAAAATGAAGCGATTGTACAACATGAGCTGCCTGTACAAGGGCAACACTAAGTGTTAGTTGATATCATGACGATAATTTGTATTGAAAATTACCCTAAGTTCGTGGAGCAATGAACTGACTGTACCTGGCGTAGTTTAGTTTAGTTTATTTCTCTCTTCATTACAAATTTCATACAAATACAATTACATGTCATTTTATACTAACTCTTCGAAAAGTGAGCGTCAGTTTACAAAATAATGAAGAAATAATTATATAATAGTGTACCTACATATACAAAATCAAGATAATTAAATTAAACTAATAAATAATTGAATTAAACTAACAATGTCAAGTGTATACAGGAAATGTAAATATGTATTCTTTATAACTAATAAATGTATATTACAGTATAATAATACTGTGAATGTCAAATTCATTAATAAAATATAAAAATTTTATTATTTATTAAGTACTTTTGAGAGTACTCTGTTACTGAGCAGTAAGATTATGAATAGTCTATCGAGAGCAATGTATGGATAACATCAAGTGCACAGGCATATGTCTATACCACATAGGATAGAACGATCGGCTTAGCACAAGTACAGATAAAAGAAATACATAATATACATACATACATAATTACCCCCTTACTTAGATCACAACACTTCACCCAAGAAAAAGTGCCAAGAATTTCGCCTAGTGCTGACAGATACCCAAAGTAAATATTTGGTTTTACAATGTGGTATTGTTTTGCATTTGCCCTGATTACTGAAATAATGATTACTTTTGAACGAAGAGACAAAATTGCTAACATGAACACATGGAGAAAGACAAACCGAAAAAAAATACGGCTGGTACATAAAAACAAACCAGGGCAATGGTACCAGAAAAAGATAATTTGTAGTCACTTCCGCCTACCTTTACGAGAATATACATTCTTCCCAGGTAGATCTTGGACAGTGTGCCAAACATTCTCTTGGGCAAAAGGCCTCGTCGCAAGTGACGCAATACAAATGTGTCTTCTTCTTGATATCATTCCGTAGACACATGTGACAATATTTTCTCTTACTGCCCCGAGGCAGTTCAGGAACGTGCAAAGTACTCCTGTCCAGCCTCTGAACATCCGAACCAGTCACTGAAACTTCTTGTGGGTGGTGGTGGCGTTCCACAAGAGAATTAGCGAGTAGGTAGCGGAACTTGCAGTGCGTCATCACAGGAGCACCGCGTCGTCTGGTTGACGCGATAGCAGTATGAAAGCATTAAGCACACTGACATTCGGTAGCCTTTTGAGAATTTTCATGTACCACTCTCATCATCTCTTTTTTTCTATCAACTACATTGAGAGTATTTGATCCTTAACATCAACACCTCCCATTGTGTTAATGTAATCTCGTACGGCCAGAGGCTTTACGAGATCAGGGCCTGCCTTTCTGCCCACGAAAGTTTCGTCGATGTCATAGGTGGAGATCATCGTCGCCATTTTGGAGTCCTTCCATGCTATGCATGAAACGTCTCCGCTATGGCGAGCAATGATGGTCACCTTCGGCACATCCTTCGGAGCCTTCGCAATGTCCACTGGTACATATTTGCGATTAGGACGCAATGTCCACTGGTACATATTTGCGATTAGGACGCAATGTTCCCAAGCAATCAAACCCCAAACTCTTCAGATACCTCGCCAAGGCTGGGCAATTATAAAAATTGTCCATCGTGACTAGGTATCCTTGATTTTCGAGGCCTTTCAGTAATTCAAGTGCCACTTGGGTACTTTTGCCCGCCAAGTCAACGCTAGGAGCGACGATGTCGGCGCGGTCGAAATTCTTCCCTGTGTAAATTTCAAATTTATACAAGTACCCAGTCCTCGATTCGCATAATTCGTAAGATTTAATACCAAAACGGGCGGCCTTTGATCTTATTGCTTGGACCCAGGACAGACGCCCCTTGAATAAGGTCAAAGACTCATCAATAGCTATATCTGGTTATAGAGAGAGGAACATTTTGAATTCAAATGTTGGATGACTGGCGCAATCTTCGCCAATTTCGCTGACGACGTAGCCCGTCCAATAAGTGTCAAGCTCTGACTCGCATTAGAATTGTGTACAAAGTGAATGAACTTGCTTAGCAAAATGTAGCGAATATACGACATGAGCTGCCTGAACTTGGGCATTTCTAGGTAGCCGGTCGTTTTCTAGTATTCATGCTGAGACGTTGGTGAATCTATTCCCATGAAAATATAGATGGCAAAAAACAAGTACATCTCGTGTACATTGGTGTCCTTCCACCGGCGTAAGCGAGATGATGGTTTCAGTGTCCCTGTTGCTGTTTTCTGCTCGATCGTCTGCCTAGCGTATCGATTGGTTTCCAGCACGATATGCTCCATGAATTCTCTACTCCAAATATCAGTAAACGTTTCATAGGGCGTATAGTAATCCTTGACAGGTCCGGGGGTCGGACCCGAAACAACTTCGGGCTTCGCCCCGAACGTGTCAAAGTTATTCTGCCAAATTAAATCAGCCGATACGGGATTCAGACGATCGGCAGCGTCATCTATTACTCTAGATACACTGTTGATAATGTTATGCTCGGGTTCATTCAGCTCATCGTTGTCCGGAATATTTCGATCTGTCCCAGCGGAGACTACGAATTCATCGAAGTCAAACTCGTCGTCAAAATCTGAATCGAATTCGCTGCCTTCGTTGTCAATTTGTACAGTACGCCTGGATTTTTGCACCATCCCTGGTGGGGATGGGCGAACTGGGCTGACTCCAGAGGCCGACACCGATGCCTTTGGGGAGCCACTAGGCACAGCCTGTAAAACAGGTTCCACAGGCTGAAGCATAAAGGCCCCAGATACAGCATCGACGACTGCCTCTGGCTTCACAGGCTTACTGCACAAATGAGGTACAGGTTCGACATCTACCACCACCTCCGCATTCCCAAACCATTTCTGGACATGGTCCGAATGTTCTACCGCCGCCGCTTCACCCTCCTCTTCGTCCAAGTTCATCGCTGCCGCACGTTTAATAGGTAAGACGCTGAAAAATAAAACATATTAAAATTAGTAAACAATCTTTGTAAAAGCTTACGTACGTACGGCATTGGATATTTTTTGACTTCTTTTGTATCATACGGGACTAATAAGTCGTGCGCCTGGTAGTAAGCGACAAGCCTATCCATAACTGTTGCAGTGCTACCCAGAGCTTTAAATCGCATAGATCTAAAGGGCACTGCCACGACGCCCGTCACCCTGAGACGTAAGTTGACAAGTCCCATGCGCCTATAATTTCACCAGCACCCTTATCCTTCAAAACCAGCACGCAGTAATGGTAGCATAGTAATGGTACCATTACTGCGTATTTATTTATTTATGTTGCTGGTATTTATTAAGTAAGGTAATATATGTATAAATAAGATAAGCCACTTCACAAAGAGATCTATTGCTACTAAAACGACTTACAATGAGAAATGGGCATAGCTATGTCTAACCAACACGTTTACTAATTTCACTTACTGGATGGACTGCTGCAGAGTATCCTTCTGGGGAAGACGACGCACAGAACCCCAAGGAAGTCGAAAACTCTCGGATGCTGTTTGGACTCCGTAAAAAGACAAAATTTTTTAGAGCATTTGTCTTCATTATGTGTCATTTGAATATACGTATCTATGTAAACACTTTATTGTTCAATAAAACAAATTACAAATTTTTATAATTACGAGAGTGTATAAAGGCGAGTTTATCCCATAAAGGGATTTCTACCAGCTAACCTTTAAATAATTGAAAGAAAAGGTTATTCTTGAGTAGGCAATAAAATCTAATAACTCATGAAATTGTATGCCACATATTCAATAATTACAAGGACAAATTTATTATATTATATCAAATGTATACATACAATTCTTATATATTTAGTACATGTTGATACCACAATACATATAACATATATAATAAAATGAATGTATAAAATAAAAATACAAATAAATATACGAAATGTAAATAAATGTTTTGTAAACTCTGACATGAGGAATCTGAATAATCCCAAGACTTCAAAAGGGCATATCTGAAAGCCCGAACCGAAGTGACTGTCTGACCTGATCTGGGAGAAGGTTCCAAATACGAGCAGCATTCGCTGTCAAGGATTCCGCATATTTTTGAGAACTGTGTTGTGGATGGACGAGGGTCAAATTAGTACCTTTAATATAATTGTAATAAAATAATGCTAATATTATATAATACTCACAGAACGAGCTGCCACAATTTTAGTTCCGGCTCCACCTGAGGTGAGTAGACGTAAGAACCTCGGGTAGCCTCCTGGCAGATAAGTTGGGTACTAGTTGAGAATATCGGCCCCCGGGAGGTTAAAGATCCCGGCGTCACTAAGCGTGACCGAGACCGGGACAGGGACCGGGCCATCATTGCTCTTTACTAAAACAATAATAATGAGTGCGTTTTCGAACATATTTGTGACCAATTTCCTCAAAAACTATCAGGCACAGAATAAAATTTATAAGAACAAAAATGTATTTTGGTTTAAAAACTACTCGTATATGCATAAAAAGTAACTAATAATAACATTTAAAAATTCATAATTTTTTTGCTGTCCTAAGAAATATTTTCTGGTCTAATTTTCTCGCAAACTATCGACCGCAAAGGAAAAGTTATATGTATAACCAGAAAGTGTTTATTTAATAACAATTTTTTATCGGCTGGGATGAAGAATTATAAGTAACTGCCTCCGTGGCCGAACGGTTACCATGCCGGACTGCCACGCAGAGGTCCCAGGTTCGATTCCCGGGCCGGGAGAAATATTGTATGGCCTACATTTATTTCTCTCGTGAGTTTGGGTGTAATTTGTGGTTGTCTATGTGTGTGTCCATGGCACCAGCGACACAGGGTTTCCCTAGCGCGGGGCTATGTTGATTGTGAGCGTTATTGTGAGCGTTATTATAAGAATAAAAAGCATTTATTTACGTGTTGAAGTGTAAAATAGTATGAAAATTTTAAAGAAATGTTCATGTGGAAAAAATCTACCTCTGCGGCCGAATGGTTACCATGCCGGACAGCCACGCACAGGTCCCAGGTTCGATTCCCGGGCCGGGAGAAGTATTTACATGGCCTACATTTATTTCTCTCGTGAGTTTGGGTGTAACTTGGGTGTACTTGAGAACACAATGGCGGCCTTTGTATTCTAAAATAAAATAAATAAATTAAATAAAAAATTGTCATCGCACAAGGCCAGTCCCCTGATTGGCTAAAACCAAAGCGGTCGGCGCTTACCAACATTAAACATTTTAAAATAATACTCAAATCACGGCGTTTGCGTTATAGACAATTTATGCCTATGAGACGCGTCACGGGATTCATATTCGTCATATCAATATTCGGGACCAGGAATGGGAATTGAACACGCAACTTTTAATTATATAATTGTAACTGTTTCATTGAAAAAACCGATCTCAAAAGTTTGCTTATCGGATTTTTATGGGATCCCCTCATCAGATTCTGACTTGGTAACAATGGGACCACCACGAGAGTGCACCCTTTCAAACAAAAAGAATTTTCAAAATCGGTCTGCAATTGACGGAGAAATCTGAAAACATACATACAGCCGAACGTATAACCTCCTCCTTTTTTAAGTCGGTTAATGATTAGGCATAAATATACAATACACATTTAAGCCAATCCTAAAAATAATATATTTTTATAAACGAATATTAATTATATTTATACGAATACGAAACTTTGAATCGACTTTTTTGCAAATGGCACTTTTTATATCGGTGCGTATTCTCCAATGACGTCACATCAATCGATGCCTCAGTCGGCAATTCGCGCGCCGATTGGCACACGCGACAGAATTATGCAATTCTGTTTCTTGACAAATAAAAATGTGTTCTGAGAGGAGTGGATGAAAATTGTAAAAGTGCTTGATATTTTTTTTATCGGTAGGAATAACATTCCTCTTTAAAGAATGAAGTCTTTTTTTTTGTATTTTTATCAATGGAACAGATTTCCCTATAGACAGCCCTTTGAAGTCACTTGAAGAACTTTGCTCTACAAATGCTAACTACAGCTAGCTAATGCAAATATGTGCGTGCGTAATTTCATCCGCGTGAGATTTTTTTCTTATGTTACAGTTTGATATTCATCCAATGCTGCTCACGATACAAGTGGACATGCGCGATAATCGAAAGATTCATGTAGCTGTATTAGGAGGGTTCGTAGCTACTGGTTTCCTCTTCGCCGTCACCACAGCTCTCGCTGCTGTCCGTTACGGTCAGAATGTCGAAAACAATATTCTTCAAGGTGAATTACTTACGCTGTAGTCTTCATCGTTTTATCAACTGTCTTTACAATATTTCTACGATAATAAAGCAGTAGAGATCCTTGTGAAAGAGTTCGTCCAGGGAAGTGTACTGCCACCTTACCTATTTTTGCCGCCAAGCAGTAATGTGAGCATTACTGCATTCCGGTTTTGCAGGGTAAGGGTGCTGGTGAAATTACAGGCACATGGGATTTGTCAACGTATGTCTCAGGGTGACGGACGCAGTAGCAGTGCCCAAAAGATCTTTGCGATTTAAAGCTCTGAATGGCTCTGCAACTGTAATGAATAAGCATGTCGCTTACCACCAGGCGCACTATACATAGAATAAGTCGTCCCGTCAATTAGTATTACAAAAAAACATAGTATAATATAATAAGTAGTGTAACTACTTAAATGTAGCAACGCGGTTTCTTGGTGCGCTCGCCCTGCGCGCACCGTGTACAGACTTGTAATGAAAGAGACTCAGTTTCTTAAGGCCTATTAAAAAGACGATAATTTATAACGCCACTTTTTGTATGATAGGTACTAAGTGACGGAACAAACGATCAGCGACACGCCTATCCATAACTTAGGTATATGTACATACTTAATTAATGGTAACCAAAATGTAAAATTAACATTACTCCGCCTTTGTACCCTGTGGTACATGATACTTTACCAACTACTACTCGTATTAGACCTATATGTAACATGTTTTGTAATAAACGATATTATTATTTTTATTAACAGTTGCAGTACCACTCAGTTTTGGGGTGTAGTGGGGCGCCAGGTACCCGAAATGTGCTGTCAACTGATCCTTCAGGGAGGTGCACAGCGTGGGTATAAGCGGCCTACAACTCTCGCCAGTGGCTCCAAGTAGCTGCGTGTGCACGCAGCGGCCACACCCCGGCAAACCACGTTTTGTACGTGGGCTAAACCTGGTCGAGGACACGCTTGCTCCGGCAGGCAAATCTATTTGCGGACACCACCCGCATTGTGCGCGAAGCCTGGCTTAGTGCAGAAGGCAAACCGCGCTGATAAGCAATTGGTTTTTGGCTAATCCAGCGAGTCAGCAAGACAAAGTTGAGGGCCCAGGGCGGCAGTTGAGGTCACGAGGAGCAGTCGGCCAGAGACTGCATCCGAACTCACCTCCAGTCGTAGCAGCCTCCCGTTCCACTGGATGTAGGTGAATTAGGACGAGTGAGTGCGTCTGTGCCTGCGCAACCACCTACGCACTTAAATATATCCCGCGCATATGACTGCTTTATAGGGCTCCGAATTAGACTAAGTCCTGCGGCGACAGGTGGCGGTAGAGAGGTCGAGTAGTGGTGCACACTCGGCTTTGTCCAAAGCCTGCACGTGGGCGGCTCAAGGAGAGTGGTCGTTTTTGAGCTGCAATGGGGTGACAGCGTGAATTGGGCATCACCTTGAGTGACGAAGCAGCCCTTTTTAGGGAGGCACTGCTTCCCTCGCTAGTAGGGGAGGGGACTAGAAAAGGTCTCCCAAAAAAATGCTCGTCCTACCCCTACTTGGGGGTGGTGACCGCGGTTACCCTAGCACCCCACTTCTCGCGGTCGAAAATGCAAAATACGAGTAAAAACTTACTTATGAATACACATAAAATGGTTTTTGGCGCCTGGAATGTGCGCACATTACTTGACAATTACGACAATATATAGGAAAGGATAGGAAATAATAGGAAAGGAAAACTGCCATTGTGCGCGTGCGCGTGTGCGTGTGCGTGTGCGTGTGTTCACATTAGCCATCTAGTGCGCGGTGCGAACTGTTGGACAGACCACAGGTTGGTTATGTCAAAACTGAAATTGCGTCTTCGCCTACCACGCAGGTCTTAGAAGGTCAACCTCGTTTGACCTTGGTAGATTGAATAGTCCCGAAACTCAGGAGTCATATCAAGCGAAATTGAGAAAGTCGTTAGGAACTTTTAGAGCAAATGAAGGTGATCTGTTGGAGAAATGTCAGTACCTGTCTTCTTCTATATTAAACGTGACCACTGAAATTCTAGGGCCAAAAAAGCGAGTATGTGCAGACTGGTTTGACCACTATGACAGAGCTCTGTCCACAGCACTTGAAAAACATCGTGACTTTCTCAGGCGCTGCGGCAACGATACTCAAATACTATCCGCTGAGATAAAGGAGAGTGGTTCGGAACTAAGAAAATTAACTAGGAAGTTGAAGGATGAGCGGTGGCTTAGAAAGGCCGAAACAATTCAGTGGCTCTCTGACACCAACCAGCTCGGTGCTTTTTACGAGGAAGTACACGGACTGACTGGTGCACACCATCTGAATAGTGTACCATTACATTCTTTAGATGGAGTTAAATTAACTGCTAAGAACGACAGATGGGCAGATCATTTTGAAAATGTACTCAACGTTGGTCACATAAACTCTATTCCACCTTTGCTGGAGCGTATCCCGTTGGACGAGCCACGGAGGCTAACCGAGGTAGTACAAGCCATCACAGAGCAGAAGAACAAAAAATCTGTTGGTGTTGACAACATCCCTGGAGAATTGCTCAAGTATGGTGGAGAGCGGATACATTATCATATCTGGCAAATGTTTAAGCGTATTTGGAGCGAAGAAAAAGTACTCGCTGACTTTTAAGGTGTCCCGTATACAGACCCTCTACAAAAATAAGCGGGACCGTTCCGACTGCAACTCTAACCGAGGTATATCACTTCTCTCCGTGCCAGCAAAGATATTTGCGAGTCCTCCTGAAACGACTTATACCAGTGTTGGAGGCGTTACTGCCTGAAATTCAATTCGGATTTCGTCCAAACAGGGGCACCTGTGAAGCAATATTTTCCATACGTCAGCTTCAGGAAAAAAGTCGTAAGCAGGGGCAACCCCTGTATACGTGTTTTGTAGACTTGGAGAAGGCCTTTGACTGTGTGCCACGGGAGGCCTTATGGACCGTATTGACAAAGATTGGATGCCCTGAAAAGTTTGTTCGTATGATTCGACTTCTGCATGATGAAATGATCTGTTGTGTAACCGTAAACGGTGAGTAGTCGAGGTCCTTGTCTGTAAGCTGCGGTGTTAAGCAGGTTTGTGTTCTCACTCCAACTTTGTTCGCACTGTACTTTGCAATTGTGGTGTGTGGTTGTGGTATACGTTTTCGGATAGACGGATCTTTAACCTATCAAGGTTAAAAACGAACACCAAAGTTTCCCATGCAATTATCACGGAAATTCTGTATGCTGACGATCTATGCTTCGTATCAAACACTCCTCAAGGACTTCAGACCTTGTTATCAGATCTTCATGAAGCCTGTTTCCAATTCGGTCTAAAAATTAGTGTGTCCAAAACTGAAGTTATGGCAATGGACCTGCATGATGTCAACACTTCGATTGAGATATTTCTTGGTGGGATGAAACTAAAGCAGGTGGAGAAGTTTAAGTACTTAGGCAGATTATCACATCAATTACTTTTTACGTATAGAATTAGCAGCGCCCGCTTTCGAAAAACTTCGATCCAAGGTGCTGCGTTCCCGCGATCTAAGGTTGTCCACAAAGATTTGCGTCTTCTCAGCGATTGTACTCACTAACTTTCTCTATTCTTCCGAGGCATGGGTCCTATACCGTAGCCAAATACGCACGTTAGATAGATTCCACATTAAGTGCCTGCGAGACAATCTTAACATCAAGTGGTCGGATCGGGTAAGAAACACTGATGTGCTTCGGCGGGCGAATGTCTTGGCATTGAGGGATATTTAATGCGGCGTCAGCTACGTTGGTGTGGACACGTCTCGCGCATGTCTGAATCGAGAGTTGCGAACCGTATTTTCTTTTCTGAACTCCAGAATGGCAAGCGGAAGCAAGTTCTTGAGATACCAGGATGTTCTGAAAAGACACATAAAAGTTGCAACATTGACCCCTCGAGTTGGGAGATGCAGTCGAGTTGCCGTTCTGGGTGGAGGCACTTTGTGAAAACTCAGGTGACAAAATTTGAGGAGCAGAGACTGTCAGACCTGGACGCGAAGCGTGATTCTCTCAAGGCTAAGACGCCTGCAGCCATCTTTTATTACTATGTTGACGATGTCTTTACGTGTCGCCACTGTTTGCGAACATTTACCGATAAGATTGGCTACTGTAGCCATCTAAGGGCACATGAAAGGGCATACAACCGCAGCTCTAATTCTAAACAATAGCAGTCGCTGTAGCCGAAATCGGCTAGGTCATACACACACACACCACTCAGAGCTTTAAGTCACAATGATCTAAGGAGTAATGCCACTACACTCGTCGCCCCGAGACATACACATAAGTTGACAAGTCCCATGTGCATGTTCAAAACTGAAACGCAGTAATGCTCACATCACTGCTTGGCAGCAAAAATAGGTTAGGTTAGTGTACTTCCTGGATGAACTCTTTTACAGGGAGCTCTATTGCGACTAAACCTAACAACTGGATTAGTCTCTTAACGCTTAAGTCTTGAGTGATAAGACAAAAACTACCTAATCGCAAACGCAGTATTGAAGCGTTCGCTCGTTTTTCAAAATATTTAAAATACTTTTCTGTGTCAAACTTACATATTTTTATTTATAAATGTATCGTTAAGTATATAAAAACTCGCATTTCATTTTGACATCACATCACATGATCATACTGCTATAATCGAGATACCAATCCGCTATGCTGGTACAAAAATATCAATACGTAAGTATTGCAATAAAATTGACAAACGTTATTTAAATATAGCACGAGAATAACGTGATAATTTTTTTTTGCAATCTGTAGGTATAATTAAAATAATAATGTGACAACCCTACGCTCCGAGCAAAGTGTAGGCATTAACGGGAAACAGGGTGGGAATTTCAGAGGTTGACTGGTAGAGAATGCTTTTAGCATTAAGTCCGCCTTTTGTACCCTTTGTATTGTGGTCAATAAAGTTTAATAAATAATAAATAAATAAATAAATAAATTTCAAGTAAAAGGACGCAAAATTAAAAATTTTCAATTAATATTATGTTTAGCTCGTTGTACCTGTACCATTTACAGATTGTTATACGCATACATCGAGTATACGGATATAAACAATGATATGACAACATTATGGAAAAGTTTCGGGAAGAAGAATCAAGATAAAAAAAAAAAACAAAAAATACCTACTAATGCCATGTTCAAAATTCAAAATCTTTTATTAGCAAGTGAACTAAGTGATTTAAGTGAAAGTGAAAACATTAATAATGACTCCCGTCGCTTAAAAGACTATTTAAAAATCCCAAAGTTCCTTTGCCATTCTACAAGTACATACATTAAAAACACAAACTAAATGAAGATCTGGCCCAAAGACTTTTATCTAAGTCAAAAATCATAATTTAAAAAATGCATTAACTCGCTGAATAGGCAGGAAGTGGACTACCTAAATTGTCATAGTTATGATTTTTTTTACACAACCTTTACATACACAATTTGGCGCAAATTGTTACCACCCCGTTGATTATGTTATTCACATTCTAAAGTTTATTTTTCAGGTATTCCCCCTTCAATAGTTTTGTACGTCGTGGCGCTGCTCGTAACTGTCCAACTATGCCTCTCCAGCGCTGTCGGAAATTCCGCCCTATTCCAGCATATTGAAGACCTACTCAAAATACCTCGAGGTTTGTTGTCTATCACATAAATCTCCTAAATCACAATAGAATATTTACTGATGACGTAATAATATTGGATGTAGATACCTAAACAAGGTTATTTTTAAACGAAACGGAACTTTTAAGCGGAATTGCGGAATTTTTGTAACCTTGCGGAGCTTTTGTTTGTTATGTCAATTGTGTGACGTACAAACTAGATACGACACAAAAAACAGGGCCCAATATGCGATAACTCGTTTTGTGATAATTTTGTTGGACAGAGGGCACCTGAGTATTGGGCCCATTTAAATTTAAAGAAAATATTCCACCTCTAAGGGTGGCAAACTAGGGGATAAATTCGGTTTCGCGCACTATTTCAATAAAACTTGGCAAATAGATGTGATTGTACGACCTTATGACGTCGGCTTTTTTTAATGAAAAAGTTATAAATCATCTCACTTGTGCGTCGATAGAGTTTCAGTGCCTGGATTTTGTTCGTATATTATTCTGCCATTGAGCTACTGGTAAACTGCCATAGCAACTTTTTTGGTATTCCACTTTACAATTATGAGGAGTCGATGGCACGTCGATGTAGTCTACTAATATTATATTAATTTGAATGGGTACTAAATTGCTTCTTGAACGAGGTAAAAATTTAAATCTGCATAGTAATTTCCAGGTAACCTGTCACAAAGTCGAAAATTTTTTGTCCGAAATAACGTTTGTTCGAATTTTCATGACACCGAAAACCGGCTTATAACGAACATGAATGAAACATGAATGCCATTACTGCTTAGAGGATGGAAAAAAACCAATACTCTAAGCATTACCTTAGAGGATGGAAAAAAAAGGAAATTACTGCCATCCACGGAAACTGCATTGAGACTTCCTTTATTTTTCCATGATTTTTTCCATCCTCTAAGATTGAGACTCAACTGCCATTGCCTTTTTTTTTACAAAAAATAAGTGCGCAATTGACCTCCATCCATCGAGTATTATACTCGATGCCTCCATCTCACCTGATGGAAAGTGACGATGAGGTCGACTATGTAGCATGCACATCTAAAAATGCCTATTCACTCTCGCCTTGAAAAGGTCCAAGTTATAGCGTTCAGGAAATAAGTCCGCAGGCAGGGAATTCCACTCTCTAGCCTCTCGCCATATAAATGTGGAAGCGAAACACTTCGTACGAATCCTGGGAATATCCACAACATAGGGATGGAACCCCTACCACGTATAGTCCCCCGATGATGGAAAGGGGACGGCGGAATTAAATTATGCAATTCCATCGAACACTCTCCGTGATATATCCTGTACAATAGCGATAAGCAGGCAACTTTACGGCGCTGTTCAAGGTTCTAGTTAGCAGAATAATACCTAACTATTGTAATATGATCTCGGTGGAATCTCAATGGAATTACAATGATTAGTGGTTGCAATATAAGTAGTAGAATTCTAATTTAGGAATTCCAAAAGCAAAATTGCAATATAAGGGCCCAGGTCGCGTGTGTTCCGGAGAATTTTCGCGCAATCTCGGGAATTCCCGCAGCTACCATATAGTATCTAATTTGTACGTTACACAATTGACATAAAGTCGACCATAAAAAAAAGCTTCAAACAAACGTCCAATTTAGTGGTAGAGATGTCGTAATTAGGATTTCGAATTAATTTTCTATACCTAGGATAAATAAGTAATGATTTAATTATAACGGTTTCAGATTTCTGCGTTCAACGTTGCATAATCAGGTCCAGTATCGTCGCAATGGCCGTCTTTTTAGGTGAATCGGTACCACGTTTTGATCTCGTCATGGGTTTAGTCGGTTCTACTTTAACTGGACCACTAATGTTTATCTTCCCACCTTTATTTTTTCTACGACTGTGTTATATGAAGTCAAATAAGAAAAAATACTGTGATTTAGATAACCTTAAATTAATAGAACGGACCGATAATCAAAATGGCGGCCAGATCTTTCAACAAAATGGCGACACGTCAAATATCCCGCTTATTTTTAAAAATACGTTCCATAATACATACAGGACGTTTACTAACAGTTATGAAAACGTAGACGGTGATCCACTGGAGGAATACGATATAAAATATCATGATATTTTGTTGGCAGTGATAGTTGTGTTACTTGGTACGGTAGCTACAGTCATAGCAACTTATTCGAGTTGGTCTGACACTATTTCGTCTGCTCAATTCACTCCGCCCTGTTTAAGTAACATTACTGCAGCAGCCAGGAGCTTTTTAGAAGTTACTAAGCCTACGTGATAGTATTTATATTAGTAGAATGACGAAAGAAAAAATTTTCACTTCTCATGCTCTAAAAGTACGTCGATATAGCCTGTAAAATAGCAAGTAGCGGGAGTAAAGTGCATCCTTTCCCTAGGAAGACAAAGTACCTAATTTTTTTATTTACTTCGAGTGAACAAACATACAGTGATAATTTCAGAATTTTGGTTCGTAATTTTGTTGTTTTAGAGCGAAAAATTGAATTTTTTTTTCTCGCGACCGAAGTGAAAAGCAAAGTTTTCACCTCGAGACTAAAAGTCAATATAAACCCTCGGAGTAATAGTCACCTTCGCTAAAGCTCGGGTGTCTAAGCACCTTGGGTATAATATTCTCCTCCTCCGTCGGTCCCTCACTACTGAGGATCGTGACTTTGAGCAAGTATACCTTCAATCAATCTTTTCCACTGCACTCTGTCTTTGGCTAGGTGGAATGCGACACTCACTAGTACTGCCAGACTTTCAGCCACCTAGTCACACCATCGTTTCGAACTTCGACCTTTAGGTCGTTGCCCTCAATCCTGCCCGTAACAATCACGCTCTCGAGACTATCAGTGCCTCTGCATGCAATGCGACCAAAGAAACTGCAGCATGCGGGGCAAACAGACGGAAGACAAGCGTTTGTGATTTTGCAACTGCAATTCCTCAAGCATGGATACGTTCGTACGATGCGCAGTCCAAGGAATCCTTAATAGGCGACACGAACACCACATCTCAAAAGCGTCAATTCTTTGCCTGTCAGCGGCTTTAAGCGTCCAGACTTCCGCGCCATACAAAAATATGGAATAAAACTAGCGTGCGAACTATGCGTGTATACATAGGGCGCACTATAAGTTTCCGGAACTGGCCACTTACATAAACAATATTTCAAAAGTAATTACAACATTTCAAAATGGAACTGTTTGGCTTTAGAATACAGTTTGTTTCATCTGTCACTTGTTTTTACATTGTGGCGTCATTTTAGACATTGGTTGTCTACATCACCATGGATTTAACTCGTGAAAATTTTCGTAGTATGATTTTCTACGATTTTAAGTGTAACTAAACAGCTCAGCGGAGCTTGCCTGGGCTTCAAACCGCTTTTGGCAATAAAGCACCATGCAACACGACTATTTATAGCTGGTTTGCAGAATTCAAACGCGGTGGTGTGAATCTCAGTGACGAATTTCGTGATGATCGCCCGTCCACTGCTGTGAACAACAAAAACATCGACGCTGTGCGCTGTATGATCAAAACAGACAGGCATATGATATACCATGAAATTCGGGCATCTTTAGGCATAGGCATGAGTCAAATACAATCAATACTACACAAATATTTGGGTGTGAAAAAGCTGTGCTTTCGGTGGAACCCACACAATTTGACTCGGGCTCAAAAAACGCATCGCGTCACTTGGTGCTATGCCATGCTTACCAGATTCAATGAAGGAGCGTCAAATTTGGTGTGGGACATAGTAACAGGTGACGAAACATAGATTTATAGTTACGATCCCAAAACAAAGCAACAATCGAGCCTATGGAGATGAACCGAAACCAACCAAAGTGGCGCGCGTGCAAAGTGCCTCGCGCGGATGATTACTTATTTTTTTAAATAAAATTGGACACGTGGCTACAGTTGCTTTGGAGAATCATTGTACCGTGGATAGTGATTGGTACACGACCATTTGGTCTTAAGATGAACATGGACAAGACGAAGATCATGTCGAATGTCCATGTTGTGGGTACAACATCTCCAGTTAAAATTGGGAGCATTACACTCGAAGTTGTTGACCATTACGTATACCTGGGGCAGACAGTCCAGTTAGGTAAGTCCAACTTTGAGAAAGAGATCTCTCGTCGAATCCAGCTCGGATGGGCAGCCAAAAATTAAGAACCAGTTACGCGGTCAACGACTTTCATCACCTGAAGAGGCTGTCGAAGAGTACGAAAAATATGTTTCAGATATTGTCACGGAGGAGTGGCATAAATGTTTTCAAAATTGGTTCATTCGTACGAAAAAGTGCATTAACGCTAACGGAGAATATTTTGAGAAACAATAAATTCATTTCTGACCATTTATAGTATTTTTTTCTTATTCATTCCGGAAACTTATAGTGCGCCTCACGTATAATCATTAAGGTTATAGCAAAATATGCATAAGTATGTACTAACTTGGTACCAGGAAGTACAATGGAATACAAGGTGATTTAAAGTCTGAATTGAAGACGGTAGTGTTTTTGGCGCTAAAGTCTATTACCAGTAAAAATATACTTATTTTTATCGTTATTTTTAAGTATTAAGGAATAGAAAAATAAACACAAATAGATTAAAATAGCGAATTTTATTTATCCAGGAAACAACAACCATCAGTCAAACATTATTCGTAACAATTATATTAATTAAAACTACTATAAAACTAAATGGTCCTAAAATAAAAAAAAATAACAATGTAACAACACATAACATAAACATACATTATTCTATATACACATACATTGCAAATACGAAAGTGAATATAAAAGTAAGTAAACGCTTGGACAATTAAAAGCGAGTGAAAATATTTTACGAATATAAATACAATTTCACACAAAAATAAATGTCTTGTGCATAGATCGCCTTGTAATGTTTTATCTCATACACGATCGAGTGTGATCGGCATGCAATTTTTCGCTACACTCATCTCACGACGGAGATCGCGCGTCTGCATCGATGCAATCGCGCGTCTGCATCGACGCAATCACGCGTCTGCGTCGATGTAATCGCGCGTTTCGCGAACGCGCGATTACATCGATGCAGACTCACGTTCGCGAAACGCGTGATTACATCGATGCAGACGCGTGATTGCGTCGATGCAGACGCGCGGACGTGCGTTTGCATCGCTGGTAAAAGTCGCAGTGTAAGACCAAATAGAAAGCTTTAAAATAAGTACCTATATAACCATTATTTACTACCCATTATTTCATTTCAAAAGCTTATATACCAATTAACAAATTCATATCAGTCTTTATTACAATATGGCGTGTCTTTGTGCACATTTTTGCAAAAGCATTTTTACAATTATTAACCTAAATTGTTAACAGTGACATTTATATCAAAGTACTTACTTTATTTATGGAAATATTTGTTATAACAATATTGTACTTATTAAGACTACGCAACCAAACTGTGTAGTAAAATTAAGCCGATAATTATTGAGCAAGACTGGAAAACTTGAATCAGTTACCCACCATATAGAGCAAATAATAACCCGCGAGTTCTCGTTACTCTGAGTTAGAGATAGGCAGAGGATGAAAACCCAATCCGCCCGGATATTTTTGCCCAAAGCGCCCGGTTTCAACCCATTTCTGTCCATAATCGTGGGCGGAAAACATTATATTATGCGTGAAACAATATTGTATTTGGTATATTGGAAATATCGACGTACAAAAAAAAATTAGACGAAAAAGAAGCAATCCCCGCGATGTTTACCATATACTAAGCATTAGCAGCATATATAAGTGAAAAAAATAACAAGGTTCTTGTTTCGGTAGTTTTCAAGATTCTTTTTTAGGTAGATTGAATAAAATTAGATAAATAGGAGCATTTTGTAATGATATATCATACATTTGAAAAAAACTCCGCTTCAAATATTTTTGTTGTGGTAAATTGTTTCCGCCCTCGTTTTCGGGCATTAATGTGTTTTAACTCGGTTTAAACCGTTAACAAAACACCGAATTTTAGCCCAGTCGCTTACCGATCTCTGCTCCGAGCATCTACCCGCATATATAAAAAGTATCAGAAACGACAAAGCGTCATAAGCTCGGCTACAATTATTTCATTAGATAAAGAATTTCTTTAAGAAATTTTAATTTATTATTTTATATATATATCTTCTAGTTGTACTTTAAATCTCAATTTGTATTATAAAGTTCCTTTAGGCACCATTTAGTGCCTAAAAGGACTTTAGGTGGTAGTGGTGTCATTATTAGTGATGTCAATATATTTATGTAGCCCACAGACCATAATTATATCGTAAAGACATCGCTTCGTCTATATATATTTTTGTTCAAGTGACTATAACGCAAAAAGATTAGTGATGTGAGGGTTCAATAAATTGTCGTCGATATTGATTTTTATTTTATTTTATTATAATTGCATAAGAAGCAATTAGAGCAGATAAAACAAATAAAATGACGGCGAATAAACAAACTTACTTTAAGAGTACAGATGTAACAATTATACATATGTAATTACAAATGGCTTGATACCGCATATGACCAGAGGTTTAAAAAAAACAGACCTGGGGCCCTGTTAAATGTAATGTCAGTCATTTGTAGACTTGAGACCTTAGGGCGCGTTCCCATTATGTCGTAACGTTTTATTTATTCTTGGACGACTGTCGCGTATAGCCTGCTCCACATAACACGACTATCTATCGTAACTGTCCCGTGATCATTTATTTCATCGTTGTACGACTGACGTGTGTAGCTGTTCCCATTAGATCGTGGCGACAACGTATCGGTTCACGGCAACCGCCTTGTCGCTTGCACGACAGAATCGTTTGTAGCTGCGATTATCTGTCGTCACATTTTTATCGTGACGTTTTATTTATCATCGTACGACTGTCGTTACAGCTCCCATTGTCACGACAGTCTGTCGTCGTAACGTGAACGACAGTTAAGCGTGTCGTTCTATGTGCGAACAACTTCATTTAAATACACAAGTCACGACACTTTAAACTGTACGACTATCTGTCGTCACGACATAATGGGAACGCGCCCTTACTGTTTCTTCCATAAAATTTTACGCAACAGTGAAGCATTTTTTCATACTTAAAACTGTCCTGAACTTAGTACTAGACGCGTGTCTCAAATTTATAGTCATCGCGTTATACGGGAATCGCGCGACTAAGCGAAGTCTTTAACTTTAGTGGTCTGTGATATAGTAAGTTACGAATGTGGCATTAGTCAAAATCAAACTTATCTACCTTTAATAAAACCCAGAATATTTTGTTTAAGATCCCAAAATGCCTATCACAATCTATTTTTCGTTCTTCGTTAGCACCAAGTCCTTTTCATACAGTTTCCTTATCTCTTTCTTATCTAATTTCCCCATAGCGTTCCTGGGCATTTGTTCCACCACGACGAAAGTCCTAGGTAGTTGGTATGGAGCCAGTTTCGTTGCTAAGGCTTCCTGGAGGTCCTGAAGACTTAGCTTACCTCCTTTGAGGACAACTACGGCGCCTACTGTTTCGCCATAGTCTGTGTGTTTGATGCCTAGAACGGCCGCATCGGCTATATTTGGATTTTCGAGTATTGCCGATTCAACCTGCAAAATAACATGTATTTACATATCGCCGTCTTAAATTGAAAACCTCGTACGTGATTTCTATGTAAGACGAACGAAGATAAAAATGTGGTGTAATACGCAATAATGTTTGTAGTTAGCATTTTAATTAGTTAAATTACACCTCTTTCGGATATTAGGTATTTAATAATATATTTGAGTAAGAAGTTTCTAAGTTTTTCTTCAACAAAAATCAGTAAAAACGAACTATGTGAAAACGCGCATAAGAGGTTTTCACTCTAACGCGATGATATTATATAGACTTCAATTACGAGGTAACTTCTTCTACTGGCTAGATTATTAACGGCAAAAGATACTAAGTAAGGGTCGCCTGAAATTCACTTACGACGCTTGACTTGGCTTTATTCTGCTGTTATTTTGCATTAAAAAAAGTTTCGATTTTATTTGGTACGTACTGTACGTTATGTACCTTATTGTAGAGAAGCTAAGTTACATATTGCATGGCTTGTAGCGGCATAAGCTGTCGACGACAGGATGCGTCGCGTCGTGTCGTAGCACCAATGTGAGGCGACCATAACGCTACTATTTCAGGTTCACATTCTTTAACTTTTAAGTAATTTTGTCGGTATTTTTCATGTGGTTAAAACGGTTGTTATAGATCGACCGCATAAATCAGACCATGCCCTAAGCTACAGCGACGCGGGGAATGATGTTAAAGGGAATCGAGCGGGAGGCGGGCGGCAAGCGCAATTTTAATTTAGCTCAGTTCACTAGACATGCGGTTTAATAGGTCGTGGTCACTCTGTAAGATATATTACACACGAGATTACATTCCCAAGACTAGTCGATCTATCTTCGGGCACAAAATTAGTAGTCAGGCTAAGCAAATGACATTTAACTTATATGAACATTAAAAAAAAGACAATAGGACCCAAATTCGGCTAAATATCAATAAGTTTTGTTTTATAACATCAAGTGACGGAGCGAACAAGTCGTGCGCCTGATGGTAAGCTACACGCCTGTCCATAACAGTTACAGTGCCACTCAGAGCTTTAAATTACAAAGATTTGAGGGTCACTACCACTGCGCCCATCACCCTGAGACATAAATTGACAAGTCCCATGTGCCTGTAATTTCACCAGCAGACTAACCCTTCAAAACCGGAACACAGTAATGCTGACATTACTGCTTGGCGGCAGAAATAGGCAAGGTGACACTACTACCCTGGACGAACTCTTTCACAAAGAACTCTACTGCTACTATAGATATTTAAACAAAACCGTAGCAGAAGTTACTGGACTTTTAAAAAGTCTTTATAGGAGGATGACACAGCAAGGGAAGACATTGAAAGAGAACAATTAACGTTTCTCGTCACCGAAAAAACCTAAACAGATATGGACATGAGTAATTAATTTTCGTTATTTTTTTCTTTTTCTTTGTTTAAAAAAAACTATCTCGTATGTGTCTCTTTTATTACAATTTTTTGTACCTCTTTTTTATTATCTATCATAATTATTATTTAATAAAGTATAATTATAGTATTTTCATCCACACTGCATTAGCACACCGTTAAACATGACATAATCATAACGTAACGTATCGTTAGAACTGTCCGCAAATATTATCACCTCGTGTGCATCACACTACAATATAGGCCCGCCCCCGGGCCCCAGTAGCGTCGCCATATACATTAATAATGTATGGGTGAATTTACGGAATCATAAATACCATTCATGAATTGGGGAATTGTCACCGGACTCAGGGTACAGCAAAGAAGGCCCACGCATCGCCACTTACCTACTTCATAAAACATTTGGAATCGTATAATATAAAGAAATAAAACGTGTGTTACCAACCTGCAAAGCGCTGACTTTATACCCACTGGTCTTGATAATGTCCACGGAAGTGCGGCCAAGTATCCTGAATTTTCCGCCTGTGAAGGATGCCGTATCGCCCGTGCGGAACCATTCGTCATCTATGAATTCGGAATCATCGAGTTTTGGAGTCCTGTTCCAGTACCTAAAATACAAAGTTACTCGAGTTTCCACAATGGAATGTCATATATATATGGAATAATATAAATATATATGTACCAGAAATATTATTACATATTTATTATTAAACGCCATCTTTTGTTAAAATCTTACTAATGAACGGTTATACACGCGCGATTTTAAGCAGCGATTGAAACGCGCGACTGCATCGATACAAACGCGCGACTGCATCGCTGCTAAAAGTCGCCAAGTGTAACCACTTTTAGTTCTTTGCTAGTTATTATATAGCCCGCTTTCATTTTCTTCGATTCCAGGTAGGATCAATATGGGAAATAAACTTTTCGAAATTGGGAAAGAGACTTTTTGTCCATGGGACCTATAAACTTGGTTTGTTTGAAAAAACAATAATACGCGATATAGATCCAAAAAATAGTTTCATTTCCAATTAACGGAATATTGACAAGAAAAATGGAATAACTAAGAAATAATTTTTTTAGGAAAATAATAGGACATTACGGAGCTTACCTAGAGAAAACTGAATTTCCTTTTAGCAACAACTCTCCGACGTAAGTGTCATCAGAATTCTCTGTGTGTTTAATGACCTTTGGTTGTTCCCACCCGTCGTGAGAAGAAAAAAAATCTTTATTACTCAGACGGTCCAGAGAAATCTAGAAACAAAGAACTTTGCGTTTACTCTTAAGTCACAATAGGATGCTGATAAGCAATAACGTATTAAAAACAACATGATCACAGTTTTGTGAAAATGGCACCTAAACATTTTTTCGTTGTTTTTGATAGTTTGTTTTAAAATTTACTTATACAATGAAAACTTGTTTTTTTTACTGTTGTGCTTGTTGTTGTTGAGGAATTATAAATCACAACAATTCATAATTCCTGAGGTGACTAGTTGTGCAAGTACATTGCACAACGGGAGGTGAGCGTGCCAACAGCTCCGGTACCTATCTGGACAATACGTGCTGTCCGTGCAACCGGTGTCGCTCACCCAAGGCCCTAGCCATTTGAGCACCGGATGAAGTCTGAACGCATGGGGTCAGGACCTAACTGATGAGGTCCCTATGCAAGTTTGCTTGTGCAGGTAATAGTGCCCTTCCTGTATAACCATAAGTTTGGGTAGCGCGGGCACTATAATCAAAACTCAGTAGATAAATAGATAGGGACTGTAGTTCAGTTGGTAAGAGTGGTGACCCCGGTGTGACAACAGACGCTGGTTCAAGTCCAGTCAAACCGATAGAATTTTGTCTTTGTATTGTTCTATTTTTGTATCAATAATACATAACGTAGTGGAATATTTTCACAAAAATATATGAAATTGGTTACCGGAAAGTGCGCGAAACCGGATTCATCTCCTAGTTTGCCACCCTTAGATGTGGAATATTTTCTTCAAATTTAAATGGGACCAATACTGAGGTACCCTCTTTCCAAAAAATCTTTAAAGAATCATCAACATCGATTCACAAATCGGTTATCGTGTAACATACATACAAAAAAAAATACAATCGAATTAAAAACCTCCTCCTTTTTTTAAGTCGGTTAGTTATGGTAGTAAAAACATCATGATATTCAATAGAATAAATAAAGATGTTAGACACCATAAAGATAGATATTACTTGAGTTTTATACATACTTCAATTTGACTGTCAGGTAAGGGTGTTTCCACAGTGACTAGATTTTGTAGTTTTCCTGTCTTTTCATCAACCGCAGCTATTCTAGCTGACACTCCGGGCAACGGCAGACCGACATACCCAACAGTTCTGTCTTCAATTGGCAAGTACGGATTGCTTAACGCCATACCAACTTCTGACATGCCGTAACGTTCGAGAAGGCGGAGACCAGAGATCTGAAAAGGCGTTGACTTGATTTGTACTCAGGGCATATATTAATTATGATTTTCTACACTTAAGCTTTTTAAACTTGAACAGGTATTAATCCTTTTTTAAATTAATTAATAAATTGTCGTGACTAATTTCAGCGTGACCATGGTCGATTTTTTGTAATTTGACTAACCAGATAAAAGTCGCTATTTAGTCGGTTCGAGTCGTAAAAAACTAGATTTAGTCGGTCCGCTGTTCAAAAGTTATAAGGGTGTTTTACTGTCCACGCTGGAATAAGCTTATTCCAGCGGCACCATTTCTCAATCTCACGAACCACAAGACTTAGCTTAGATTTGATTACACTAAAAAAAGTTGTGATTTAGTCGGTTGTAGTCGTAAAAAACTAAATTTAGTCGTTACGCCGTTTTGAAGTTATTAAGGTGTTTTAATGTCCACGCTGGAATAAGCTAATTATTGCGGCAAGAATTGAATGTCGAGAATTACAGCTCATAGCTTAGATCTGATTGCACCCAGAAAAAGTCGTGAATTAGTTGGTTGTAGTCGCAAAGTTTTAGAATTAGTCGCTCCTTTGTTTAGAAGATACAACCGACTTGTTATTTCAAATACAAATTTTGTATAATATACAGAATTTGTTATTTACTTTTTATGGTATTTGAAGGTTTTAATAATGTTTAGTTTTTAATTTAAGGAAATTAGCAAAAAATATACAGTTAAAAAATATACGGTCCATAAATTTCATTTACAAAATATAAAGGTTTTCCAAGAAAAGGTCTTTCAGCCGGCGCCTAAATGTTCCGTCAGATGGTTCAAATCTACTTTGGAAACTGTTCTCAATTGATCGGCACGGCGGAGTGGGATGCCAGAAACATTTACGACTGTAAATGAAGAAAGACTATTTCTAACGTACATTATAATTTCATATATGTAAAGTGAGTAGTGAGTCATTATTATGCATTGCATTACAAAGATATTTCTGCAGGAATGTCTGTTCCACCCCTATCTTTTCGCTATACAAAAGTTTCTTTGACACCAAACTATAACAAACACGTACCTCTTCCCATTTATGGAATAAGGTATCTGGCAACGGCGCAGAACCAGCACACATTAGCCGCATTCTAGATGCCAAAGTCGTTTTAACGTACTGTGCTGTCTTAGTACTTCCGAACATTTTCTCATAATCTGCAGTCAACTTCGCGTACATCGCCGGTACGCCGTGAAAAACTGTCACTTTAGTTTCGTCTTGTTCGCCCATACCGAGTAACCGTGCCCAGACTGTATGTGATACAAAAGACGGCAGCATTCGCAATCTGTGTAATATAGAAATATAGTTCAGATCAGATTGAAAATGAAACTATTCTTTTGGATTTAAAATAGCGTATATTTGTTTTTTTCAAACAAAACAACGTTTTAGGCCCTTTAAATTCCAAATTGGCCTGGCCTTCAAATTGCACACTTATAGAAGCGCTGCAGTAGCGCAACTGTGGCGCGGCAGCCGCGCGTTACGTTTTAGGTACTTCACTAATTGTTACTGCAAGAGTGGCGCGCGCGTGTCACGACCATGGCTTGAGGCTATCATTGATTTAACCTTACGGTTAATTGAGGTGGTAAAGTCATCAACCAGTTATGTCTAATATTCACTGTCGCATTAAAAAGTAGTCTCTAGAGAAATCTACACAATCAACTATGTTTTACATATCCCAGCTGCGAGAAAAACATCCTAATTTCGACCGGGAGGATGGTTTCTCCGTATCAGATTCGGAACCAGTGTTATTTCCGATAAAAAATCCCAAGCGGACCAGTCTGCAATACCACTTATCAATAAGTTTAACATTATTTCATTTCTAATTTCCTATTAATTAATTTAGTAAAAATTGGTATTGTAAAAATATAATATTTTGCAAAACGTTTGTAGCGTAAATTGGAGTTCTTTGGTTAATATATTTAATAAAAGGTATGTAAATGAATAACTTTTTGTAAATATAGAAAAAAAATAGAGTGGTTTGCATTAATATTAGACATAATTGATTGATGATTTTACCATCTCAGTCAGCAGTGACCATAGGACCTAAAAAAGGGACCCAAAACGATGGTTTGATTAAAAAAAAAAAACAAATAAACGCAATTCGAATCCGAAATAATAGTTTTAATTTCCAATGTGTAATTATCCTGAAAATCTTAGAACACAACTTACATCAGTCTACATCATTCTATTTAACTTTACTCTAACAATTGAAAATAAAAATTTGTTACTTGTGGGGATTTGTAATTAGCACTATCTCCTTTCTATGACTGTAACATATTTATTAATAAAAATTTGCTGTAAGGGCGCTTTCAAATTAGACGCTTATAGAAGCGCTGCAGTGGCTTCAATATGGCGCCGCCGCGCCACTACTAATTCTCATACAATATTCAGAAGTGCAGTTTCAGCGCCTCTGTCGTGACACGCGCGCGCTACTTTTGCAGTCACAATTAATGAACTAAAAAATATTGGTGCAGCACTGAGGCGCTTCTATAAGCATCTAATTTGAAGGTGCCTTAAATGTTCCATATAATAAAAAAAAATACCTAGCACCAGCAGCCAGTGACGCATTGACAGAGTTTAACTGTCCGTGAATATGATGAAGAGGCAAAGTATGGAGAACTACATCATTGCTAGAGTATTGCCAGGCAGAATGTAGTGACGCTATTTGCGTACTTAACATACTATGTGTCCATACCACGCCTTTCGGTTTGCTTGTTGTACCTGAAAAAGAAAAAAGGCGCATTGTACCTTTGCTATATAAAATTTCATTCATTTTGATGACAAAACTGTTAAATTCAAATTCTTTTCTTTCCTTTCTTTATTAAAAGAAAATTTGGTCTCACGTCAGGCATAGGTATCGTGAGACCAAATTTTCAAACGCATACAAAGCTGATAATCACAATGTCACTCGAACTGCTCCCGCTTCATGGCTGTTACAGTACAAAATAATCGATTTAGTGATTTTTTGTTGTTGTAAGGTCAGGCCACACAGACGCGGTATAGCGGGAAAAGCGTTTCGGGGGCGGACCTGCGGGAAGCGAATGCGTGCCGGGGCATGCCACACAGCAATCCCGAGTGTAGTTCGTGACGGGACAGCGGCACGAAGGCGGCCGGTGTGACACCAAAAGCGTCACGCCACATTTCATTTTCAACACAAATAAAGAAAGGTCCATGTCACTATCGGATAGTGATGTAGAAGAACTTCTTTAAACTTTTGTATGGGGTGTTAAAGTTACCTTGAAAAAAAATCTGCTAAAAATTTCAAGAAAAAATTAAATACATATTTTTTTAGTGCTGAAACTAGAGTTTACTAGAGTAATTCGGGCTTTCTTTGGCATTGTGCTCATTAGCTGGGCTGTTTCGGGTTATCGTTACAAAAACTAGAACAGCAAAATTAGCAAATTTGTAATTGTAGTACTTAAAAATGGGGTACAGGGCGTACATTTTCAACATTTTTCATTAAAATGCTTATATTACAAAAAGAAAATGACTCCGATTTTTTAAATATTTTTTTCTGGGTAGTTACAAACTAGGCAACATTCTGTTCCCAGGTTATCGTTGAGTTTTGGGACACTCTGTATACTTACTTTGAAGGTTTTGAATCAAACTATTCATATGAACAGAAATTGTTTATTTAAAAACATTTAAAAAATTCTATAATCTTAACACAATTAACTTGAAACTATTTTTTCAGTGAGACTCACTGGGCATTTTCTTTATAACAAATAATAGGTATATAAGATTTATAGAATCAACAATAATAATTGCATTTAACTACTGTACCTACTTACTTTATTATTAACAATCTATATACGTAATTAACTTGAAACTTCTTTTTCTATCAGTCCAAATGGGCATTTTTATTTTAATAAATAATAAGTACCTATCTAAGATTTGTATAACACCAACTATTTTGTTTAAGTTATGTATCTACATAAGTGCATTATTTTGAACAATCTTAACATAGTTAACTTGAAACTTCTTTTTCTATCTGTCTCACTGAGCATTTTTATTTTGACAAATTATTTGTCATCTGATTATTTTGAATTGCAATTGAAATTAACTTGAAACTTCTTTTTATAGCAGTCTCACTGGGCGTTTTTATTTTAACTAATAATATGTATCTATCTAAGATTTATGTAACAACAATTGTATTTAACTTATGTACCTACTTATATTATTTTGAGCAATTTTAACATAGTTAACTTAAAACTTCTATTTCTAACAAACTCGCTGGGCATTTTTATTTTTACAAATAATTAATAGGTCCCTATCGAAAGTTACATTATTATGAACAATCAACAATCTTAACACAATTAATTCAAACTTCTTTTACTATCAGTCTAATGCTGGCTTCCTACGGCCCATGATTTTTTATTTTAACAAATAACAGGCATCTAAGACTTGTAGAATCAACAACAATTCTATTTAATTTTATGTACCTACTTAAATTATTATGAACAATGCATAATTGCAATTATACTTAACTTATATACCTACTTATACATTCGGGAGCAATGAATCCGAGTCACTAACATAAAAATTAACATCTCAGAACTAACAATGCAAACTTATTCAAACAAAAAGTGTTTTGTAGACCATTCAATACTCTAATAAAAATTATAAAACTCCTTGGTTGCTACTTATTAAACTTAACTGTTTATTTATTTAACTTTTTATTTATTAAATTAGCATTCATCATTTCTTATTACATTTTTTATGTTATCACAGCATTAATTCAGTACCATACCTTTTGGAATTACCCTGTGTAGTTTAGTCATCAACTATATTACAGGTACCATAATGGGAAACACAAGTCTTCAGGAATTAGTTGCAATGAAACTGGGATACTTTCTTGATCGTTATTACTTGTTGTGCTAATTACGGTAAATTAAGGAGATTGTACCGGTGCTACTGAAATTTGATTTTCTTCTAGGTCGTTCAGTTCAGCTTCTGTAAAAATGTGTGCAAGTTTCAATTTGATTTCGGCTTGAATTGTGGGTTTCAGTTTTTTAAATGTTTCTGCATAACTAATGAACAGATAATCTACGGCGTCATGTTTTTTTCTTAGAGAAGAGAAGAGGTATCTCACAGTTGATTGTTATTGATGGAGGGAGACGTTTTCCACAACGTATTCGGCCAGCTAACACAGAAATGGCAAGTCTATAGACGTTTCATGCAATATGATATTGAAACGACAATAGAAGTTGTCAAAATCACGTGTTGTTTACACAATTTCATTAAAGTAAGAACGGTAACAATGCGGTTCAACAGAGCGATTCTCAACCAGTTGAGGCCAATGAACTACTTCCAATTCGTACAAATCAAAAATCGTCTGATTATGCAATTGAAATCAGAGAAAAATTTGGCAATTATTTTAATAATAATTAAAAACATAAAAAATATACTCACGATCTTGATTTAGCTCCTCGGAATTGTTTCCCAAATAATTTCTATGTTTTTATAATTTCTATCACTTGTATTAAATAAACTGGGGTATGATTGCACCAATGATATAAGTTTTTCCGTCGAATTCATCTTGAAACTTGATTAAAATCAATTAAAACACATTCCCTAGTTGTAAAAAAATACAACGTCCAAGCCCGCTGAAGCCCCGCTCCCGGATCGCGCCCCGCCACTGACGCGCTGTGTGAACGGTTGCATATAACTCAATGTATTACAACACCCGCGACCGCACCCGCCCCGCGGACGCCGCGGCCGCGGCCCGCGCCCGCTCTGCCTGTTTGTCATGGCGTGCGGCCCCGCACCGCGCCGCCTCGCCCCGCGGCCGCCGCGCCTTTCAGTGTGGCAGGGTTCATAAGAACTGGTACATTACAAAAAATCCCGCGCCCGGAACGCTTCCGCGGCCGCCTCTGTGTGGCCAGAGCATTAGGTATACTTAAGAGCATATCACCATTGATCTACTAAAATTAAGCAGTACTGCAATGATGTTACAATTTCAATTGCGGTTTTTGTTTTTGGACTCTGGACATTTTTTCATGTTTTTGTATGAGACTCGACGACGATTTCTTGATAGTGACCTATCAAATTCATGTCACATTAATTTTCCTCAGTATACATTTAATGCAGTAAGGAAATAAATCAATTTGCTACTCCGCGAACCCAATGAAGGTGAAATCGTGCAAGAAAGCTATAAGTGCTTATAGCTTGAATATTTTTTTCAAGCAGTTTCTTTTTCCCACTCGCTCTCCGAATAAAATTAATAACACAAGCGCAAATACTGTCACGAATACCACTATCACCACGACAAAAATATACCATATATATTCGATACTATTCGGGGCATCCTCAAGAGTTGTGATTGTTAAACCCTCGGCCGAATAAACTTTTGCACATTTAAACACTTATAGCATTAAATTATTTTGCTCCTCCATTACAGTTTTGATTCCTTGTTTTTATTAGTAGCGTTCTCCTCTGCATAATGTAATAATTTATAGACAACCCAAAAGACAGGAAAAAGCTCAGATGTCCCAAATGGAGAACTTATTAAGTTCAAGCCAGCGTCTGCGTCTGCGAACGGTAACTATACTATTCTGCCGCGCTGAGGTCCTGGATTCGATTCCCGGGTCGGGAGAAATATTTGCATAGCCAACGTTTATTTCTCTCGTGAGTTTGGGTGTAGTTTATGGTTGTCTAGGAGTGTGTGCATTAAAAAAAATATTAAGAGTGGCGTACCAAAAAAGATTATGAATAATTGAAAAAGGAACTTACCGCTAGTATAAATGAGCATAGCATCGTTTTCCCCGTACCAAATATTGTTCAAACCAACATCTTCCGTTTTCAGTGGGAAGGCACTATTAGGTTGGTACAATTGAGCTGTGATTTGCTTGTCTCTGGTTATGACTAGAAGATGCCGGTTTATATCCTTAGCTAAAGGAGCCAGCGTGTTTTCAAAATCTTGAGTACTAATTATTAATTCGGTAGAGCTGTCTGTTAGAAAGTATTTAAGCATCTCCGGAGGATGCAATGGTGTTAGAGGCACAGCTGAAATTAATATCGATTTTTGAGCATATTTCACAAACTTTGAAAAACATGAATCTGAAGAAAATTCAAATAACAGAACAGTTATTATAGTGAACTGGTCAAAGATCATTTCTTCCATCCTATAACTTATTTAAATTCAAATGTTTTATTGCATACATGTTGTTAAATATAGTCTTAAATTAGTACATACAGTATTAAACATGACCCTGTAACGGCACGGCGATGTAAATTTTTAAGTACATTTTAAATATATCGAATCTAATGTATTATATTTCATTTAAAATTAGATAAATTAAAAACATAAAAATTATTACAAATAGTCAAAAGTACAATTAAGTAAAATTATTTTATTAAATTATACTATTTTAAATTAGCTAAATTAAAAATATAAAGATTATTACAAATTGTCAACATTTATATAATAGTTGATTTTAATTTTATTCTGAAATAGTTTATCTTCAAAATATTCCTGGATTGTGTAATAGCATTTGTCAATAAATTTTTCCCTTAGTAGTTTAATAAATTTGTAGTTATTCTCCTCGTTTTTTATGTCATTAGGTAATTTATTATATATTTTTATGGCCATTTCATGTGACACTTGGTAACATACCTATGTTCCCACTCATCCATATAGCCCATTGTACGATGATGTGTAAGGCATCATTACTGCACATGTAAGAAACTGTTTCTCCAGTTTCACCCGCTGAAACAACAATTTGTATTTATTTTTTATTCACCGGGTGCACGACTTGTTCGTACTCAAAGCTTTCGATCGCAAAGATCTGAGGGACACTGCCACTGCACCCGTCACGCTGAGACATAAGTTGATAAGTTTCATGTGCCTGCAATTATCCTGCCGCCAAGCTGTAATGCCAACATTACTGCTTGGCGGGAGGAATACGTAAGGTGGTAGTATTCTCTACTCTGCTGCGAACTCTTTCACGAGGAACTCTACTGCTACTAAAAACAGTCGAACAATAAAACAATATTTGCCGAGAGATCTTCACAACAAAATATACTTACACAACTGATTAGCTATTTCCTTACTAAGTTCGGCAGCAGATTGATATAGTCCAGAATAAGTATAGATCCCATATTCGTCTTGAACAGCTACTCGAGAAGGAAACAGAAGAGCTTTTCGAAACACAGGAACTACCCCACCTGTTGGAAAGATTGTGGTTTTGAAAAACGCTCCACTCCCCCACAAGCAAGTGAGGTGAAGTGACGTAAATATCTTCGAATGGAAGGACTGCACTGCAGTGGCGCCACCACTCACCGCCTCCGTGTCCGAACGGTTATCATACTGGACAGCCACGCAAAGGTCCCGGGTTCGATTCGGCCGAGAGAAATATTTGTATGACCTACATTTATTTCTCTCGTGAGTTTGGGTGTAAATTGTGGTTGTCTATGTGTGTGTCCATGGCACTCGCGATACAGGGTTTCCCTGGTCCGGGGCTATGAGTGTGTGCAAAATAAATAATAATAATAAATAAATAATTTTCATACATATTGAGAAGCGAGGTTGCAGCGCTATGTCATGCCACTTTTGCAGTCACAATAGGTGAACTACAAATTACTGAATACGGTCGCGCCACTGTAGCTCTTCTACAAGCGTCTAATTTAAACTTGTCCAAGTGCCAATCACCGGGTAATGATGGACAAGCGTTTCGGAGTATGTAACTTCCAATGCATGATTTCGAGAAAAAGAAATATGTATAAATTCTGCCTTGATGCAATTTAAAGAAAATAATTATTCTGCCATTGATCTCGTTGTTTTCCCGAGAAGAATACGTATTTAATTTTATTATAAACAAAAACCAGCAAGGAACAAGAATATGAGGAATTACATAAGTACTAATAATTATACAAGTTGTAAAGATTTATGGAATTTTGAGGCAGCACAGCAATGGTGACTTTATTGCAATTTAAAGAAATAAATAAACCAAAGTTCTCTATTCGATTAAAAGCTATGGTGACTTTAATGCTATAGTGTCAAATACATCATCAATAATGTAATGCTCGAGCAGTTTTGAATCAGGTAAGGCTCAATTTACATTACCCCTGTACGGGGTGGTAGCGAATATTTGTAACTAAATTCTACAGAGCATAACGAACTACAAATGTCAATTATGTAACTAGATACAGTAGCTGCGGGAATGTCCGAGACTGCACGAAAATTCTCAGGAAGAAGCGCAACCTGTTTTATGGCTCGTATCTAGTGTGAACGATACAAAAACTATTTCACTCAGCCATGTACCTTTACCAGCAGCTGACTAGAGATGTCGCTATAATAATTGTAATTAAACTTATTGAATGTCAGAATTTCAAACAGGCCAAAAAGTCGTTAAAAACTAAAACAAAGATTTCTCCAACAAGCACATAGAAAAACTAATAAGATCCGATACCAGTGCTCACATAAAGGTGCCAAACATGGGGTTTGACTGAGTCTTTCAACCAGAGACTAAAAGTGTGGCAACAATGGATAGAGAGAAGCATGTTACACATCAAGCTGAGAGACAAATGGAGACTCTCCAGAATTAGGAAGGCAACCAAGGTGATAGATGTCACAACGAAAATCAAAAAACTGAAGTGGCGCTGGTGTGGACACACAATGTAAGATCAACAAAAGAAAAGTGGTCAAAAGATGTGACATATTGGCATCCAAGAGATGGAAAGAGGTATATAGGAAGGCCAACAAGAAGTTTGGAAGACGATCTGCTCCGAGAATGACGACCATTGGCACAACACCATTGCTTATGAAGAAATATGGAGGAGGCCTATGTCAGAGGACAACCTGATTAGAACCAGAACCAATGCTGATGTTAGGATTAAGAATTATTACTGTTAGAAGTAAGCATTAGGTTAGACTTAGAAGTAATCAGGGAATAAAGGCTATTTTTATTTATTTATTAACATAAACATCATTTTAAAAATAAAATTAACCTTAAATAAACTGTGAATTCTTTATTCTAAATCTATATATTTCAGTTGCTTGTGGTTTGAAAATTGAAATTGGTGTAACGGGTCTTTTGCGCATGTCATGTGTAGGATAAGGACAGTTAGCTATTTGGTTATTTTGATTGCTATTGGAATTTATGTGTATTGTATGTAAGTATGTTACTCATATATGTACTTTTTATTTTCCTTTTTTTCTTACACTACGGCTCGATTTATATTAAATAATCACAATTTATTTTAATTTCATTTTATTACACTATTATTTAACATACAATAAGATGGCGAAAGCAATTTGAATAAACTTCGTTACATAATCTGTTGATAAAAATAGGAGCTAAACGAGCTTCTCTATAATGAAAAAAAAAGCATCCATGAATTACTGCATTTTTTGTCTATGGTTGCCTGTTAGTAAAGAGGGAATATCATAGGCATGCTATGTCAAATGTTCGAATGTTTCCAAATATTTGCTATGTGAACATTGACTTACAATTGTATGGACGTCGGGTCCGCGCTAAAAAGTGTACGCACTTGTAAGGCGCTAAAATCGTATACAGAGCACCAAACTCCGCTTTAGTCTTCATTTGTTCGACTGACAGCGCGATACTGCGATGACATTACAATTTAAATATCGAATAAGTTGACTTGGGACATTTTTTTCGTGGATTTTGTATTAGACCCGTCGTCCATTTATTTGTAAGTCAATGTATGTGAACTATAAATTGAATCAATGTGATCATTGTGAAAAAATGTCTTAAAAAGGAAAATTAGCAAATAATGTAATAAATAGACTTAGGTATGGAATGTAATTCCACCCTTAGCTAGACTGGATGCAGCAGAGATTTTTTGGCAAGATTGTATAGCGCAAGACGACATATTTCGTGGAGTACTTAATGTGGTGAAGTTGATAATGGAAATGAAAAAACATTGATTCAGACTACTGTTTAGTGTGTGATGGATTTATGGATTTTTTTGCTTGTACCTTAACAGAGGGCACTGCCTATCAATGACGCCTCCAGTCCTATATGCTATCGGGACATGAATGTAGAAGTCATTTTGATGACCACAGGATTTGCTAAATTTCCTCTCACAAGAAATCGCATGAGACAGAATCATGTTAGGTAATAAAATTAGTCGTTTAAATTATACGACTCAAGTTCAGTTACGTATACAAAATAGAATTCATGCAGTTATATACGCACTGCTAGCGATGAGAGAAGAAATGCGACATGATACATAAAGCTAGTAATGTTTACAGTTCACGCAACTTACCGATTTTTATATCATCGTTGAAAGAATTCAGCAACTCCGTATTAGGTTCATCTTTGCGAACCAGACTAGCAGCACTTTTGTGCCTACAGACAAGTAAACGCGTTCGAAAAAGCCGGGTGAAAGTACGTAATGAACGAAAAGTAACCTCCATGATAGTTATAAAACAACGAACTTATCTAACCGAAAGACAGCTTAGGTTTGACTTAGGAATGTTCCAACTATTTTTATGTAAATAAAATGAAAATTATGAAAAGGATAGTATTATCTCTTCATTACGAAATATTTTTCGTGTTTTCGTCATAGACTAATATATAATAATATATAATACTGGAGATAGACTGGCAACTGTCATTTCTTGACGCTGAGCGGCATCTATACGCTAAGCGGAGTACTAAATGACGTATATATAGCTACGTATCTATAGATAGGATATCATTCAATCATTTGATAATAATAAATACTTAAAACTTGCATGTTTTCATTGTTCTCGAAATATCAAAGGTATTCACGACTTGCAATAAGAGATTAACTACTTTACTACAGAAAATAAAGTAAATGATTCTATACAAGTCGGTCAAACAAGTATAATATTTCGAGAACCATAAAAACACCCAAGTTTTAAGTATTTATTAGTACCAAATAATAAAAAAGTGTATGTAGTTAGGAACAGAGATAAATAAAACATATTAAGGTATTGTTTTTTTTTAAACATTTATTTGTACACCAGTTTGCCGTTCTCGTTTTCTACCCTTTTTTTTATTATAATGTTCTCGAGCACGTACGATAATGCGGTCCATTTCACTATCTGTTTTGGAAAAATTATAAAAGCTCTTGCCAGTAAGGACATTGCTGACTTCTCTGCACCAATTGTTTACGAAGAACACAACACTTTTATTCAATAAATACTTAGATAGTGTATTTTTCACATCTACAAAGTGCCGACGACAAATTCTTCGGGTTTTGTAGATAGTGTTGTTGTCCAGGCTCGCAATACCACCTCCAATGATCTTGACCCAATTTTCAAACCTTACTGCATCTTTCTCAGGATTTGGAAAGTAATGTAGAGGTACACCTGAAAAAAAAATTAAAATTACTTGTACCGATACGCAATTTATTGACTATGAGTAATAATTCTTTACGTAAAAATATCAATGCTTGAAAGGCAAAATGGAATAAGCGACAAGAAAGAAACTTAAGAGAGCCTTCTACCTCGGAAATATTGAATGAAATTCACATAATTTTTCTTAGAGACTAATTTTTTAAAATAATATAAAGCTTTGTTTCAAAAATTAGTATTCAAGAAAAGTTATGGTGATTATTTTTTTTATAGTTTCGCCGATTTTATGGCTCTCTTGCAAATTTTGTGTCGTGTCGCTTATCCCATTTTGCCTTTCAAGCATTGATATAGTTGTAGTTATTTGTTATATCTGTGTATATTTCTTAAACCTTTAAACTCATTAAAAATGTCCGATAAATAAGATACCCTTTAGAAATTCATCGTTTTTTATTGATATAAAGATATCTTCTGACAGATTTATGTACATATCGATATGTTTAAGTTACCAGAGTAGGTACAGAATAATTGAAGATACAGATATGACATGAGGTTTAATTTTTAAATAACATAATTACACTTACCACCCTTTGCTACGACCAAACACCCAGGAACACAGCAGACGTCTCGAGGCATTGTGTAAAACGTTCAACTATTACTACACAGATATATGGTCCAAACTCCGTAGGGAGGGCCTATCTTATGTATGTAACAAACACTTACACAATAGACACAGTCAATACTGAAATGATGGTATTTCGGAATATTATACGGAGGAACTGAAGCTCAACTCAACGTAAATATCAATAAAACACCAAAATTACGAGAAAATTGCGCACGAGTATACAAACACAACGGCAGAAAATTTTCTTGTGACTTTTAGTATGTGTTGCCATAATTTGCTAACAGATAATAACCCTGCCATTCCAAAATTATCAAACAAAAATAAAATAAATTATTTATAAATCAATTATTGCCGTTTTAAGCATAACTTCTGGTTCCTACAGATCAACCAGAAGTTATGTTAAGTTATATTATTAAATTATCTAAGAAAAATAGCATAATTGACAATTTATGTAATGTACTAAAATGTATAACGCGAGAAAGTGGTATCACTGATAAAAATAGTTCCCCGCGTACGGGATAGATGGCGTGCATCTTGAAAAAAAATATTTGTTCATAAGTTACCAGGGCATGGTTTTCGTTTCGTTCGGCCCTGTCCAATTATGACATTACTTTTTTTATATCATTTTTACAGTTCTAGATCTAATACTTTAGTCTGAAAGTGGCGAGCATAAAAATATGTCAAATTGATTTTTAAAATAGGTCAAAATTATAAATAACAACAATATCAACCCATTTGTACGTTCCACTGCAGGGTACGGATTTAGGCCATAGTCCAAATGAAAAAAAAATCCGAAAAATTGGAAAATCATAATTTCCAAGGCGCATTATGTTCTAAGATTAGAAATATGTTTTGAAGTTTATTTTATACAAGTTTATTTTATAACTGATTTAGCGTCAATTATAAAATGAACTTGTCTAAGTAGAAGCCAATTAAAGAAAAACGGGTTTTAAAAAGATGTTGTACAACTTATGCCGAAAAAACATTTGTAAGTCAATGGAAAAAAACATTAAAATTAATATTAAGGAAGGTTTCCATAGTTTAGATTTACAACAGCGAAGGAAATCTATTGGCTACATCCATTGACTTACATATAATTGTAAGTCAATAGCTACATCGTTTTCTTTCAGTAACTTCAACTTTTGACAGGTGTCAACGATGAATGTGGAAAAATAAAATTAGGGAAAACAATGGAAATATCCGGAAAAGTATTTATTTTTCTGAAAAAAAAATTTTTTCCGAAAATGAACATTTTTCTATGATCCAATCTTAGAGGATGGAAAAAATTCCATAGCCTAAGGGTCGTAATCCAGAACTCTACTCAATGCTCAAGTCAGGACTTGAGCAGACTTGGGTATGATTTCAAGTACAGGAAATACGAACGTAATGGCACGGACTTGAGTATGATTTTCAGAGCTTTATATCATACTCAAGTCCTGACTTGAGCATTAAGTAGAGTTCTGGAATACGACCCTTAGGGTCGTATTCCAGAACTCTACTCAATGCTCAAGTCAGAATTGCACTGGAAACACAAGCACTGGAAATACGACCCTAATGGCAGGGACTTGAGTATGATTTCGAGTGCTTTAAACCATACTCAAATCCTGACTTGAGCATTGAGTAGAGTTCTAGAATACGACCCTTAGAATCGTAAAGCACTTGAAATACGACCCTAATGGCAAGGACTTGAGTACGAAACTAGAGCCAATTGAAGATTTGGCTTTGATGGATTTATTCCGATGCCGTGAAACTAATATTAAAAAAAAAAAACAACAACAAAGTTTACGTCAATTGCAAACATTTTGGAATTTGGTTACCTATAATTTGTAAATAAGGTTTTGGCGGAATCATCGATGGTGTCGATGGAGTTATAACATTATAAAGAAGAAGAGAAGGTTTTCGTAAAGTTAAAGTTATAAGTAGATTATATTTATTGTCGACGATGGTGGTGAACGCTCCGGACGCTCCCGTGCAAGCTGAGGTTATTTTCCTCATAGAAGTGACCTCAACTAATGGAGCGTACATTAATGAGTTGAAAACGAATTATATAGTCCCTACATTAGAGTAAGTAATAGTTTTTACCGATTTCTTTTATTTGTATTCCTGGTTTTTTCGTTTAAAAGTGCAGAATGTAGCAGAAATGTACTTAAATTACAATGTCTTTCAATCCATTTTTTTTTGGTTATGTCTTATTTTGCAAAATTCTAGGGTAATTTCAATAAAATTTATGTTTTTATCTATTTACTACTACTACTACACTGTTGATGTGCCTTTTTATTGGTTTTACAAAAACTTTTCTAACACAAATTACGTTGTTATTAACCTATTAACATAATTATTGTGTTCATATACATATGTGTACGTATTGAAAACATAAAAAAATCGCATTTAATTGTTTTTATCAAACAAACTTTTTAGTGCTGTGACTATGAGACCAGTAAATATCTAAATCTTAAATATTTGTATTTTCAATAAAAACCAAAGTTTAGGGCCATTTCCAGCTCCCGTGGTCACAGGTGAATTCTCAGGTAACGGTCCGAAATGTTGGTTTGTTAGAAAAAACAAATATATGAGATTTAGATATTTACTGGTCCCATAGTGAGTGAAGTTTCAAATTTATTATTTGAATGTTATTAAGATGTAGCTTCATTTCCATTGCGTAGCTATAACGAAAACCTATATTATATATATTTATAATTTTTGTGTTGTAAAGGGGGCTAATCCCCTTTACACACTCACTCTATGGAGCTCGATCAGGAGCGTACAGGATTACGCACAGCCAGCATGCGCAATCGCTTGCGATTACCTGTTTAAAGATTTTTTTGGTGGATTTCTTTCGCGCGCGATTGTTCGTGTTGGTTTTTATTACAACTGAAGAGAGTCTGTGTAAAGTCAATCTTGGAACGAGCGCCACTAGCGAGCGCGATCGCGCGGTTTTTCCCTTTTCCTTCCACCGTCTTTACACGCGCGCTCAATCGCGCACGATTGTTGTATCACACGCAATGGAGTGTCAGTGTAAAGTCCGCTATTGAGACACAAGTCTAACATGAAGAGGCCACATGAGAAATGAGGAGCTTCAGAATAAAAACTGATAAATCTGACAAATTTTAATTCCATTTTTCCTCTTGTCTTATTGAATGTATTTGTTTCTGATCTGTGCATTTGAAATGTATTTTTTAAAAGGATTTAGGAATTATTGTTCACGTTGGGTACATTATTCCTAGAAACATATAAAAACAACCATTTGGCATTAAAGAAACAGAATAAGTAAAAAATTTGGCTTAGCAGTTTTTGTTCTGACAAGTGTCATTTCTTAAACTCTTATTATTAATATTTTTTTTCTTTATTAGGTATTTTCATGGTGGCGCCCTTGAGGAAGGTGGTGGTACAGGCTCAGTATACAGCATAGTCACATATAAGAATGCAGACTGCCATCCTGGGCTTCCAGTTGCTACATATGGACCATTTTTTGGCCCACAAGAGGTTATTGATAGGGTGGATAAATTACAGTAAGTATATTTAATTTAATTTTTAGAAGTACTGCCATCTTACCTATGTTTGTCGCTGAACATTAGTGTGAGCATTACTGTGTTTCAGAAATTGAAAAGTATGATGTAATTACAGGCACATGGGATTTGTTAACTTCAGTCTCAGGGTCACGGGCGCAGTGGTAGTCCTGAGATTTTTTTCGATTTAATGCTCTGAGTGGCATTAAAACTGCTTGGGATAGGTGTGCGCTTAACAGGACTTGTTCATCCCGTCCCTTGGTACCATATTTTTTTTTGTATATAATACCAAGTGACGGGACGAACAAGACGTGGGCCTGGTGGTAAGCGACACGCCTGTTCATAACAATTGCAGTACCACTCAGAGCTTCAAATCATAAAGATCAGGGGGACATTGCCACTGTGTCCGTCTCCTTGAGACGCTCTGACAAGTGCCATGTGCCTGTAATTTCACCAGCACCCCTACTCTTCAAAACCGGAACGCAGTAATGCTCACATTACTGCTTGGCGGCAGAAATAGTCGAGGTGGCAGTACTTCACTGGCCAACATGTTTCACAAGGAGGTCTACTGCTACTAATAATGCTAAGATGCTTTAGAATATGTGTAAAAATGCTTTTACGTTTTAACTCAAATGAGCGTCTCAGGCGCGTGAGGGATGATGGCTTATCTTTCGACCGCGCGCCAACCACGCAGTTGTATTTCGAAGAATTTAAAATGTTGGTGCCTAGTAAATAGAATTCACATTCGCCATTAATGTACGTGAAAGCGCGGTAACTGAGCGGTCGCCCGAAAACTTTCGCGTCGTGTAACTAGCCGCTTAGGGGATATATGGCAGGTTGGGGAGTTAAATTACTATAGAGTAGAATAATCCACAGGTTCCATATTAACATCCTTATAGGACTTATTAAAAACAAGATAAAAAAGATGACCAAGAGTCTCTTTGAAGGAGATGCTTTTAGATATTTATTTCTATATACAATCTCACCAAGATAGGCAGTGACCATAGACTGCAATTTTATGCCAAATTAATATTTAATTTGTTGTTTATGGGTTAGAAGCCACTTGTCGGCATGTAACAGCACCACGATCATGATCATACTAAACAGGTATTTTGTATAATGTGCCATCACCATACTGAATTGTGCTGACAACATAGTGAAACGCGCGTTTAATATAGTCGCTATGCTATCAAGGGCATATGGGCCATCGATTAAAAAAAAACAGCCTTTATTCACTGATTACTTCTACTACTTTTGTTGATCTTACCGTGTGTCCACACCAGCACCACTTCAGTTTTGATTTTCGTTGTGACATCTGTCACCTTGGTTGCCTTCCTAATTCTGGAGAGTTTCCATTTGTCTCTCAGCTTGATGTGTAACGTGCTTATCTCCAACCCATATTGGCACACGTTTAGTCTTTGGCTAAGAGACTTAGGGGTATACTCAATGCCCAAGTCAGGATCTGAGTATGATTTCAAGCACTGGTAATACGACCCTAATGGAAGGGACTTGAGTATGATTTCGAGTGCTTTAAACCATACTCAAATCCTGACTTGAGCATTGAGTAGATTTCTAGAATACGACCTTTACCTACGACTACTGGTAGGATGTATATTTTGAAAACTTTGCGCTTGTCTGTCATTGGGATTACTTCATTCTTGAGCAATTAATAGCGTGCCCAACTGTTGCTTACTCTTGTTTAATTTCCTTTTCCATTTGTAAACTTGGGGATCGATAACATAACCAAAAATATAGGGTTATCCCTAAATATCTGCTGTCTGTTCATAATTTGGAACCTCAAGTATGAGATCTCCTCTTATAAGTAAAATAAAAAAAAATAAAATAAAAAATCATTATTATTATTATTTTTTTTTTAATTTATTGGTTCACCAACAACTGCTTACACTAAAACTACAGCTAGAGAAATACATAACATTGTTTAAAGGCTGAGTGCAACAGTTAATTACTGGTAAATACCTCATGCCATAACTGAAAACTCGTAATCGTAATTGTTTGAAGATGTTCTACTTTAAATACATAATTCTATGCCAACTCTGCTTTTACGCTTCTTGAAGTCTAGCAATAATTACAGGTTCATAGGCGGTCACTCAGAGAGCCGTGCCTGTGTGACTGAGGCCCTAGCTACGGCTCTAGTATGTCTGGACGAGCTGCGACGAGCAGACGTGCCTGCCCACATATTACTGCTCTGCTGCAGTGCACCATATACGGCCTACGCGGGAGGCTTGGCACCACCAGGTATTTTCAACTGTTTAAAAAAAAATCATCTAGCAAAAAATTTTTAATAGAGATGTATACCGTGGCATAAATAGGTAAGGTGGCAGTACTTCCCTAGACGAACTCTTTCACAAGGAGCTCTACTGCTATTAGAAACTGATCCTACCGGGAATCGAACCTTGGACTTAATCCAGTGCCCACTGTGCAAACCGTTTGACCACAGAGGCCGAAACTATATTTTTGGGTGAAGTTTTCCTGAACACTTTTACATTGTAAAATTTAACTATATTGCAGACAAGCCTTGAAAATGAAAAATGAAAAATGAAAATGAAAATGAAAAATATGTTTATTTCTTTTTTACATGTACTTAAAATTAGAATTTACAATTGGGTCTTCCTTTTAGGTATCATCTACCTGTATCAGGAAGGCCCACTCTTCCATTGTACTTTAATCTTAATAATAAACCTAGTACAGAAATGAATGAATTTATAAATGTAATTATGTATGTGAATATAATTACATATATATATATAATGTATAATGTAATATATTAAATAATTATTCATATATAAAATAAAATTAAATAAATATAAGAATGTTAATTATAATTAATATATATTATGTGTGTGTATTTGTATATGTAAGGAAGTATACATACCATCTGATTATTGAATACCCGTTAGGGCGTAACCTAGAATAATATTAATATCTATAAATCTTTTAGGTTTTTAGTGAGATGAATATATAAAATAGTTGTCCAAAATAATGAAAATAATGAAAATAATAATTAGGAGGTATAGAAATGGGTATATAAATTAATGGTGAGATATGTTCTCCGTTTCCTCATAAGTCAGTGACAGTAACCAGTTAGTCACAGCCTTTTTACAGATATGGAGCTGTAATTTGTAGATATTAATTTATTTTTTTTTTATTGATAGCCTTGCCTCGTATAAATAGCACATATTTTTGCCAGTAACATGTCTTAACGTTTTACAGGCAGTCCAAGCACGCTAGAACAAGCTGCACGTATGCTATGCGAGCGAGGCGTGCAGCTGTCAATAGCGAGCGCTCGCAGAATAGCCGCTCTACATGCTTTGTATGAACAAGCTGGCGGCGAATTGCTGGCTGCCACGCAGAGAAATTATGCGAAGGTATGTTTTCTTATTTGGTATCTACACATTCCAGTATATTTATTTATACTCTGTCTTTGTTTTTCCTTAATGAATGGCTTCTGAGACTAATTTATTGTCTCAATTCTGCCAGTGTCCGTTACATGTTTGTCTCATAAACATCATGGAGGGAGTGTATATAGAAAGTATAATCGGTGACTTGGAGTGAGTATTGAACAAGTTGCTCCCTAGAACAAAAAAAACAGCACAAATTAGACAACACAAATTGTTAGTAACAATGTATGTATATTATTTAAGTTCAAATATATAATATATTTTTTTTTCGCCTGAGGGCGCCACTTGAAGTGTACTTATTGTTTTCTTGAGAATTTTAGTAAAATAGTTCGTATGTGTTATTTGGAAAAAAAACTGTGACATAGTACTTAGAACCTCCACAAATATGGTCAATTAGTGTTTGTGAGAAAAACAGTTTTAAATTTAAAAGTTATTAGATGAACAAATTAATTGATCGAAAACAGGTAACAACATGCCAATAAGTTAACACCTTAATATAAAAATTTAGTCTATATATCACGTGATACAGTGTATGGTTTTTCAGTGCTAAATAGATTCAAAAAGTGAGATAAATTTTAAATTTGATGATTACCAAAATCGTTAAATATTAAATGAATACATTGAACTTTGGACTCCATTCTAAAACTGTGCATAAAACAGACATTTGAAATTTCGCTCCGTGACGTCAATATCCTCTTGGTCTAGTGGTTACACAGTGAGACTGCTATCCGGCGAACGCGAGCTCAAACCCAAGCGCCGACGCAGGTCTGTTTAAAAAAAAAAACTCGCTATCTAGCGAAACACGGAAGAACTACATGGCCAAGCACCAAGCTACTTGGTTGACTAGGAATCGATAGTTTGTCAATCACTTCCACTACTTAACACAAGAGGCGATAGTCCGTCATTAATTATTACAAGGTGTCTAAAGATGGCGTTACCAAAATTGAAATGCGGTGGATGCTTACAAATTATTACCGATAAACAGTATCTCACTTGTTGTAAATGCCTTGAACATTAAGACTTGGACTTCGCAAATGTTAGTGTACAGCGTTTCTATAACACTATGTCACCGGAGCGGAAAAAAGTTGGTTATGCCAAACTTGTCGAAGATGCCCAAAACAAGTAACACAATTACGCCAATACGTGACTTAAAAATTTCTTCTAGTAGCATTTCAGACAAAAATGAGTCAAGTGAGACAAGAATGAGAGAGAAAATTCCCCAAATCATAACAATGTCACACAAAGAAAAAAGACTAGTTTTATGAATGACAGCATCTATCAACTTGATAACGGCTGGAGCTCTACAAATAAACGTTGAAACTGACACTGAAAGTACTATAAACTGTTTATCGAATGTGAAACAATGGGAAAATTTATTAGGTAAAAAGTTTAATCAATTAAAGGAGCAGTTAGTTGCTGAGATGCGAGAACTTATCAAGTTGGAATTTAAAACTATTACATCGGAGTCATAACAGAACTCTAGCATCCCAGAAACACAAAAACAAATCACGGAACAGACGTTACCAAAAACTAGTATTGAAATTTTAGAAAGTACAAGTAAAAAATTGGAACTAGAAGTAAATGAGATACGTCAAGTACTACAGAGAATTAACAAAAAGTGTAATGATAATTATCAACAAAGTTCTTACCAAAAAGATATTAAGAAAAAAATTGTTTTATATGGTTTTGAGGAGCACCCCTGGGAAGAAGAATATGAACTACGTGATAGAATAATATTTGCTTTTCAGGATATTTTAAACATTAACCTCACCGGCTATTTAGAAGACATAAGAAGAATAGGAAAGAAAGGAAATCGACGGCCTATAGTCATCGAACTATTGAGCCAACAAAGGACCAAAAACATATTACAACACGGTTACTATTTCAAAGGAACAGGTATAGCAGTCTCAGAATATCTGCAAGAGGAATCGCTAAAAAATAGAAAGTTATTGATTGAGACCCTAATCAAAGCACGACGACACGGACAGCGAGCACACATGACTGATAACATACTATACATAAATGGCAAAAAGCACAAGCCGGCATCCGAACCAACGAATCACCGTTCTGCACATAGTGCACCATTTAACCCTATAAATAAAGAATACTGCAACACCCCCAAAGCGCATAAAACGAATTTCGAAGACAACCAAAACAAGACAAACAATTCTGTGAACAATTTTCGCCGCTAACTTCAATATATTGTTTCAAAACATTAGAAGTCTGAAAAATAAAAGACATACTGGAAGCCGCCATTCAGGAAGATGAGAACGTGCAAGCCATCTGCTTAACAGAAACATGAATCACGGAGAAAAAATTAGATCTTCAAATAAATGGCTTTCAACTCGCATCCTACTTTTGTCAATTTAGTCACGAAGGAGGTGGCGTATGTATATTGTTGGAGGAAAATATTGTTTTTAAAGAAAGAAAAGGTCTATCATGCAATTTAGTAGAATTTGTAATAGAAACATGTGCAATAGTAATACCTAAATTAAATTTAGTCTTTATAAGTTACTTTATACATAGGGTCGTATTCTAGAACTCTACTCAATGCTCAAGTCAGGATTTGAGCAGACTTGAGTATGATTTCAAGCACTGGAAATCAGACCCTAATGGCAAGGACTTGAGTATGATTTTCAGTACTCACTGCAATACTCAAACCCTGACTTGAGTATTGAGTAGAGTTCTGGAATACGACTCATAGAATGCCTGAATTGTTTTTCGAGTCACTGTCAAAACTACTAAATCTTTTAACAAAAAAAGATACTAAAAAAATGTTATTATCGGGGGAGATTTTAATGTGAATTTTTTAGTACAAGATATTTCAACCGTAAATCCTATCGAATTTTATGAAAAGCTTTAACTTTATACAACAAATGAAGGAACCGACTAGAATCACTCAAACCTCTGCCAATTGCATAGACCATAGATACTAATATTTACCAACATACACAATGCTAACATAACTTTACAAATGACAGTCAAAGATTACGGATTCTCAGACCACAAAGCAATCTTAATAAATATTCCGAAACAATCAACTAATGATAAGAAATTTTGATACATAGACAAAAGATCAATTAATGGAAAAACCATTGCTAACTTTAAATCTGAACTGCAAAAAGTAAAATGGGACAATTTAATAAAACAAAGTGAAAATGTAAGTACAAACTTCAATGCATTTCATAATAAAATTCAACAAATACTCAACACCACAATTCCTAAAAAACGTATAAAATTAATTAACAAAAAACGGAAAACCTGGTTAACAAAAGAGATATCATGCAATTTAGCTTCTAGTTCAAATAACCCTATTGTAAAACGACATTACAAAACTTACGAAAAACTTTTAAAACAAGCAGTTTATATCTCAAAGAAAGAACAGTATAAAGGTATTAAAAAAAATTCAAGCAACATCACAAAAAGTATGTGGCAAATAATAAGAGAACGCACAAATAAGGGAACGAAAAAGGAAAAAAAAAGAAAATATTTCATTAAACATAAATAATTTGGTTACTGAAGTAGCAGTTGAAATGGTTAACAATTTTAACTAATTGTTAACCATTTCAACTGCTACTTCACATCAGTGGGGGCCTCTGTACCGCACGATCCCTTTGCTGCTGGTCGACCAGTTGACAAACGTTCTGAGAATTCAATATTTATACGTCTCACTGATCCCAAGAAATTTACAGTGTAATTAGAAAATTGAAAAATAAAAGAAGTTTCGGTTACGACGAATTACCTCCAATACTAATAAAGGCATGTGCAGTTGAACTTGCGGAGCCTCTCTCAGTTTTGGTAAACCACTCACTTAAGGTAGGAGTTTTTCCAGAACTACTAAAAATAACAGTTGCAAAGCCTCTGTACAAAAAAGCGATAGGACTTGTTGTGATAATTATCGTCCAATAGCACTCCTATCCACGTTTTCCAAAATTTTTGAGACCATTATGTACAATAGAGTTTATTCGTTTTGTGAGAAATACGCAATGTTTAACAATAGGCAGTACGGTTATCGAAAGGGACGTTCTATGGGTTTTGCTATTTATAATTACGTTAACGAAATAATGAAAATAATTAATGACAAAATTCTACGCGTTGTTTGTTTCTGAGGGATGTTGGTGCGTGCTGAAGTTAAAAAGGTTTCCTTGAATGCCCTGTATGCCGTAAGACAACTGTCCGTCGTCACGTCAGGGAGGGACTCCACTTTATTATTGATTTCCATCGAAAAAGATGACCAGTGAGCTTTATTTAATCTAAATTTTAAAAGTGGGGGAGTGCAATGAACTTCTTTCTCTCTCTCTTTGAATCTTTTATCCGGCAAAGAGATAAGAATGGGGTAGTAGTGATCACTGCCATATGTACTTTTGAGAGTGCACCATGTTAAGAGAGAAGCCAACTGCGGGGAATAAATTGTTAAGTCTATTTATTGCACTGCGTGGGTTCTGAGTTGGGTTGGGCCTTCTTGTGGGGCTGCCGTTATTTATAACGCACAAATCCAGCTCATCCAGGAGGTCAACAAGCAGGGTACCGAACGAATCGTGCGCGTTAAAATCGCCCATAACAACTATAGGGGAGGGGAGCACTGATATAATGGAGCGAGGATCTTGCAAAACAAGAAAATTAGGGTGGGGAATATATATTGACACAAAAGAGATATCTTCAATCCTTACTGCTACGGCGTTAAGTATATATATATATCTATTGTGTGAGGGGAGATGGATTTGGGAGAAGAGCAAGGATTTATTAACAAAAAGTGCGCTCCCTCCATGTCCATCGTCTCTGTCATCACGGAGACACGAGAAGCCGGGCACACTGAAAATGTAGTCCCTGGGAAACCATGTCTCCGAGATGGCACGGACTAATGAAGAGATTGTGTTTATTATATGTTGGAATTCATGTTTTTTGGATTTTAGACTGCTATTATTCCATTGAACAATATTCAAAGCCATTTTTAGTGAGTAGATTTAAAAGAGGTAAAACTTTTGGGGCAACATTGGGCGGTAGTGGGACATCACTGATTTTTTTCAGAATGTTAATGACCAGTAACCATAGAAGGTCAAGGCAGTCATCATTAGGGGAGGTCTCTGCTGTGTTTGAGGAGTTACCTAAATCACAGCCATTAGGAAGAGTAGAAGAGCAATCTCTAATTATATTGTTGTGTGCTTCTCTGTCGTCACTTTTCCCTAAAGGGCCTGATTGACGAGGTGTCAGAAATACTGTTTTTCTATAAGACTATGTTAGCGGGTTAGAGGGAGACAATTGTGTTGGGAAGGATGGTGAAAGTGTAGTGGGTATGCTAGTGGATACCCTTGATGTGTGTGATGTGTGCATATGATCTTTTAACATTTGGGAAGAGAGCAGCAGCTTCCTGGAACGATATATTGTCCTGTGACATTCGCATTTTAATAGATTTTTGCCGGGAGTGCTCAAGGCAGTTCCTGCTTGTGGGAAAATAGGTACCTGAACAATGCAAACAAGTAGCTTTATCCTCGACTACTGAGCAAGTCTCCCCAAGTGACATTGGGCGCATCTGTAACACCTAGGCTTGGATCGACATTGGGTCTTAATGTGCCCGAAACGGCAGCAGTTGTTACATTGTATAGTGGGCTACTGGTAAGCATCTACTACTATAGACGTGTAATAGAGTAAAATTCTCGAGGGTAGACTTTGACCTTGGAATGTCAGTACGACCGTTTGGGTAGCGGCCCATGTAGTAACTCCACTATCAATCTGCTTGCGATTTAATCTTCTAGCTTTTAACACAACACCACAATGGTCAGGTGTAACCATAGCCTCTACTAGCTCCTCCATTGTCAGCTCAGTAGGGATACCTCTGATGAGCCCTAAACGTGTGACATTGTAGTTCGGAATCACAGTTTCATATTTATAGTATAAAGGTAGGAAATGATTGTTGATAAACTCGTTGGCATCCTTACCAGTCTTAAATTCCACAGCTACTCTGTTCTGACCAACCGTTTTGATTCCGCCTTCAACAACATTTTTATTTTTATTTTAGACGGGTAAAATGACAGTTCATTGCGCAAAAGTATTGCCCGCTTGCGAGCAACTAGTGATTGCAGTTGATAAATATTCTATCGACTATCGACTGAATATGGGTCACGTTTATGGAATAAATAGCCGAACTTGTTTCATTTGAATCATCCTGGACTCAATATTCATCCAATTACTGAGAACAAGTAATTTGAATTGTCAATTTTTGTAATTTCATACATACATACATTGTAGAACTCTGTTTGTGAAATATATAACGAGGAGACATATTTTAAAGTTTTATTTTTAATTCGATATAGATAATTAAACTCGGCTGTTCTTGTCAAAATGTTTTATAAATAAAAATTGATCTCGATACTAGTAGGCCAGCTATCAAAATAAGAAAATTAAGAAAAAAGAAGAAAGAAAGCAATAACGCAATTAGTAATATTAGAACGTCGTAACATTCACAATTTAGTCATTTTTGGCAAAATTTTCACTTTCACAATCTGTCGATAAAACTATCGACAACAACCTACTATTTAAAATTTTTTGAAAACTGACAACCCTACATATTTCATTTTACTCTGTCATTTTACTCCATCTTCAAAACAGACAGACTATACATGAAACTCAACGGCCAGGACTGGCCTCCGGTGAAGCTCGGCCTGCAATCGCGCAGACGACTTTGTGACTTGATAACTTTAACTTTTAGAAATAGTAAAGCTCCTTCTGAAAGAATCCGTTCAGAACGTACTGCCACCAAAAGTTTTATAATATTAACAGAAACAGGTAAGTTGGCAGTACTTCCCTGGACGAACTCTTTCGAAAGGAGCTCTACTACTACTTAAATTTAAAGCAGTAGTGATACTGGAACTGTTATGGGTATGCGTGTCGCTTATCACCAGGCGCACGACTAATTCTTCCCGCACTTAATACGAAATAACAAGAAAAATATAGTACGCTTTCGGTGATTCTCACATGTACATATGTACATACATTAGGAGCAATGTTATATTTTGTAATTGTAGATTATGGTTTCTTATTTTTTTCCCGATCTTTTAGAACTGCGAACGCCTACCGTAGTATAATTCTGTAACTTTTAAAACATTGTTTGGGTTTTAGTGAATAAGTACTATAGTATTAAAATTTATTATGTTTATATTTACCAAACGTAACTGCAGGACCCTCGGCATCTCGTGCTCCTGCGCGGGTATAGCCTCAAGGAGCGGCCACCCAGTCCAGCGCCGCCGCCTGTGCCGGAGATACAGACAGATGTTTACCCGTTCGTATAGTTATATTTATACAAAAGAAGATCTGACAGAGTGGGTCTAAGATAACGTTGAAAACGTTTTCTGGCTATAATTCCTTGCAAACTTGATAAATTAGATGTCTGCAATAGGCTTCAGCGTTATTTGGTTACGTCATAGATTACTTAATAGTTACTACGTAACAGATAACATTAATAATAATAATAACGCATAGCTCTAGGGAAACCCTGTGTCGGGGCTGCCATGGACACACGTAGACAACTACATCCAAACTCACGAGAGAAATAAGTATAGGCCATACAAATATTTCTCCCGGCCCGGGAATCGAACCTGGGACCTTTGCGTGGCAGTCGGGCATGGTAACCGTTCGGCCACGGAGGTAATTACAGATACATCACTCTCGTACAAAATCGAAAATACCTATATAATAGTCTTCTAATACTGACTAATGATACCGGCGCTCACTACGAGGCAAAAGGAACCTAAGCACGCGCTCAGAGAGGTGAAAATAAATTGCCCGCCGTGCGCAGGAGTGCAGAGCCAAATGCTCACAAATGAAAAACTTGTATGAGCGGTTGCGCCGACGTTGCGCACTTATCGCGTAACCTTGAGCGAGTGACGGAGACCTGGTTAAGTCCTTAATTTGGAAACCGGTTCTTGTGTGGCAATTACGAAGTAAGACACCACTGGATGTCCTGATAATCTGGCTCAAGTTACCCAGAGTTGTTAGTCGCGGGTTCCTTATGACCATGTGTGGTGGGATGGTTGCATTAAATTGCAAAGGCCTTATTAAAATATTATTACGGCGATTTAATAATCTGTGGTCGAGTGACTTGCACACCGGTTTTTATGGTGTCGCCATCTTTAAGTCCCGGGTTCCATTCCCGGTCGAATCAATATAGAAAAACTTAAGTTTTCCAATTTCCATAACTTAGTGCTTTAGTTACTTACTTTGGGATCGGGGCAACGAAATGTGATGTTGTTTTATGTTTATTATATATTATTTATTTATTATTAATGTTATGAACATTCACCGCTGGATATAGAATTTTTACAAGGCGCACCAGAAAGCTCGGTTTTCAGCTTTCAAAAAAACAAACCAACGTTTCGAGGAACGGTTGACGGGACCTGTAAAGGACCCGAAACGTTGGTTTATTTGAAAAAAAAATGCATACGATTTAAATACGGAAAAATAGTTCCATTACCTACGTGTAACGATCGCGAAAACCTAAGAACTCGATAAGACAGACAGATAGTTAATGTCAAATGTTTTGGCCTGGCGTAGACCTCAAGGCCGCGGGGCCGCACCCGCCGCACGTCCCCCGGCGCCGGCCTTTCCTCGAGCTGCACCCCCCGCCGCTCGCGGCAACTGGCTAACGCCGCGAACTGCGCTCTACGCCAACAACTCAGCCCTGTTGACTCAACTAGCTCAACCATCATATCCTCCTCCGCCGCCATCGTCACACAATCCTCAGGTCAGTTTTAACAACTTGTTGATAAAAGGCTGATGCCAGGGTATTTTTAGATTTGTGGTGCTCTACTGCGACGACTTACAATAAGGTTCAATTTAAAAAAATGGTAGTAAATTAATTTGCTACTCCGCAAATCCAGTGGAGGTTAAATAGTGTAAAATAGATGCGCTTGTGTTGGTTTGTAATTTTTTCATGCGGTTATTGAACAGTTATTGCGGTATTTTCAAATTTTAACAATAGTAATATTGGGGGTAATAGAGTATAAATGTGACAATGGACCAATTAATCAAAAGGACTGCTATACTTCTTTTCAATCCATTAGACGGTTTAGTGATGGCCAATTATAATGCCAACTACAAATCGATTAATTAATTGAACGAATCTATTTCTTCAATTGGGTCCTACTAACGATTTCCCGATAACATAACCTATTAAGCACCTGTAATTCTACTTTCAAAACCCTTTCATTGGCTAAATGCGAAGGCAAAGCCACTAATATTTAAAAAAAAAAACAAAAGTAAATTAATTTATAAATTACCGCTTGCTAATATGGTTAGACGCCGCCAATCCTAAACTAATTAAAAGAATGCCAGCAGTATCCATAAAATCCTGTGAAATAAGCGCCATCTAGTTGATTTGTTTGTTTTCACTAGAAATTATGATAAATTGTAACTCGTCAATGTAAAACAATAAAACAAAATAAAATTCGTTGCATGGTATTGGAAACTGAAATTTTTTTAAATGATTTTTTTAATAAGATCTGTATTTTTTTCATTAAACTCCAATTTTGTGTACGTATGGTGTAAGTGTCGGTCTGCTAAGCTTATTCATTTTGCAGAGATTGCCGGGAATGGCGGGGCCAGGTCCGTCTACGTCGTCGCCAGCTGCGGTGGCGCCGATGCAACGCGCGTACATCTGGAGCGGCGTGCTCGAGTGGATGGAGAAGGGCAAGACACCCGGTGACCAGCAGAAAGTCACCAAACTGCTGCCCTGCCAGGTCATAAATAGCACAGTCATTTGTATTGGCTATTGGGTATTTGTTGTACTTGAAATGATATTTGACGTTCAGACATTGGCAAATATGGCCAATCTACACAAGGGGCCAAATAAGGAGTTATCAATCATATTTTAGATAGCTGAAATAGTACAGCGCCGACAACTGACCTGTGTACACATCTCCGTATATTCCAAAAATATTCTGTATTTATTGTAATAAAATCTCTAACAATGGAGGCTGTTCCATTCAGTGGTGTGGGAAAAACAAAAAATCACTAATTACAAAACAAACGGAATCACATTTCGTCGGTAATTAAATATGCAATTTTGCAATTTTCGGCCGTTAAGCCAGTGTTGGGCGTTAATCAATTAAATTTCAGTCAGAAATTTAATTGTCTAAAAAATTAATTGCAATTGATTTAATTCCAATTAAAATCAATCGCAACGTCGCTATTCATTTTAATTGCAATTGATTTTAATTACAATTAAATTAATTGCAATTTTTTTAAACTGTCTTAAGAAACAATTGAAACTAATAATTAAAACCGAAACTTCCGAATAAAAGTGTCATTACGAATATGGCACTCATTTCTAAATCCAAAATGGCGGGCACGATTTTTCAAATAATGGGGAGTGAGTTTGTAGTGAGTGGGGAGTGTGTGCTCTCGTAACTAATATGACATTCCTTTCTAAATCCAGGCGGGCACGACTTTTCAAACGACAAGTAGACGGGAGAGGTATTTGCGGGTGCTCATACGAATATAGCATTTAGTTCTAAATCCAAGATGGCTTCCCACTCACTCCTCACCCACTCTCCGCTCACTCCCCACTCACACACCACTCACTCCCCACCCACACCCTACTCACTCCCCACTCCCAATTATTTGAAAAATTCCACATCCAAATGTTTGTGTAGTATTCATTGCATTTGACTCATGCCTATGCCTAAAGATGCCCAAATCTCATGGTATGTCACATGCCTGTCTGTTTTGATCATACGGCGCACAGCATCGATGTTTTTGTTGTTCACAGCAGTGGACGTGCGACCATCACGTCGCTGACGCAAATTCGTCACTGAGATTCACACGACTGGGTTTGAATTCTGCAAACCAGCTATAAATAGTCGTTTTGCATGGTGCTTCATCGCCAAAAGCAGTTTGAAGTCGAGCTCCGCTGAGCTGTTAAATTACACTAAAGTCGCAGAAAATCATATTACGAAAATTTTCACGAGTTAAATCCATGGTTATGTAGACAACCAATTTCTAAAATAATGCCACAATGTAAAAACAAGTGACAGTCAGATGAAACAAACACTATTCTACATCCAAAGAGTTCCATTTTCAAATGTTGTAATTACTTTTTAAATATTGTTTATGTCTGTGGCCAGTTCCGGAAACTTAGAGTGCTCCCTGTGTAGTGAGCACTATAAGCTCGACGAACCGCTCGACACAGACGGCAGAACTGCCACCCATCGTCATTGAACCCGAAAACAGCGCTGGGCCATCCTCGACACCCAGTTCACACATTGAAAATCTCGCACGGTCTGAGCAACTGGAAGACGATGACGTTACGCAGGCGGCGGATATTAGATGATTTTATGCTTTGTTGTTGACTTTTTGTTTGGTTGTTGATTTTTTATTTATTGTCTTCACAATAAATAAAAATCAAGTTTTTTTTTAAGTTTTTTTAGTGACTTTAATAACATAATAATTTAATCCTTTTTATTTTGTTTATTATTTGTTCTTAAATTATTTTATGTAAATCGATTGAAGAGATGCATTCTGCATCATTGCCAGACACTATGGTGTAACAACTAGCTTGTGTTTGTCACAGGTATCAGCCAATTCAAAAGACATAGAGCCGGAACTGAAAGTGGATACATGGCCTAACAAGTTGCTGATGCAGCTGATGCCGAAGCAGCTCATCAGCAACATCGGAGGTCAGTACCTGAAGGACAGCAAGTCGGTGCTGTTCCACCTGCACCCCAACGAGGCGCTCGAAGCCCTCACCAAGGTCATGGGCAACGGTTATGTGAGTATGCTATTTGTAAACAACGCATGATACAATGAATAACATCTGAATAAACTTTTTGTCCCCCTATCAGAGAATACGATCACAAAAAGGAACTAGAAGAATAGGCGGTATATTATTCATTAATTTACATTGCAAACTTACAGCTAAATAGCTAACACGCTTTACATGTCATAAACAGATAATTTATATCTTTTTAATATTATATAATTAAGATTCCTATTCTAATTCTCAAAATATACAAACTCCCTATATATGCAGAGTATATTTTTTTTAATGGGACAGTATAGGGAAATGCGAAACCACAGAAGATACAAGGAAACTGTCCTAGGAACCATTAAGTCTTTTTTGTGAAAATAAGTTTGCCATAGTTGACTGACAGGACAGCAGAACTTTGTCAAATTTAACAAAAAGTTTTTTCATACAATGAAATTATTGCTTCATGAAACCGCGTCGCTTAGGACTAAAAAAATTTTGATCAATTTTATTAATTTTTATGGACAACTCACGCTTAACCAAAAAATTGACTATACCAAAATTGTTTTCACAAAAAAGACTTAATGTTTCCTAAGACAGTTTTCTAGTATCTTCTGTAGTTTCAGATTTCCACACTGTTCCATTAAAAAAACACGGTATATTAAAGACTCAGCAAAAATGTCAACATGATCGCGTTCGCGGAGTGCTAGTAAAGCTTATTTTCAACGAGCGTGCACGTCCACCGATGTTTTGCTGTCGAAATGCCGCTCGTGTGACTACACCTTAAGATTAGAGAGTAATAACTTGTCATTTATCTGGATGTCTTGGGCAGTATGTTATTTTAATATTCTGGTAAACTGCCTCCGTGGCTGAACGGTACCATTCTGGTCTGCCACGCAGAGGTCCCGGGTTCGATTCTCGGACCGGGAGAAATATTTGTATGGCCTACATTTATTTCTCTCCTGAGTGTAGGTGTAATTTGTGGTTGTCTACCTGTATGTGTGTATGCACCCGCCACACAGAGTTTCCTTAGTGCGGGGCTATGAGTGTGTGCGTTGAAAAAACCACGTAAGCCGAAAGAGAGCCCTGTGGTCTTCTTATTCTGTCTCTAAAACCACTGCTTTTTCGTAATTATCAGCAAAACTTTTGACAGTCCTGCCATTTTTGTCAAACGTATAATATGTCAATAGTTTGTCAATGTTTTGCAGTGTTGAAGTTTCTTCTTTTTCTCTTTGCTTACTTTCGGTACCTTTTTTAAGATATCGCTGGTACATCGGGTATATAACCTGAAAATAACCTGAAATAGAGACGATATAAATACATTCCTGGAACTCATTAGTGATACATCACTTATAAATATCAACTCTCGTTTGCACTGAAATAAAGACAGGCCAACAACTGATTTGTGTGTACGTCTCCGTATATTCCAAAAATATTCTGTATTTATTGTAGTAAAGATAATATCTCTAACAATGGCGCGCTGTACCATTCGGTGGTGTGAGGGAAAAACAGCAAAACATCTAATTACGTAACAAACATAATCAATTTTCATCGGTAATTAAATATTAAATATGTAATTTTGTAAATTTCGTCCATTATAGTTGTCACAGTAATGATATGGCGGAATAGTTTTCAAACAAATGAAATGACATATCGTCTCTATTTCTGGTTATATATTCGATGCGCTAGTATCCGATTTGTAAAAATAATATAAATTATAGCTAGTGTCCCAGTTTCAACCACCGCTTTTTTACTACCTGTCGTTAACTTTTGAAAGAAGAGGGGCACTGCCTTTGCACTGTCACATAAGACATAAGTTGACTAGTCCTATTTGCCTGTAATTTCCAGAACCTTACGATAACAGTTGTCGACCGATTCCTTTTCATTTTTATTCACAACACCCGATTCGAACGTCACACTGTCGTATTCGAAACCGACCCGAAATGACGTCACACCTGTACGATTACTCGACCTACAAACGTTTTTCAGAACACAGATTGTTTACGAAGCAAGAATGTAACCTGGAAATTTCTTTTTTTTTTTAATAAAGTTAGGTTATTGTTCATTTTTATTAATTTATTTTAATGAAATACTAATGCATTCCTATATCTTAGACCTTGAAAGTCTTAAAAATGTGTATAAAAGGATTTTCATTTTTCTTATAATCTATTTCACTGACTAACTCCGTAAACGCTGTTGGATAATAATATCTTATATACCTTACTCTTTAAAACCGGAACACAGTAATGCTGACGTAACTGCTTGGCGGCAGAAATAGGTAAGGTGGCAGTATTTCCCTGGATGAACTCTTTCACAAGGAGCTCTACTGCTACTAAATACTACACTGAGATTTTTTGTGGAAAATGTCACTTATGTGGTTTTACCTGTAAGCAGGCGATATTTCAATGCTATTATATAAAAAATTATACATGAAAATAGTATATATGGATTACACCTCTTTAATAGCGTCATGTGATTGCCAGCACTCTTATGTGGTTTTTGATATAGTGTGTTTGTTATTCAGGCCGGATGCGTCCACTTCTCGTCGCCACCGCAGTGCGACATCAAAGTGCTCATACTACTGTACACGCCTGACAAGAAGGCGTACCTCGGTTTCATACCCAACAACCAAGCTACCTTCGTCGACAGGCTTAGAAAGGTAAGTACCGACATTGTGGTCTATCTATCTACCCGGATTTCTAACTTTCGAAATATTGGAACCTAGAATGTTTTTGTTAGTAAAAAAATGACAATAAGATAAATAAATACATAATTACGCTGATTTTGCTTAGGATCTATTCAAACTCAAATGGCTTTGGTTGATTCCGCATAACAGTGAAAATGTTGAATCAATAACTTTGGAAAAAATATATAGTAAAATTGAGGATATAAACTGATTACTATACGGTGTGAAAACACGAATCCTAAAAATTGTGACGATAAAAAAACCGCAAACTTACCTCGAATTTTTACAAAAAAACTGCTGTATTCAATAGGTACTTTACCAATGTTTTTTTAAAAAAATATCAATGGAATTAAATAGAACACGTATACTACACGATGTACATTTTTCAAATGGAACTTCAATTTCGTTTGAAAATAAAATATATTCTGAAATAAAGCCATTGTCCCTGCCGTTCGACCCAAGCAAAATAAACCGTATTAATATGGGAAAAAATTAATTCGAGCTGAGGTACTATCAACTCTTAACAATAAAACTTATTAATTAAATTTTTATTGAATTGATATTCAATTATTTTTTTGTGAAATTACTCCACTAGTTTGTTATAATTATTAATACAAAGATCGAACACTCAGAAAAAACACTCAGAAAAAATTCCTTCGATCCGGTCGAAGTACAAAGACACGACGCAAGCACATAGAAAAATTCGTGAGGTCCGTTGGTTCGTTCCGTGGCTTAGTTGGTATAGCGTCTGGCACGGTATGCAAGAAGACGTCGGTTCGAATCCGACCGGATCGAAGGAATTTGTTCTGAGTGTTTTTTCTGAGTGTTCGATCTTTGTATTCATAATTATAATAAAACTTATACTAAAAAAATTTATAAAATAAACCGATTAGATGGGATTGTAGATCTCGATGTGATGATCCCATATATGTCAATAATACAATTTTGCTAAAAATGTGGATGATGTTAATTATTATAAGGAGTGCAATATAGAAAACCTCTAATTTCTCACCCTCGGACATTTAAATAGTTTCGGTAAAACATAAAATATGGACTCGTCAACAGATCATGGTATTTGTAAGAAATATTTGTCGTTAAAATTTCAATCGAAGAGTTCAGGGAAAGAATGATCAAAGTCACTTGAGGAGAATTTTAGGAAAACAGATATTTTTTATTTGACAAACTTAAAAATTTTGGTAAAAAAATACACGCACAAATACTACCTAAAACTAAAGTCAATACTGATTTAAATGTATGAAACGCTGTGTATCTCCATTTTAACTATAAATATTTATAAATCTCTTTTAATTTTTCTACCATTTTGTCGCAAGCATTGACATTCAACCTTATTAACCTTTTTCTTATTTAGGCAAATTACGCTGAGCGTTTACCGAACTGGAGGGCGGTACTTAGCTAAAACGTGTTATAAGTGACTTTGATCATTCTTTACCTAATCTCTTCAATTACATTTATTTCAAAGTATTTTTTTGTGAAAGACTTGTTTTTTATTATATAACTACTGCTAACTTTTTATTGTTAAATAAAAAAAAATTGTTTTTAAGCTGTAATATAAAGAAAAAATGCACAAAGAAGATGTCTAAAATACAGATACTTATTTCCTTAGTTTAGGCATCGCAACTACAATATTAGGTTCCTTCTAAGATTAAAATTAAAAGCATATAATTTGGAATGAAACAATAGACCTACATATAAAGCACATTAATTGTAATCCGGTATGTAATCGCTTAAAACCTGTAGAAACATACATCCCTTCAGGAAAATAACTTCGCCTGTCGATTCACCTCCATCTTTGAACTTTTTTTTACAACCCCAATATCTTTTTTACTGATTATAACCTATTCCTTAAATCTGACAATTATTGCAATCAGCAATAAGCATTTCAAATCAAATAACCGATTACACAACTTTTGCTAACGAAATGTATGGCTTTACTATGAAGATTGCGTAATTGAGGTTCCTTTTTTATACAAACGACACAAATATCCTTTATTGCATACTGGGACAGCAGGCGGCCTTATTGCTATATAGCAATCTCTTCCAGGCAACCTTCAGGCTACAGGAAAAACTTTAAGATAGTAATTAATTAATTGAATAGTAATTAATTAACAGAATATGTATTTAATACATGTATTGCATATACACAAATGTGATAAGAAGAATAATAATAAAAATATAGACTATTTAAGTGTGGCAGGTGGTTCATATAAACTCGTACATTACAAAAAATTCCGCGCCCGGAACGCTCCCGTGGCCGCTTCTGTGTGGCCAGAGCACAAGTCTAGTCTAGTCATAGAGATAAAATGATACTTCGGACACCTGTGATATTTTGGATCGTCATTTACTCGGATTCAGAATATATACGAATCGGACGTACTGCGCAAACGTACGTATGTAGCTTAAATATCACTAAACAATAAACGTTATAACTTGGACCTTTTCAAGGCGGGAATGAATAAACATTATTCAGGTGTGCTTGCGCCATCGTCGACCTCATCGTTACTTTCCATCAGATGAGATAGAGGTCAAATGCGCACTTAAAAAAACGACTTTGTCACGTAATCGCATTTTAGTTAGCAAGTGGTAGTATTATATATGATTCGCTTTATAACACAGGTGATACAGCAGCAGAAAATAACGCAGATAATAAATAAGCAAATGCCCGTTGGCGGTGCGCCGGGAGCTCTACCTAGCAACATGCCTACGAGCACTATGGCAGGTAAATATACAGAGAACAATACATATAATAGAAGTTCTCATTGGGCGTTAGGGCGCGTTCCCATTATGTCGTAACGTTTCATTGATCGTTGGACGACTGTCGCGTCTAGCCTGTTCCCATATCACGACTATCTGTCGTGGCTGTGTCGTGGACGTTTATTTTATCGTTGAACGACTGTCGTGGCTGGCTGTTCTCACTAGATCTTTACGACAATTTATCGGTTCACCGTAGCCGCCTTGTCGTTAGCACGACAGAATGGTTTGAAGCTATCTGTCGACACATTTTTATCGTGACGTATTATTTATCGTCAGACGACTGTCGTTCCAGTTCTTCCCATTATTATCACAACAGTCTGTCGTCGTAACGTCAAAAAAGTCGTGAACGACAGTTTATCGTGTTTTTCTTTATGTTAACAACTTCATTTAAGTATGTATATTTAAATGAATCCACGACACTGAAACTGCCCTATCTGACTACTGACTATCTGTCGTCACGACATAATGGGGACGGCCCTAACACGAGTGCTAACAATACGCGGAGTTCCGCATACTTCTGTGACGATGCGACCTCCTCAATCGTCATCCCATCTTTTTATCACCCTTTTCTCTGCTAAAATTTTGAGTCGTTCTCTAATTCTTTTTCTTCGCCATTCTTGACTTTGTTTCGTTCCGTCGCCACTCCATCAAAATTCTCGAATAAAAAAGATGTGCCCTTCAATCATGTAAACCGAATTGATTATAAAGCAGCAATATACAGGGTGATAGATCGAACGAGATATATATTTAAAGGGGCCAAGTACCTGATACCCATATCGAATATGTAAAAAGTACCTTATTTTTAAATATTTTTCTCTAAGGAATGCTGCCTCTACTATTTTGTAATACTCTGCACAAGATCGAACATGCAGCAAGTGCCTGCTACCCTTACCGGCCTCTGCGCATTCTTTGAATGAAGGGACAATTGAATTATTTTTAATAGTACTCTTTTATGTAGGAAGGCTTGACACGCGGGATTTCAATTTCCGTTCTGTTTCATTGAGTAGCCAAAATAAAGAGTGTGTTAGCATTTGTAAAATGGCACGAATTTTTTTTTCCTATATTTTATATAATATCAAGTGACGGGACGAACAAGTCGTGCGCCTGATGGTGAGCTACACACCTGTCTATAACAGTTGCGATGCCACTCAGAGCTTTAAATCGCAAAGATCTGAGGGGCACTGCCATTGCGCCCGTCACTCTTAGCCGTAAGTTTACAAGTCCCATGTGCCTGTAATTTTACCAGCACCCTTACCCTTCAAAACCGGAACACAGTAACGCTGACATTACTGATTGGCGGCAGAAATAGGTAAGATGGCAGTACTTCTCTGGACCTCTACTGCTGCTAAAAATGTCTTATGTTTAGGGGCGATTTTTTTTTTTTCATATTCGGATTAGATATCAGCTACTCGTATGCCTCTTTAAATATTTATCTAGTTTAACCTGTCACTTTTTATGTACGAATACATGCCCTTTTGGGGTAAGTGTCTACTTTATATATATGCAATAAACATATCTGTATGTAATTTAAGTTATGGAGGGTTTTATAGTATTATACCTGTGTTTTTATACCATTGTTTTTTGTTACATTGTGTTTTGTTTTTTGTTGCAGTGATAGTGTTTTTGTTTTCTTCTCCTTTCCTTACCTTTTCTTTGTTTCTATCTCTACAATAAAAATTATGTGGACCGAGGGTTACTCTCATTATTACGCAAGACCCGCGTGACTCTGGAACTCAGTCAAAACACCCTGTATGTTTATAAAGGCACAGGAGCAATGCCAACGCCAGGCATGTCGACGGCTATGGGAACGTCAATGGCCGGCTCGAGCGGCATGGCGGGCGGCAGCGCTATGGGCAGCAGCGCCATGGCCGGCAGTGCTATGGCCAGCAGTGGCATGGGGGGAAGCGGTATGGGCATGGGGCAGGTCGGCCAGATGGGGCCGGGGACCGTGCCCGGACCCAGCCAGGGCATGCAGCCGCAAGTGCAGCAGCATCCCCAGGTTTGCTCTTATTGTAATACTTCATTTGTATGCATACTTAATTAACATATGTATATGTATGATGTGTAGTATAATACCACATATACAGGTTGTCCCACAGCTAGGCACACGGAGGCGAAACATTTTAAATATTGTAAATAGGATAATTTGCTTCATGAATGTATTATTTTAATTTTACAAGTAAACAATCCTCCATTTAGGTACCCATAGCACCGGGAATCCTAGTATTTTATAGTCCGTTTTTATTGAAGATGGAAAAATTTGACATTTGCAGGGTTGCCAGTTTTCGTAAAATTTTAAATAGTCATGTAGCTATTGTCGATAGATTTATCGATAGGTTGGAAAGATGATAATAGTTTCAAAAAATGTATGAATTGTGAGACTTATAACATTCTAATGATTAGTAATTGCGTTATCGCCGTCTTTACTCTTATTTTGACGTTTGGCCCGCGAGTATCAAAATCAATTCGTAAAGTATCTACAGACGCACGTTCAAAATATTATTTATATTTATTATATATATAAATTATTAATAATGATAGTTGGATTTGATTATCTATACTGAATTAAAATGAAAAACCACAAAATTTCCCTTTTTGATTTTTAATAGATGTGATGAACTTATAAAAGTTGACAATTCAAATGTACTTATAAATTTTACAATTCAAATGTACTTATAAAATCTACAATTCAAATGTTGACTTAAAATTAAATATGTATAATGTACACTGGGCGGATTCACAAATTACGAAACAAATGTATATATACGTGTTTCATATACATTTTTTTTAATTCGAAATTAAATCTCTTCTATGTTAGACGAGGTAATGGTATCGTCGGAATCCGATACATGTATAATAAATGTATCACATACGTCGTCAATTAAATGGTCGAGTTGGCGCATTTTCGTTTCGACATCGTTGATAACGTGGTCTACACAATTTTTCCACTTTTGTGGCGTTACATTAGTTATCTCTTCTCCAAGCAATATTTTAACTTCATTCATTTTAAAAGTTTTGTTATTTCTTGCGACGTGCCCCTTTACCTGTGCCCAAACTAACTCCGAAAAACCCGAGTGCTGGCCCATCTCTGGTGCGAATTACGCAATTTGACTGTAATGATAGCTTTAATTGACAAACACGTCTTACGCCAAGATTTCTGCACCTAAACAACTACAGCAAGTTATTTAAATAATCTGCCAAAGTGAATATTGATTTGCGAATGATTACCTTGGCAATAGTTGGACCTTCGTTTCGGAAAAAGAATTGATGAACCTTGCGTCTTATGGCCTCCAAATGGAATTCATCGAATTTTTCTATGTAGCTTTTTCGCCTGCCTTTCGGTTTAGGGGGCTGAAAGTTCATATTTTCGCATTTTTCTTTTAGAACTGTATAAACAGTGGATTTTGAAATGCCCAGAATGTCAGCCGTTTTTTTAGCACATTCTGTTTTACTGGCAGCTTCTAAAAGATTTGGATCGCAACCCTTGTTTTCTTCCTGAACAATGTATTTATATACATTCTCCGTCATCATCTTCTCAGTAGTACTGAGAGCAATACGTTGTCTTTTCTTTCGAGGCGATAAAATGCCCGAAATGGATGGTCCTGGGTTGTCCATATTGCGATGCAATACGCAACAAATACAGTAACAAAAAAAACTTAACAAAAACTTAACACGATAACAGAAAACAATAACGTGAACTAACAAAAGAAACGTAATAAGCGCGAGCGCAAGTGAGCACATCCGAACAAGCCAAAGAGTGGTAGTCGAATGCGGCAAATTCTGCCGGCCCGCTGTGCCCGTGCGGCAATTTATTTATTTGTTTAAATTTTAGTAGCTACTTTTGTCTATAATAAGTAATATAATAACGACTCGCATATACCAATTACCAGCATAAGTAAAGATGACGTATATTTTTATTATACAGTTTTTTACGTTTTTCAATGTTAATTTCTAATAAAAAAAAATAAAAGCAATAGTAGCCCAGCAGTGGCACGAATAATGGGCCGATGATAATTCAAATTTAACAAGTTCGGACAATCATTGCGTAAGCGTAACCAATATTCAGTCGATAATTCATTCATTCATTCATTCATATTTATCGACTGCAATCACTAGCTACTTGAGAACGGGCAACACTTTTGCGCAACGAATTGTCAAATTTTTCCATCTTCACTAAAAACGGACTATAGTATTTCTTTATTTTGCAATAAAGATATTATTCAGACTTAAAGTTGCGTGTCTCATCTGAGAACAAACCGACCAAATGTGAAAAAAAAACCACCCTGTATTTTTATGATGCCGATCGAAAGGGTCAACTATAAAGGTTAATTAAGTTATTTTTTCACATAAGGTTGATTTAATTCCCAGATGAGGCTAGCAACTTGTTAAAAATCTATGAATGCAGTGTTACTTAGTTATAATGTCTCCATGAAGCAAAATATTCTACCTGCATCTCATAAAGTACTTAAGTACTTTCCCCATGTCCCACAGCCATGGAACGCCCTGTATGTAGACTTCGATGCTTACATTTTATTTTAGAAAACATTGACTAGTTTCGACAATTATATTCATTTTATTGAATTTGAAATTGAATGCGAAAATATAATCAAAATACATAAAACAGTGCCTGTTTCTGACGTCATACTTCAGTGGTGCTGTTAACACTATTTATTAATAATAATAAGGCGCGCACACACTCATAGCCCCGCACTAGGGAAACCCCGTATCTTGTACATACATTTCTCCGGCCCGGAAATCGAACCCGGAACCTCTGCGTGGCAGTCTGGCATGGTTACCATTCGGCCACTGAGGCAGTTTAGCGTACTCTCTAAAAATTTTAATTTCACGATGTGCATAATTTAAAATACAAGAAACCTTTCAGGGTATGATGATGGCGGCAGGCATGGGCAACGTAGGCGGAGGAAAGGGACCACGACCGGTCACACAGTTGGATGGGTTGGAAGCAGCTAGGCAGCAGAACCTCGAGAAGATACAGCACTTGCAACAGACACTAGAGGCTGCTCATCAACAGGTTATTTAATGTTATTTAAATCGACAGATCTAATATCATCGATGTTTTGTAGAAAGGGCGAAAGCGCCATTTAAAAAAATATCAGAGGAACATTTTTAGTTTTTCACGACTGTTTTATATAATTTACGTAATATATTAAATTAATAATAACATTTTAAAACAGTCGTTAAAGCCTAAAACATGCTCTCCTGACAAATATTTCGAAATGGCGCTTTCGCCCTTTTCGACGATGTATCCCACCGCTCATGGAAGAATGGTATAAGTGGAGTTACGTCAAAAATGTTTATTGCTCCATTAGATACAGAAAAATTAACCCACATCCTCTCCAATTCTTGTAACTGTTATCTACAGTAATAGCACACCCCGGACTCTCCATACAACGGTCAAAAGTTATTTATCTACCACGACTACATACAACAAGGCGCTATCTGCACACGCGCAAATGTGTCCGTGAAGTGGCAGGGTTACTCATCGCTTTCTCGTACTATTACGTTACATTCCATCTTCCGGAAAACGAAAGAAACTCCCCTCTTTATCCCGTTTAGATGACGATAAACAGTCGTACAGAGTATAATTCACGGCCGTTATAAATAGTAACGTACAATGATGTTATATATTAACGTAAAAGTTTCGTAATGAATAAATGAAAACTATATTCAAATTTCAAAGTAGTCTTAGCGCGAAAACGGTTCGCCGACAGCCTTGTTATTGTCGTTCAGTCAATGTGACCGTGCGGGGCGTGGTGCGGTATCAAAAGCTAAGGAGGGGCGGAGAGTGTCCATTCGCGTTACTTTTTTGTTCTCCGGTATAAGTCAAAAATTTGGAAAGGATGTGAGTTATATTTTTCTGTAACTAATGGTAAATAAACGTTTTTGACGTAACTCTATTTACACCATTCTTCCATGAGATGTGCGATATTTGTAATATCAATGAAGTAATCTTAATATTGCTATAATATAAAATAAACAATATAATGTATATAGTCGCGATTTGAAGCTCCGAGTGGCACTGTAACTGCTATCGACAGGCGTGTCGCTTACCACCAGGCGCATGACCTATTCGTCCCGTAACTTAGTATTATAAAAAAGATCAGCGCCATCTTGTGATAAATCTCGTGACATCTTTCACTAGCAAAAACATTCATGCAGTCCTTATTTCGGAGACATGGCTTAAACCTTCCCTACCATCTACTCAGTACCCTTTACCAGGTTTTAGACTCATTCGTAACGATCGAGCCTACACCATTGGATCCCAGGGCGGTCGTATGAGGATGGTTGGTGGAGGTGGCGTAGCGATTTATCTACGATGTGACATTGACTGCGAGATCGTAGCACAGTCGGTAACTAGCGCGGACTCTCCTGAATATCTTTTTTTAGAAGTCACTCTTCACCACACTAGGGCCCTACTGGGAGTTTTTTACAGTCCTCACCTAAGAGTTGACTATTTTGAGCAACTAGAGTCGGTTCTGGCTGATCTACGTACCCGCTACGAACATATTATACTCATGGGTGACTTCAATACCTGCCTTGTTAAGCGTGACTGCCGATCGAGGAAGTTGCTTTCACTCTTCCACTCACTTTTTTTGAATTGCCTCGAGTTGTATCCCACTCATTTTCCGCATAATGGTCAACCTTCCCTTCTTGATCTGATCTTCACTTCTTCTCCTGAGCTGGTTGATTCTCATGGACAGTTTAATGCTGCTGCTTTTTCTTCACACGATTTAATTTACGCTTCGTTCAAAATTCGTCCACCTAAGCGCAGACATGAAACCTTAACGCTCCGCAATTATGCTAAAATAGACAAAAATGCCCTTTTCGATGATGTGCTGAATTCTGATTGGGAGCTAGTGTTTGGAGCGGAGGACGTGAATGAAATGGTTCAAGCTTTTAACTCCATTATTTTGACCATCTTTGACAAGCATGCTCCTCTTCAAGTTGTCCGAGTCAAACATTTCCCCGCGCCTTGGCTCACGCCAGATATCAAGGAGGTTATGGAGAGGCGCAACAGAGCACGTATCAGATTGCGGAAGAATCCAACCAAAATCAATAGTGAGTCCTACATCGAGTTACGTAACCGGTGCAACAAGCTCTGTAGGAGCGCCAGGCGTAAGCATATTCACTCCACTATCGAAGGTTGTCCGCATACTAAGATGTGGAAATATTTGAAGTCACTGGGTATCGGTAAAGCTGATCATGTCTTTCCCTTCAATGTCGATCTTAACGCGCTGAACGACTACTTTGCATCTTCCCCAGTATGTTTAGATTCTGTCATAAAATCGCGAACTTTATCTGTCCTGGCCAATGCACCTTGTCTTGCTTCAGCTTCTTTTGATTTTGGAAAGGTTACGACAGCAGATGTGTTGAAAATACTTAAGTCTGTCACCACGAAGGCTGTTGGTAATGACGGTTTGAGTCTTGACATGATCACTCCAATACAGGACCTAGTAGCTCCTATCCTAGCTCATATCCTTAATTTTTCCCTTTCCAGTGGTGTGTTTCCCGCTGTATGGAAACAAGCCCATGTAATTCCTCTCCCTAAAAAATCAAATCCTTCTTCTTTCTCCCATTACCGCCCTATCTCCATACTTCCTGTATTGTCCAAAATCCTTGAGCACTATGTCCATAATCGACTCACTAACCACCTCCTACGTTACGATATTTTCAACCATCTGCAGTCTGGTTTTCGAACGGGCCATAGCACAGTTTCTGCTCTGGTGAAAATCACTGACGACATTCGTCTTAATATAGAAAATAAAAAAGTTACTTACTGTCCTCACTTTATTGGATTTTAGCAGTGCCTTCAGTACTGTTGATTTTAATTTGCTTCTTGCTGTGCTTAGGACTTTAAATCTACCTCCCTTAGCCGAATCCTGGTTTCGTTCGTATTTATTTGATCGTTCCCAGCTCGTAAAGACCGGTGACATGCACTCGGACTGGTGTAGCCTTACGGCTGGCGTTCCGCAGGGTGGGGTTTTATCACCTATACTTTTTTCGGTCTTTATCGGTGGAATTACATCATTACTCACGTCTTCTTTCCATCTCTATGCCGATGACCTTCAAATCTATACTGCAGCCCGTCTTGAAGATGTAGTTACTGCTATCGGCACATTGAATTCCGACCTACAAAAGGTTTCGGTATGGGCTAAGAACTACGGACTTCTTTTAAATGCACAAAAGTCCCAAGCCATAATTATTGGCAGTCGCCATTCCATCTCCAAGTTTGAGTCTATGGTGATGCCCAATTTAGTTCTGAATGACACTATTATTCCTTTTTCCACTACCGTTAAAAATTTGGGCATCATAATGGATCAGACACTTTCTTGGTCGGAGCATGTCGCCGATGTAAGTCGTAAAATCTTTGCATCACTTCATTCCCTCAAGCGGATGCAGTACTTTCTTCCTCTGTCTACCAAATTTATGCTAATACGCACTCTTTTTTTTCCTATTCTGGACTATGGTGACGTCTCCTATCTTGATCTTTCGGAGGACCTTCTTAATAAATTGGAGCGGCTGCAAAATCAATGTATCAGATTTGTGTTTGGATTAAAAAAGTACGACCACGTTTCCAAGTTTAGAGATGAGTTGAAGTTGTTGCCTATTCGTTTACGTAGAAATGCTCACATTTTATGCTTCCTCTATAAAATCCTGTTCCATCCCACTTCACCTAGCTATCTACGTGAGCGTTTTCAATACCGTCAGGCTATGGGTGACCGCCTGCGTTCTGGCACCAATTTGTCCCTCGTCCTTCCACAACACAGTTCCCAAAAATATTCGAACTCGTTCACAGTAAATGCTGCCCGTATGTGGAACCTTCTCCCGGTCGAGGTCAGACAGTCGCCTTCGGTTCGGGTTTTCAAGGGTGCTCTTTTGAAGTTTTGGAATTGTTCAGACTCCACATGTTAAAGCTTTTGAAATATTTATTTACTTTTGATATATTTATTTATAGTTTTATTTTGTACATTCAATTTATTATAGACTTTGTATGTATTAATGAATCAACATTACTTAATATATATATATTCGTATGTACATTTGATTTATTAAATTTATCTGTGTATTTATTGAGTATAGTATATTTCATTTCTTTACTTATCTATTTTTAGTGCCACCCCAAAAACCAACTTTCCTCTCAGATTTTCAAAGGTTAGTTGGAAGAAATCTCTTTATGGGATAAGCTCGCCTTTGTACACAAATATTTAAATTGTTTCTGAAAATTTGTAAGTTACTTTGTGGTACAATAAAGTGTTTAAATAAATAAATAAAAAAATTATTAAAAGCAATGTTAACGAACCAGCGGACAATTATAACATCAGGTAAATGCTAAATACTATATTTAAGGTTTAAATTATTCGTCGCTGTCAGCGAGCCACTGCACCAGCCAGTTGCCAACATCCCGGGGTCATAAAAAAATAGAATGAGAACGTAAAATGGAAACTTATTTATATTAAAAAATAATGTTTTTATCCCTTAGTTAACAATCTACAATTTACAGGAGGCACAGTTTAAGTCTCAAATGGACATCATGTCGCACCTTCACGCTGCACAGCAGCAGGAGCTGAACTACAAGCAGTTAGAGGTGAGGAAAGAAAAACTAAATTTTATAATAAAAAACTACCTGCGTCGTCTTAGAGCGTATGTGATTTCTACCTAAAATATAGAACATATATAATATAAAACATTTTAATTGATTAAGTTGGTATATATATGGTGGATATAACTTGAATTCAGATGCTACACTTTAAAAATGAAATTTCGTCCAGGTAAATACATAAAATTAAATAACCTTGCCTATTTCTGCCGCCAAGCAGTTTTTTTTTTAAAAAAGACCTTGAAAGCGCACTGATGTGGACGTAGCTTTATAGGAATCCTCCACAGAAGTTGCAAATGATAGAATGAAGGTCACATATTGAGTTGGAACCATGAGCAGGAGCAGCACAACGTAACCATTACAGGAGCAGCAACGCAAGCACCAGCTGCAGCAGCAGCTGCTGCGCGGCGCAGCTGCGGGCGCGCACCCGCCGCGCATGCGCCCTATGATGCCCTCCAACCCCGGCCTGAGGCATCTGCTACAGCAGGTAACACGTTCTCTTTAACCAAGTAAATACTGCTGCGAACCTGTGCATAGAATTCGTTTCAATCTGACGACTGGCGATGTAGACTCTATACGCATAAGGTGCAAATTCGCGTGGACATGAATAAGATGTCTGTAACGAACATGATCAATTCGTATCAGGGGGGGCTACTCTCGATCTCCGTCCGACATCCGTCCGAAACAATTACGGTCAAATAAGTAATATTCGGCAAAATTAAAAGACAAGTATCCAGTATGAAGCTTCATTCGCATCACGCGTCTTTTCATTTGGTCAAGTATTGCATATTTGGCAGTAACTGTTTCGGACGGATGTCAGACGGAGATCGAGAGTAGACCCCCAGTTCCGAATCCGCACAAACTTCGTGCACAAGCGGCATCCGAAGCGGGTCCGACTTTTCTAGATTCTCGGATTCGGAACGAAAACGAATCGGATGCAATCGGTGCTAACACGTCGCCCCATTCCAGCATCCCGGTATTTAAAGAAGAAAAAATATTTTATGAAGTCGCCTCCATATTTCGACAGCAATACACGGAAAAAAGTGAACTTTAGATATAAAAGCATCCGACTATCCGACCACTAATTACATCAAGTATATAACCAGAAATAGAGACGAAATATGGGCCATCTATCCCAGGCAACTCATCAGGCAAATCGGCCTTATATCACTTTTAAATATCAACTCTCGTTTGCACTGATATCACAAATTACAAAGCTGAAATAACACAACGCCAACAACTGACCTATGTGTCACTCTACGCACTACATCTCCGTATATTCCAAAAATGTTCTGTATTTATTATAATAAAGATAATATCTCTAACAATGGGGCCTGTTCCATTCGGTGGTGTGGGAAAAACAGCAAAACATCTAATTTTAAAACAGGCGGAATTACATTTCATCGGTGATTAAATATGTAATTTTGCAATGATCGTCCATTATAGCGAAACTCAAGTTAAGCTGGTCGATTTGAAGTGAAACAACTGACGACACCCGTTAATTGTTTCGAATTCGAGCTGGCCAATCGGAACGCAGTTGTTACCGTAATGATTTGGCAGAATAGTTTACAAACAAATTAAATGACATTTCGTCTCTATTTCTGGTTATATACTCGATGACTAATTATAACGTATTTAAAAGGGTGTCTCCAAATTAGACTTTTATAGAAGCTCTGCAGTGGCGCCGCTGTGGCGTTGTAGCGCGTCAGTACCATTTTTCATACAGTATTTAGAACTAAAGGTGACCGTTTAAATGAAAAGCACTTTAAAAAGTTAGTTTTTTAATGTAAGCAAATAAGCACTCATATGCGCTTATCATTTTATCATAAGCGTTGATAAGTTCAACTCAACAATTTAATTTTTTACAACGCGTCTAAGTTTTAAGTCCCGCCATCTGTGTTTCGAAAAGAAAAGAATTCGTCAATGTAATAAAATAAAAATGTTATAAACAATTTATGTAAGACCATAAATAAAATATTACTCGTTACAAATAAAAATAAAACCCGTGTTTTACAAATAAACTTACTTACGCTATAACATTTAAGGGTGAGGCCAGACGAGCATATTTTTGTGACTTGTGAGTCGCGTTATTTGAGTTGCGCATAATGTTCTATCGTTTACATCACTATACGTCAGATTTAAACGCAGGGAATGTTGTGATGACTATTTATAGTTAATAACATTGATTTCATATTTACTTAAACACTTTTACCTATAAATAATAATGACATATCGAGGGTTGAAAGGTAAAAGGGGATAAACGGCATTTGGGTTGAATGAAATATTCTTCATTGCACATTAAAAAAATATTATATAATACACAGAAAAGTTATGTAAGTATCACAAAGTCAGCTAATATACAACAGGCGGCCTTATTGCTAAGTCGCAATTTCTTGTAGACAGACAGAATTTGGGGGGCAAAGAATATCTTCTAACGATAAAATAACATTAAGTAATATCTCAAGTAGAGCTCCTTGTGAAAGAGTTCGTCCTGGAAAGTACTGCCACATGAGACTTGTCAACGTGTGTCTCAGGGTGGCGGGCGGAGTATCACCGCCCCTCAGATCTTTTCCTATCCTGTCTTTAAATCGCTAAAGCTCTGAGTGAGGCACTGCAACTGCTATGGACAGGCGTGTCGTTTACCACCAGGTGCACGACTTGTTCTTCACTTGGTATCATAAAAAGAACATATCGACATAAATCGAATAAAAATACGTAGTTTTCAAATATTTTTATTACACATACACTACGTATTTTCATTTATTAAACCACATGCTACATAAATGACGCCATCAATTTTTTTCTTCATCGTGTTAAGTTGCCAAAATTGAGATAGTACCGATTGTCAGTTCACAGTCGATATTTCAAATACAAATAATTCAAATACCGCCTAGCTCTCTATCTAAGCCAATCTCTCTTTTTCCACCTAAATGTCGCTTAACCCCGTTTACCTTTCTATCGTCTATTTATATCACACTTTTAATGATGAAGTCGCATCCCTCATGGAAGAATGGCGTAAATGGAGTTACGTCAAAAATGTTTATTGCTTCATTAGATGCAGAAAAACATAACCCACATGCTCTCCAATTCTTGTAACTCTTTCGACTAATATTGTTGATAGAGTTACAAGAATTGGAGAGGATGTGGGTTGTCGTCGGGGATAGTGCAGTTACGAGGAACTATGAGTTTCCATTTTGAAAATTTTGTTGCCAAATCGAATCAATCAATGTCGTGGTAACTAACGTGCAATCTATTTATCAGTCCGTAGATAACATAAATTAATGCTTACTGTGCAAAAGTGAAACTCGTGACCAGTAAGATTTGGTTTAATGCAGATACGCCCCTTTTACCAATACTACATAACGTTATATTATTGTGTATCTAATGGAGCAATAAACATTTTTGACGTAACTCCACTTAAGACATTCTTCCATGAAGGGAGCGAAGTGATGTATTTCGTAAAATAATTTTTAGTGAACTGATAAAAAAAATTAAGTAACGTAGGTGCTAAATATGACTATATCTTTTTTTTTGTCATGTGCTCAAAATTGCTTAATTTCGAACTGTCAGTTTATTATGCGATATCAACTTCAGTGCAAATAATTTTCATTTCTATTTCCTAGCAACTGTACATTGCCTGTTCAATCTCTTCACGGGCTTTTATGTCACTCTTGTCTGCAAAACATATAGGCGTAACTTACAATTTTGACTTAAAATAATTCTTTACATTGCAACATAGAACACATGTATGTACAGGATTATGTATAAAACACTAACATCCTTGCAAGACTGTATTACTTTAATAATACATCAGATTTTATTTTCGTACAAAAATATTTAAACAAATCGCTCTTAACGGTGATCACTCAGTGCGGTACCAAAAGAAAGCACCAGCGCAACGCAGGAGCGGGTGTGCGAGTCGTCGGGGAGAATAATGCTTGCAAGTTTGAACTACTACTACCTTACTACAAAATACAGTTCTAAAAAGTGTTAGATAGTACAACAGAAACTTAAAAGTATTTATTTGTACTTGGTCTTTCAACGACTTTTTTAGTCGTACAAAGACACTACGCAAGCACATAGAAAAATTCGTGAGGTCCGTTGGTTCGTTCCGTGGCTTAGTTGGTATAGCGTCTGGCACGGTATGCAAGAAGACGTCGGTTCGAATCCGACCCGTTCGAATCTTTGTATTAATAATTATAACAAACTAGTGGAGTAATTTCACAAAAAATAATTGAATATCAATTCAATAAAAATTTAATTATTATGTTTTGTAAAAAGTCATGGAATAAAAGTTATTGTTATGATGTTAACAACAAAGTCCTGCAAGGTTATTAGTATTTTACAGAAAAAAACCCTATTTACGTACAAAAACATGGAATTTTGAATCAAACTATATAAATAACTTTTTTTCGATAAAATTGTAAGTTATGCCGTTTCTTGCTGATTGTGACGATTTATGCTCTCAATTATCACCAAACAAAACTTTTAATATGTTTACTTAATTTTAGTGTTCATGGAGCATTTAAATCATAAAGTGACCATTCCTTAAAACTAAATATAGCCATATAACCAGGACTATGGAGTCAAGGGCTACAAAGGTTCAAAGTGGGTATTCATTGTCCTCTATAATATATAACCCTACAGTGTCCAATGACAGCTTGACACTATAGCTGTCCATTGGCTGCATAATGGCCATCTTGTCCTATAGCCACTATCGTCGATCACTAGTCATGAAATCTTTTAGCCACATAACCTTATTACGAGAATGTCAAATGACTATAAAAACCTGTATCCATTGGTCACATAGGCTTATTGTTATAATGCTTTGTAGCCACATAATTATCTCAAAGCCGCATAAACCATGTCCTGTAGACGTAAGAACCTAAAGGCACTTATCCCCGCTGTCACACAATGCTACAGCCTTTAGCCATTTTGTCATTTAGCCACAAAATCCTATAAGCCATAGCGTTCATTAGCCATAAAACGTCACTGTACAGCCACGCAATCCATGCTTGTTCATCCACATTCTAGCAGCAAGCAGCGAACCGCGGCCCCCGCCCCCCGCACATGTGAAGCCCGCCTTCGCCTCCGCTACCCTCTGCACAAGTAACACGCTTATTTATGTTCTTTATTACTAATGTTTTCCTTTCGGTGTAAATTTTTTTGCGTATTTTAAATTATTTTTCAATATTGTTTAAAAAAATACTACAATCATTAGAGAATATCCTTGCTCAGCAATGGGACAGTACGTAAGCCAAGGCCCGATTATATTCGTAACTAGAATGCGCAACAAAATTTATACCATTTCATACAGCCGACTAATCGCAGAAGGTGAAATAAAACCCGGTGACCATTAAAAAACCGTGTCTACTAGGTAATTAATTTTATTATTAATTAAATTAATTCCCTGTCCGCAGGCTTAATCTCTAAATATAGCGTTTGGGCCTTTTTAAGGCGAGAGTGAATAGATCGTCACTTTCCATCAGGTGAGATGGAGGTTAAATGCGCACTCATTTTCTTTAATAAAAAAAGCTGTCAGTCTGAATGTCGCAATTAGTTTTTTTTAATGGCAACTCTGGCAAATTCATTTCATTTATTCAAATTATAAGGAAATACAATATTAAAAACCACTGAGTTGCCTTTCGCCTTAGGTGTTAAGCCTGGAGATAGTTTATAAAATGGTCTGCAAATGCAAAATCAAATACAAATAAAATGATCACTAAATGGTTTTAATTTAAATTAAATTGAATATCACGACTGTTTTGTTTTTTACTTCAATTTTGCGATACGTTACCCTGCTATATACGTAGTGCATACCATTTTATAGCAAATCTTTAATAAAAAAATACGGAAAATCACCCACTCAACTTTGCATGAGATTCTGTCATCTGCTTTTTTCATTCATTACCATATTACCTAATACATATTTTGTAGCAATAAATTAACTGTAGAATCAGCTTGACATTTTAGTCCAACAATCGCCCGTAGTGCAATGGAAATAACTGCGCCACTGTTAACGTTTGATGTAAGCTTAATTGTATCTGAACGAACTTACGTTTTCATCAATTGAATTGGTGTCTGTTTCCATTTAATCTTTCTAGTGTTAATAAGCATAAATTTAGAATAAAATGTTAAACTTGGAATTTTTTAAATCTCCAGAGGGCCGTGTACTCCTAATATCTCGTAAACGTCCAGTGTACTTTAACAAATTTAGTGCTATATAACCTATTTTATCATAAACTTGAATTACTATTTGCAATCTCTTCCTTCAAATAAAAAAATCATCAGGGGTGACACAGTTTTATAAACTGGTATTTTTTATGGTGGTTTTAAATGACTTACTATTGATTTCTATTGAACAAACATTCATCACGGACATGATTTCAAGATTAGTATTACCAGTGGTCTAAATGAATTTCGGGGAAAATATTTTAAATTGGGAAAACTGTAAAATAGCTTGAGGTAAAATACCCTAAAACATATGTTTTTGTTTCTTGGCGAAAGTTACGAATATGCAAATGCGTTAATCATGACAAGGACGGCAGATTTTATTTATAATTATATTTAGTACAATTTAAAGTACATTGAGCGTTATTTTATTTTTTATTATTAGTTTGCAGGTTAGAAGTTATTGAATAATTTACAAAGGGTGTTTTATATACTAATGGTTAAAAATAATCTTTCCTTAATTATACTGTTAACACTATGAACAGTAAGTTCAAGCTTCGAAGACATTCGAGTTGAAAGAGGCCAATATCATAATTATTGAGAACTTTTAAGGTCCTTCAAAACGCTATTTCATGTTTATGATGAAGTGAAGTGGTGAATTATTGTCTCTGCCTATCCAAAAGAGAATCCGGCTGTTATTTTTGTACGTATTTTTAAATGTTTTCAAGATAAACATCCGACAATCAAATGTAACTGTAACCGAATGTACACCCTTAAAACTTTAAGGCAGACTTTAATTACAGTAAAGAAATATCGACCCCTCCCGCGTAAAGTATAGTGTGTCGAAATTGCCAAGTTTACAGGGAAGCGTTTTAAAGGTTTGTATTCGCTGAAATGAGTATAATACGTCACTTTAGCACAGAAATGCTATAATAAACTGTGGTTGCTCATCTAAGCGATATCTAGGATTTAATAATATTCTGTGCTTTGCCGAATAGAAGTGAGAAATGCTAAAGTCACATGTTATGGTCATTTCAGTTGAAGAATTCAAAACTTTAAAACGCTCCCCTGTAAAAGTGGCAATTTCCACATACGATACTTTACGTGTGAGGGGTCGAATGTTAGCACAATGGAATCGTCAACTGTCGTAATACTCGACACGCGCCCGATTCGCACCCGCCTTCAGTGTGTTTCACGCTTAAATCAACGTTTCCTGTGTATACAGCAACCGCAATACCGGCCGGGCGGCGGACCACCCCGCCCTCCCTCGCAGAGCCAACAGTTCGACGATGTCAATAACTACAACGATATCTTTTAAACTGACCATTATTTATCCCTTTCGTGGACAGTAACAGCGTTTATCGTGAAATAAAATATGATAGTACGGGGCAGGGTTGTTGCTGATGCAGGTTTTGTATTATATATTTTTATGTTTAGAAAAAACGCGGAAAATGTACATCCTTACTGAATCTATTTACATGTAAATGCTTTCTACATTCTTTGGTACTTTAGTAAAATATTATTTCAATTGTATTGCGCAATTTATTAATAAAAGAATCAATCTGCATAAAAACCATTAATCTGCCAAGCTTAATCATTGTGGAACTTTATCAAATTTATGTATTAAAAACAACATCTGAGTTGCTTTTCGGCTTACAGTCTATTTTTGGAAGGGTTGTAAATTATTCCAGCTTGCCTTTTAAGTCGTGTCACGACTCGAACATCCGCAATGAATCTATCAATGCGGATGCTGATATTTGCAACAGCCCTGGTACGGGGTACCCCGTTTCGTTATTTGGGTCTAAAAAAATCAACTACGGGATTTACAGTGCGATTTCCAATTGAAGCATTGTGTGCAACGAGGACGAGAAAATTAAAAATAATGTTTTAATATCTTATATCTTTTTAATATTTATAATATGCTTTTATATACTTTATTATCTATTTTTCCTATGATTTAGCTAAAACATTCAGGTGTTATTATTATTTGAAAACAATTAGAAATATTTGAAAATAATTTTTTTATCCGCCCTTGTTGCACCAAATCGGCAAATTAATGGGGCGTTCGTTTTATTATTGGTTTTTAAGGAAATAAATTGTGAATCACTCTTATTTGAAAGTTACTCATTTCATTTATTCATTTGAGATTGTGTACTTGAATGAAATCCAGTTGTTGACTAGATAAGTGATCGCTTTGTATAAAAACAGAATCTGTATAGTATAGTATCTGAATAGATAAATGTAATTGCTGTAATTGCTTCTTGAAAAAATTGTATTTGGATACTGGATCACTCTTCTGATCCAGATACCTCAATACCTAACTATTCATTGCGTGATTTTTAGCATTCTAAAGCAATGTTTGTAAAAATATCTAAATTGAAAAATAGGGACTTCGGGTTCTTTACCTCTCACCTACAAATTTATTTCTTTTTTGTGAAAGATGTTTTTGAAAAATTTCCGCCATTATAAATTTCTCAGTCATGCATTACATTGTGTTACTGTTGATTTTATTATTTGGAAACGTATTTTATTTAAGTATTCATCCATCCATCCTTTTCAAATGACCAAGCCATCGACTGGTATATTGCGCCTTTAGATAATAAATGTACTATTAAGTTAGTTAATGTGTTACTGTTCTCAATGTTGTAAATATAGTTAACAATGTGATCTTAAATAATGTAAGCAACAATTTTGTATTTTGAATTGTAAAAAAAATTATTTGAAATAAAATCGACTTTGTTATTTATAATTAATGCTTTTTAATTTATAAAACACCTATATTCACCAGTTTCTTCTTTAATTGCAGAAACTAAACAAGGCCTCGAGTCTTTAATAAATATTGATGATTACTGAATAGAGGCGTAAGATAGAAATTACAATAACAAGCAATGTACTATAAAAATAAATGTCACGCGGGTCTCGCGTATTAGTGGTAGAAACGCTCAATCCACATGAATTTATTGTAGAAGGAATAAATAACAAAGTAGGGAAAAGCAGAAGGCTGTAACAAAAACAATGGTATAAAAACACCTTATAGTACAGTCAGGGGCACATCAAGCTTTACACATTGTACTTAGGACCATTCTTATCGTAAGCGGCATAGAGTTGGATTTAAGTATCAAGCTTGACGTGCTCTTGACCCTGTACAATAGTACAATACAGACTTGAACGCTTATCTGTGGTCGATTGCTAGAGAAGCGAGTTAGAGAATAAGTAGGTTGCTAAATTAACAAAAAAAATATTGTGCGGTGCAAAACCGTACAATCATTTAAATCACTTTAACGTTGACTGCACTAGCTATTATGCTACTAAATTTGACCTCTGTGGCCAAGTACTCCAGTTTTCATGATGTCGCTATCTCTGAGGTCCAGAGCTCGATTCTATGACGATGATTCAATGAACAACTATTTTTTCTATATTATCTCGCGTTTGGGTGTGCACCGTCGTTGTTTCCGATTTCCATAACACAAGTGCTTTAGTTACTTTGGGATCAAAGCAACGTATGTAATGTTGTCTAATATATTTTACTACGTAGTTTAGTATAATTGCATTTTATAGCAACACTTCATATAGCACTAGTGCTATAAGTTCGCATCTCTAGCGACACACTCATAACACAGATAAAGGTGTAGTCACATGAGCAACATTCCGGTCGTTTAACAACTGCAAAATTGCAGTGGTAATGCACTCGTGCGGAGTGCATCCAATTTACTTCCCCGACTCAATTGCTTGGAAAAATATATATGTGAAAAAATAAATAAAAAGAAAGTGATTTTTATTGGGAATATTTTCCTTATATTTTAAGTATTCGTTTGCAAATTAAGTAGACAGGTTACAAACGACGCAGTCGTAAGTATAATTATAATTTAATTTGGTATAAAACTGTGGCACCTCAATAGAACTTAGCTCTAAACAAGCTTAGAAAACTTGACCAGATAAATATTGACAATTTAAATTGAGCTTTCGATGCAATAAATTTACTTATGACTTGGTATCAGCTACATTGGTTAGGTCCTTCTTTCCACTTTATCATCCGTAATAAATTCAGGCAGACCAAGCCGTACGTCTTAAATTTTACTAGACCTACTTAAAAATTCAGTTCGATACCTTACAGTAATAAATCACCTACATCCGACTGCTAGGCATGCTGGCATCTCTAGACAGGATAGGTTAGATATCCTCCGGTCCCTCCAGCCGCTTAGGTTATTGGGAACTGGAGAGACGTCGTTTTTCGGCGTTGGGAAGTGAGCGTGCCTTAGAGCGCCGCCACCAATGAAATGATTTGGTACTTTAGAGTAGACGGCTTAGTGGTGGCAACCGCTAGTTGTGTAATGCGCAAGGGGAAGTGAATTATAGTGCCCTTTTCGTATACCCTAAGGGTCGGTAGAGAGGGTCACTATAATCAAAACTAATGTAGAAAGATGGAACTGCTAAGCATGAGTAACCTAGTCACCCACACCCATAGTCGTAAGTTAGCCTATTGTGAGCTCAAAGTCTACAAGTGTTTATAATCGGCGTAACAAATTGATCAATTCAAAATTAGACAAAATGAAACAAGGCATACGGATTGTCTCACGAAATATTGGTCATTTGAACATATCAAAGCAACGACAAGTATAAATTCAGACTTTCAAGGGGCACTCGCACGAAATCATTTTAAACAAAGCATTGCCTTGATATTGAACCAATATCTGGAGAAAAAACGCAGCGGCACGCATTAAAAATAATTATTCCAATAGGTAAATATAACTTAATTGTCACAAGTGCATTATGTATTCGTATTTTTATTTAACTACTCAAGTTTTCTTTAACATTCGACTCTTTACACCAAAATAACCTTAAATCTAACTCACACAATATACAAGGTGTTAGGTGGAAGACTGGTAACATTTATAAGTGTTGCTTGCTATCGCAGATGAACAAGGTTTAATAAAACCTTACCGATCATTTTACATTTTGTACATGTCATTGAATTTCTTGTGTCAAATGTTAACTTTTTTCCTATAGTTTTATAAAATATGAAAAATATATATTTCGATAGTGTTACAGTCAACTACATACCACCTTATATGAACACAGTTAAGTCTATTCTCTTTTACATTACTTTGCTTTAAAAATAAACATTATAATGTCACATTTATTAATTTACATAAAATATATTTTAAACGAATTGTTTGTTTTCTACAATAAATAATTTTTATACATTAATTTAATTTTTAACACAGCTTTTTATTTGTTATTATTTACCATCTAATTTTGTGTCGTAATTTATAACATTCATCGCACTGACAAATAACTTTATAAATGATGACAAGTGATTATAGAACCCTCAAGTGGTGGCGCTTGTGTCAACTTACGACATCAAAGTTCGTGTTCTAGGTGTAAAAAAATTGTTCTTTGAAATTCCGCATTATGGCAAGGTTTTAAATATTGTAGTCGCACGAACTGCATTCTCGCTGTTAAGCAACAGTTGGAATGTAGTCGACATAACTACATATTCAAACTGCATTCTGATTGCTATTGTAATGCAGTTGAAATGCGATCCGTGTGATTACAGCCTAAATCGATCTAATTTGTTACATTTTGACATTTCGTACGAAATGATAATGGTGTGGTTATAGTGAGTACCAATGCTTAACCTAATTTTACAGATCTAAAAAAATATTGTTTTTGCTTTTAAAATTATACAAGAAGCATACGCATAGAGGTGCGACTATATTTCAAAGTAAGCAAAAATAATAATTTCATGTCGGCTAGGCCGGCATTGAAATTCTGGCCTAGTATAGGCTTTGCTGTCGTGCTTTTTCTCTAAATGGTTTTTTTTATGATACACAGTGACGTCACGAATCAGTCATGCGCCTGATGGTAAGTGACACATAACAATTTCAAAGGGACTCAGAGCTCTAAATTTTAAAGATCTGAGAAATACTGCCACTGCACCCGTCACCCCGTGGCACAGAGTACACTAGTCCCACATGCATGTAATTTCCCTATAACCCTTCGAAACCGGAACGCAGTAGTGCTCGTGGACGAACCTTTTCCCCAAGGACCTCTAAATAAAAATTTGTATCGGGACAAGCAAAAGTCATACCATGATTAGTAAACTATAACGAGTGACAAATTAATTTCTAGTTTAGTGTTGTAATTTACACCTCTGTGTTTACTAAATAGTACGGTGGTAACTGTGTAAAATTGACACAAAAAATTACATTTAAATAAAACTAATCAAATTAGGCAGTTACAGTAAAAAGGAATGCTTAGTTAATGTCAAAAGATTTTTATGTTATCGAAATGCTAAATTGTAAAAAAAAAATTGAAAAGAAGACATGATTTGTTTAAATAATTACCATTACACATTCTACATAGCAAAATAGTATATCCTAATCTATCACAATACAAGTTGTTAAGAACTTCGTCTCCAGTTCGTTTCTTAACAGCCTGTATAATAAAATTAAGCTTATAAAATGGATATAATTAGACTAAAAGCATATCGCGAGTATTTCAAAAACAATTAACAACTAAGTTGTAGAATAATTTCATAATAAATTTAGGGAAATAATGATTCTATACTACCCTAAATAATTAATTACCAAATTTACATATCCCTCGCCTAACAAGTGCCGTAACTGGCATTAGGAATTATTTCAGGGCAACGTACATTCGGTATAGGACTTTACATTACAAACTTTAGCTCATGTCAATGTCGATGTATAAATTAATTAAATTCATATATAAAAAAGGTAAAACGTACATATGTAGACGTATCGTGTATTTTGCTTAGTTACAACAAAGCATTGCGTTGTCCAAAAAGTCCCTGTGGTACAAAGTATGAATGGCAAAAATGAAACTAATCAATTATGTATTTGGCCATTTAAAATCTGGCAGTATGGTCTGGACGCCTTGCCCTCATCCACCGTCTACAGGCTATTAAGAATAGATGACACATTAATTTACGGCTCCCCACAATAGCCCAATTCATGAAGCAGGCTTCGAAAGCATATTTCGACTGTGTTCCTCACCACTTCGATCCCCTCGTGGTGGCTGCTTCCAATTACGTCCCCCTCAGGGAACATCCCCACCGCGTTGATAGGACCCGTCGGAAAAAGGAAGCCCTCAACGACCCTGACGACCCCATCACTCTCGCCACTTTAAAAGCCAACCAGATCACTAATCAGTACGAACCGTCCTTGCCGACGAAGTCGTGCAGCCCCCTCTACAGCACGTATACTAGTAGATTCTCTCCTACAGCATGCCCTTTTGGCGGAAGTCTCCAGTAGCGCCCTAAGCGTCAAGGCCATCAGCAGCCCACTGCAAAGTGTCAGTGTCAAAAAAAAAATTTTGACGCCTTAGCCTATCCCGAAGGAAGAAACATTTTACTACTATGTAATTGTTCACGATGTTTTTTGAACGATTTCCCGCGAAAAAAAAAAGATAAGACAATTAAACTATTGAAGAAAAATTACAATCTAATCTGGCAGTATGACTAATTAGAGGCTTGAGCCTGTCCTCAAGAGACGAAAAATTTTACTACTACCACCACCATGTTCTTTTTTCTTAATTTATTGCATGACCTGGATATAAAGCATTTCAGTAAAAAATATTATAACACTTTATATAAAAAAAATAGCCATGTTGATCTTTTGTCATCTTTCGGGCAATTTTGCAATCTCCGTTCATAAAACATTCCTGTCTTTACTTATAAATTACAGCTCTAAGTCTCGTTTGATGATCTCTTCGTTACCAAGTCGTGCCCATTTCCAAGAATTTGGTAAAGATCAAAACAAGTGAAAATTTGAAGGGGCTATGGCGGGCGGATAAGGTGGATGAAGTAATACATCCCAACTAACTGCAGTAGTTTTTGTAGGCTTTACGATTCACCATTGAATTATAACCTTAAAACTTTCCCGCCTATTCTCACACTGCGCCAAAATGTTTTTTATTTTATTTTATTGAGGCTTTGGCTGAGCCAACAGCCTATAATGCTATTTAAAAAATAAACCACAGACAATAACAATAACATTATAAACGAAAAATTTTCTGTTAAATTGAAATTTTTGTTTAGGCAAAAACCGCACGGAATTTTTGGCTAATCTATGTACAGCAGTTAAAAGAAAGGCGATTTATATCAATGTTTTAAAAACAACGGTATGTAAATGCTCGATAATCACAATCATCAAAACAAAACAAAGTAAATGAAAGTTTGTTATTTATTGAATATCATGATGTTTGATGAGTACCATGACATCAATTTTTTTTAAATACTCCACCAGTTTTTTGTTTTAAATAAATGTGTTTTGTAATGAGTAGGCATTTGTTTGTTAACACTTCATCATAAGTACTTTCGTACGGTAATTCATAATAGCATCTAAGTTATATGAAATCAAAAGATTGCATGGAGTCACGTCCGAGTAGAGTGGGTTTGGTGGGTCACATTTACCAAGCTACTTTTTCACGAATTTAAAACACCTGTAAAATTGTGAAAAAATTGGTGTTCCATACTAAAAACTACTAAAGTTTTGTAGTGCCGTGCTATTGGATATGCTCTTAAATGTGTATGAGAGTAAAATTTTTGTTATGTAAATTAGGACGATATAGCTAATTATCAGCTGGGCTCGTTAATAAGTCTAAGGCAACTTGCATATTGCCTTTTTAAAGACACTGCTGATATGATAACAAAGTAACTAACATCTTTATTTTAATTCCATTTCTTTGTCAAAAGCTTCCCTCGAGGGAAAACGTTGTAATAATATGAAAATACGATGGCAGCTGTGTAAATGCGGCACTATTTTTACTGGGTTGTAAATAAATATAAATATATGTCTAATACGCACCACACATCGAATAGAGCGCGTATTACAGTACGCGGTCAATTTCATATGGTGGTGTGCTATGTCCTTAACCATGACATTTTGCTAACCTTAAAAATAAAGACCAGTCACACACTATAAAGCAATCAGTCACACTGAAAATGTTGTTACCTATGTCGATTCATGTTTGCGGTTACCGACTTCGATGTATTTTTCGCCTTATTCGTTTATTTATAAGTATCTATAAAGAAACATGGATGCGGTTTATCTATGTATTATGTAAATTTGTCTTTATTATCTCGATGGGATTTTGCAAAAGTGGTTCATGCCTTATATCAACGGAATAAAGTCGAATAATTTGACCTTGATATTGTAAAAAGTCGATTTCATACTTGTTTTAATTAAAAAAGTACAAAAGTGGCTTTTCTTGGTAACAAGAATCTCCTTTTCTTTGAAGTCGATCAAAATCAAGACAATTCTTGACAATTTCTAGATGTTACCTATCACTCTAAGAAAGTGCTTTATACTTGTAAACTAATATTATGACACTTTTATTTTGTCACTAACACCCCTATTATTACCTATTTCACCACAATCATAAGGAACTTCTTTTTTGTTAGTAATATTGTCACTTTTTTTACCAATATCGTCCACGTTGTTACCGATATTGTCAACTTTATTACCGATATTATCAACTTTGTTACCGCTATTGTCAATTTTGTTATTGACTTTGTCCACTTTGTTACCGATATTGTTAACTTTTTTGTCACTTTTGTTCTCGTCTGGTATTTTGCCGTTATGGCACTTGCCGTTGGCGATGGGTGCAGCCTTTTTTTGTTTTGGCATTTCGTAAACTCGCTCTACAAGAGCATGCAGAATGCTGCCTGGTAGTCTTTGGTGCTTGTCTCTAAGATCTTCTATTGCGCTGGCCACCTGCAAATTAAAAATGGATGTTACATTGTTCGATTCAGAGATTCTGTTGTTTCTTTTTAGAGGAGAGTATGTATGCCTAGTGTTTAGCCGGACGCCGTGAAACTATACTTATTTCGTACATGTCAACTGCCAAATAACCTGTGTTTTCACCATAAATGAATTACAAATTGTGAATTATGAATTATGAGCGACAGTGTCAGATTTTTTAAACTAAATGGCACTAGAATACTTTGTGCCAACGTCAATGTAAAAGGATAGGATACGGACGGGAGGAAATCCAAAAAGAAAAGGAAACATGATCAGCTACGCATGATAGTCGCGACGTGCGCGACAAAATTGGAATAAGCGCGCGCTATTGGCTGACTCAATCAGATCTAATTTAGATAGCCAATAGTGCGCGCTTATTTCAATTTTATAGCGCGCGTCGCTGTTATGCGTAGCCAGTAGCCACGCTACGGGGGCAGGTGAGCTAAATTTGGAAGCAATTATTACATATGTATAAGAAATATTATAATTTAAAATATATACATAAATTACTAAATAAATACAAGAACTAAATTTTAAAATTAGTTTTTTTAGTACATAAGAAGGCATGACGCACGGGTAGGTAAAGGAACATGTAAAGACTGGACTTAAAGTTCTATTAACTTTTTGACAAAATGAAGACAGGAGTCTTTAAACCATAATTGGCCAGCATAAAAACCTTATTACATCGCTGCTTATCAAGAATGGCGGCGTATACGAAAACAGCTACTTTTTTACTTATTACGTACCGGTAATCAGCTCGTGCAAAATTATAATAATAATATGATAACGCACACATTCATGGCCCCGCACTATTGAAATCCTGTATCGCGGGTGCCATGGAGACACATACGTAGATAACCACAAATCACATTCAAACTCATCGAGATAAATAATTGTGGGCCATACAAATATTACTCCCGGTCTGGGAATCGAACCCGGGATTTCTGCATGGCAGTTCTAAATGGCAGCCGTTCGGCCACGGAGGCAGTCAATTCAAAGCTTTCCATTGGTTGTCTGCCAGACAACCACACAAAATTGCTGGTGTTAAGCTAGAAAATTCCCTCTACAATGAGTCCCAGAACAATGGAATTCTGGGGCACTTCCTAGAACACCCAGACCAGAACCAATTTAGAAAAGTTCATTACCCAAATTGGTCCCACCGGGAATTGAACCCGGGATCTCCGCATGCAGCGCCCACAATGTAAACCATCAGGCCGTCCCACGAGGCCGTCTTCCATTTATTAATGGTAGATATAACCATGTGACAAAATTCGTCAGATTCGCGAGGCAGGGGATCGATTCAGAACCTTACGATAACTCAGTTGTCGACCGATTCGATTTGATGTCGTACGTTTTCTTTTCATTTTTATTCACAACACTCGAATCCAACGTCAAACGGTCGTAATCGAAAACGAACTGAAATGACGTCACACCCGTACGACTACTCGAACTACGTCTCAACCGGCAAAGGCTACAAACGTTTTTCAGAACAGTTATCGAATGAAAGCTACCAAACGTACTATTGTTAACCGACTACAAAAAAAGGAGGAGGTTCTCAAGTCGACTGTTTTTTGTTGTTTCTGTTGTTTGTATGTATGTTACGCGATAACTCCGCCCCCATCCCATTTAAATTTGAAGACAATATTTGACCTCTAAGGGTGGTAAACTAGGGGATGAATGACTTGTGAGGTCGGTTTTTTAGTACTCTGTACTGAGGTTATATTACAAAGCAAGAATGTAATATGGAAATCTCTTATTATTTTAAATAAAATATGGATTTTGTTCAAGACTAATGCATTCCAATGTTTTAGGCCTTTAAAGTCTTAATAATGTATATAAAAGGATTTACATTTTTCATTTGGATAACGATATTGTATCCGAATCCGAATCGACCGTTTAACAAAAATGTTCTGAATAGCTCCGAAAGCGCCCTTCGATTCGAAAACGATATCCAATCGAACGATTCGGTTAAAATATCGAAGAGTTCTGAATAGTCTGCTCTGAGATAAGTCTGCTCGGAGGTAGTCCGTTGTTCTAAAAAGTCATCCACATTTACGTTCGGGTCAAACATGATTGCATGTTGATTGTGTTGACTGTAGTTTATTATCAAAAATGCGTTACAGTTTATATCAAAGGTATTCGGCGGTACACGGCGACTTCCAGCGCGTAAACGTGCATTCGTGGTGCGCGCGCAATTGCATCGCTACACTTGCCATTTATAGGCAATCGCCTATGCGAGCGCGATTTTAAGCAGCGATGCAAGCGCGCGACTGCATCGACGCAAACGCCTTTCTATCGCCTCTGGTGATAAACATACGCCTTGCCTTGCACATCGGTTGCCGTTGTGGGCGCTCGGTGAGACTTCCGCGGTTGGATTCCCTTTAGGACCAATTTAGGAAACGAATATTTGAAAGCAGTTTCTGAGTCTGGGTGATTTAAATGGCGCCTACGAATTTTTCTATACGTTTGTTACATGTCTTTGTTTTTCGTGGAAACAATATAACAACAAACATACATGTATTTATGAACAATAGGGCGGAAAGTATACCTTTTGCTGCAACTGCTCGGGCGACAAATTAGGGTCGTACGGGATGGCAGGTCCGAGATGCGTGATCAGCTTGACTGGGAAGCCCCCATAGACGGGCGCTAGCGGGATACGAGTGGCTGCGTACACGCGCAACCACACGCCGCGCAGCCAACCCACGGTGCGGAACGCCTCACGCACGTTTTGCGTGAACATCGGGATTATAGGCTACAAATATAATAATAAAGTTTTATTTATTTAAACTTTATTGCATACAAATTGGAACAAATAATAATAATAACGCACACATCCATAGCTCCGCACTAGGGAAAGCCTGTACCGCGGGTGCCATGGACACACACATAGACAACTACAAATTAGAATAGAATATAATAGACATTTATTGCAACGCCACAACACATAGATACAAAAAAATATATAACACTTAGACAAGCAAAACAAAATAAAAAGAATATTAACGCACACACTAACGCACACACTCAACATAGCCCCGCACTAGGGAAACCCTGTGTGGCGGGTGCCATGGACACACACATAGACAACCACAAATTACACCCAAACTCACGAGAGAAATAAATGTAGGCCATACAAATATTTCTCTCGGCCCGGGAATCGAACCTGGGGCCTCTGCGTGGCAGTCCGGCATGGTAACCGCTCGGCCACGGAGGCAGTTTAAAATAAAAAAAATTAAAAACAAAAAAAAACACACAAATAAAATAAGACACCTAAACTCACGAGAGAAATAAATGTAAACCATACAAATATTTCTCCCGGCCCGAGAATCGAAACTGGGTTCTCTGTGTGGCAGACCAGCGTGGTAACCGTTCGGCCACTGAGGCAATTAATGGCGGACTTAGTACCATTAGGCATTATCTACCAAACAACCGGCGAGTTGGGTATTCAGAACCCTTTTTTTCCCACCCAATTAACAGGTGGTGCATAATTGAAAAATGTGTATGGAAGTTCGCCATTGTTCTTTGCTATATCCAACAGAAATTGATTATCTCTATAATTGGTTTTAAAAATAATAAAAAGCAAGGAATACACACCACTTTAGCTTCCTGCGCAACTCTGGCGAATCCTACCCTAGACTTCCAGTTCAAAGAATACGTATGGTCGCCAAATTGCGCCTCATACACTCCACCCGGCGAGATCGCCAGTGCATTGCCTGCCCGAAGCACTCCTGCGCAGGTTGCAACTGTGCCCGGTATCACGCAGAGGCCTTCGAGTAGGGTTGCCCAGCCTGGATACAAAATAAATAGTTTAAATTACGTAATTAAGAGCCGATACTACCTTAGCTCGAATTCAAACGTTTCCCGTACTAATATGGGTCATTTTGCTTAGGTCGAATTTCATTTAATATCATTTATTTTTATACAAACAAATTTAAAGCCATTTATAAAATGTATATCGCATAGTATACATGTTCTATTTCGTTCAGTTGATATCATAAAAAAAATGTATATTGACAGTACTATCCCAATTTTCTAAAGATTTCACTTTTTAATACCATTTTATACTACTTCATACTCCGCAGCGTTGCAAGAAATTCCATTGTTTTTTTAATAACGCGTGTAAGAAAAATATCTAAAAGCTACGTATTTTTATTTAAATTAACCAGATGTTATGTAAATGACACAAACAAGTTTTTTCTTCATCTTGTAAAATTGTCAAAATTGAAATAGCGGACTATTTAGAGTATATCCTCAATTTTACTATATATTTATTCCACAGTCATTGTTTCAACACTCACTACATTCGGAAACAAGCAAAGCCATTTGAGATAATATAGAGTCTTAAGTGTACGCTTTGCCTTTTAAACTTTCCGTTTGTTTTCTCGGGTCGGGAAACAAATGGTCGTTAACCAGTATTATTATTAAATACTTAACGTCCATACCACCAAAAATATTTACAAAATTAACCGTTACCTACTGCGTAAATAGAATTTTATTTGAGTTTAATATTTAACAACTACTTACTTAATATATTCTTTTATTGATTGATATATGCAGTGACTAATATTAACAATTCTACATGAAATTGTGACTTTTATTAATAAATAAAAACATTTAATATAAAAATCTTTGTTATGATGCTGCATGTGAAATTATTTATGATTTTTTTGCATTTATAGAGAATATTTAAGGTTTCAGATAGAGGGGACTAGAATTTATTACTACAGTTTTTCAATCTCCACAGATTATACTATAGTAGCAATAGAACTTTTTGCGAAAAAGCTCATCCATCGGACGCGAAAATTTTTGAAATTCGATCCTGACGATGGACTGTGGTGCAAAACATAATGACGCGTTACGTACGCGATTTAGTCGTACATTATTTAGGTAATATAAATCCGTTGGTGCATTATACATTGTACATGAAAATCGTGAAAGTTTAAATCAAAATATATTACTACTTGGCGGCAGAAATAAAAGGTGCAGTGGCATTTGGAAAAATAGTGGCCTAACCTGGTATTTTAAACATGAAACGATCAGCGACCGTGTGTATGTGTTTTCTTTTGAATAGCAGCATCCTTGCGATGAAGTAGTACATGTCGATGGGGAGCGCGCCGTGGTAGTAGATTATCAGAAACGGACCTTCTGGGATGTTCTCCAGACCTCGGATCTCATAACCTGTGGGAAGAAATATAAGTCTATCATATCGAGTTTTTAGGTTTTCGCGACTGTTATATTAAAAAGAAACTCTTTCTAACCGCCTTAAAAAAGGACCACCCCTGTATATAACCATTAAGTCTTTTTTTGTGAAAACAATTTTGACATACTCATTAATTGAAAGATGTTGAATTTTCATCACCTTGTCCATGTTTTCCGATAAAATTAAAAAAAAAATTAATTCGCACGAGGATGTATTTAATTTTAAATAACAATAATAAAGCCTTTATTAAAGTTACAAATCATAATCGGCGAAAATGTTTTTCTGTGTCAAATTTATAATATTAATGATTTATAAATAAATTATTACACATGTATAGTAAACTCGCTTTTCATTCCTACTTCGTAACCATACTCCTGTATCGAGATCTTAGGTTTTCGCGATTGTTACACATAGGAAATGAAGCTACTTTTCAGGATTTAAATCGCGTATACGTATGTTTTTTCAAACAAACCAACGTTTCGGGCCGTGTACAGTCCTATGGTCCACCGTGACTTGTGGTCTGTATACGCGATTTAAATCCGGAAAAATAATTTCATTTCCTATGCATACCTACTCCCATAATCGAGATACCAATGCTGGTACAAAAATATCAATATGTATATTGCATTTCAACAAAGGTTATTTCAATATAGCTCGAAAACACTTTCTGATAAATACTTTGTTTTTTTTTTTTCAAATTATATTTACAACCTATAGGTACAAGAAAAGTTGCCCTATTTGGTTATTATTGTACTACTTATTACATACATAACCTTTTGTTTTTAAATGTCACATGCATCCTTACAACCAACGGCGTCAGTATGATGTCAGTATAATTTAATACATGTTTATCACTAGTTCTTTTCTCCAGGTATTTTAAAACGATTTTACGCTTCATAATCACTCTTTAGGTCAGTCAACCCGGGACCGTCGTGTTCAGAACTATGTCCATACCATGCCATAGCCACCCATGTGCGTCCCATAGAGCGCAGACGGCCAGTCGAGCTGCTTGCCGCCAGTCTGCCTGCACCCCATTTACAACTCGCAGTCTGCAAAATAACATTAATTTACAATAACGTTATAATTAACTTGAAAATACGCAGATGGTATGAAGGATATACCGACGGTGTTTTACAGAAAGGGCGAAAGCGCCATTTCGAAAAATTTGTCTGGGAAGCATGTTTTAGTATTTACCCCGTTTTAAATATAATTTCAAAACTGAAACTTAATTAATACCGAAATAGAATTTGAAAACAGCCGGGAACATCCAAACTAGCCCCTTTCGAGCGTCAGTGTTTTGCCGTGTCGGCGACAGAACGTCCGCGGCACAACACCAGCGCGGCGTTAGTGAGCGACTATTGGGGGTCTACTCACATTGTCTCCGACTTTCATCAGAAACAATTACTGTGATATACATAAGATAACACTCGACCAAATTAAAAGAAGCATGATGCGAATGAGACTTGATACTTGACATTGTTTTTTTATTTGATCGATTGGACCCCCTGAATAGTGCCGAACGTCAGATATACAACGCGCTGGCGTTACGTCACCGCCGTGCGGACGCTATGACGACGGTATGTAGGCAGTACTTCCCTGGACGAACTCTTTAACAAGGAGCTTTACTTCTCCTAAATCTCACGCGATTCATAGTCTACACAACCACGATACCATTTTTCGCCTCAACGTAATAAATAAATATAGCGAAAAAGTCTGTAATAGAATATGCCTTATGTACAAAAGAAAAATATTGCTTGATTTATAAAGAAATCTATGATCACGCGTGATTCATGCATTTAAATTATTGTTTTGACTTAATATATTAAATCAACATAATAAATTAAGTGAAACTCTAACGAGATAACGTTACAAAATTAATATTATCTTAGGTCCAAGTTTGAACTGGCATTTTGATATTGCATTAACAGTACATTGTAAAGATTACCTTTGATAATTTTTTGAATGACTTTGCTACTGCTTCGTCCAGGGTAGTACTGCCACCTTACCTATTTCTGCCGCCAAGCCGTAATCTCAGTATTACTGTGTTCCGGTTTTGAAGGGTAAAGGTGCTGGTTTCGGGGTGACGGGCGCAGTGGTAGTGCCCCTCAGATCTTTGCGATTTAAAGCTCTGAGTGGCACTGCAACTGTTGACAGGCGTGTCGTTTACCATAACGCACACGACTTGTTCTTTCCATCACTTAGTATCATAAAATAAAAGTGCTAAAAGTCTCGATAGGCCCGGGATTGAAAACATCAGTCTCGAGTCTCGAAAATGCCAATAAAAAAATAGTCGAAATTATTGAAATTTTCGAATCCCTAGTACTTACCGACAGAGCTAAAATATGCTACCTATAGAAAAAAAACTGTTACCGATAGAGCCTGTAGAGATGGAAGATGATGGCGCTGATGTAGATAAGTATGAAGATAAGCGCTGGCAGTAGGAATGTCACGATCACTGGCATCAGGAACCATGTTAGCCATAGACTGTATTCTGTGTCTACGTATTCCACTGTGAACAAAGAAAAAAAGGATTATTTCAATGTTTTTTTAACACCATACACATAATTTATGTGATAGAGATGGGAAATACTGCTTATTTTTGTAAACGTTAAATGGTTGTGCTTTTTTAAAAAAGCGTGCTTTTCTAAACGCTTTTCACGATTTTTTATTTGAAGCTTACAAAATCGTTTAGAAAAACGTCCGCTTAGACTTTTATGTTAAAAAAAGCTTACAACGTTGTGTTGACAGCGAAAGGTTTTAAAATAAGTGAGTTTATTTGTAAAACACGAGTTTTATTTTTATTTATAAAATCATTATTCACATTGACGAATTAATTCGTTTAGGAAACATAGATAGCGGTACTTGAAACATAAGCACGTTGTAAAAAATACAATTGTTGAGTTTAGAACTGACCAACGCTTACGCTTAAATTGAAAAGCGTGCTTATTTTTTAAGTACTTTTCATTTAAACGCCCGCCTCCACACATAAATTTCGATCGTAGAATCTTTAAGCCTCCCTCCTGCAGGCTTAGCATGAGCCTGAAGACAAAAGTTATCTCTTCTTCGATGACAGTTCCAAGAAGAGATAACTTTTGTCTTCGAGAGAAAATTGACATTTCCAAGAAGAGATAACTTTTGTCTTCGGGCTCATGCTAAGCCTGCTGAGAAGGTGTCATTTTGCAGATGTTACCATACCTGTAGATGATTTCTAGGAAATAAAATTGCTCTTGAAAAAATAAATATAATATAACTACATCAGGGTTTCTTAACCAGTGGTACATGGACCCCTAAGGGGTCCGTCTAATGAGCGCCGGAGGTCCATGACGAGCCTACCAAACATGTTGCATTGATATAAAAATTGGTATGCAATGTGTTGTGAGTAAATAGGTGCAGTGCAAGTGACCTTTTCGAATTTTCGCGCCCTTGACGGCTATCCATTTGTTTTAATAATTTCAAGTGACGGGACGAACAACTCGTGCGCCTGATAGTCAGCAACAAACGCCTGTCCATAACAGTTGCAGTGCCACAAAAGAGTAGAGTAATACAAGTGCCACTCAGAAGTTTAAATCGCAAACATCTGACACAGTGACACTGTCACTGCGCCCGTCACCCTGAGACATAAGTTGACAAGTCCCTGTAATTTCACCAGCACTTCCCTTCATTCATTATGAGCAAGCGAGACACGAGTCAATGCAACCCGCGAGCCTTTCTTATTATAGTTATTATTAAATAAATTATAACAAGAAAACTTATTAATCTAAACCTGGGCGACACAACAAAAACCTGCGTAGGTTTATCTGTGCACCGCAAGAAGTTTTTCTCCATCTTTTCGAGTGCTCTTTGAAATTTTGAAAGGGGTCCATGACTAGAAAAAGTTAAGAAACCCTGCTCTACATTCTTATAAGAGAAAAAAATTATTGAGTAAACTATATATTTTGATATCTGATCTGAATTGTTTAGGTCGTTAACGCGGGCCAGGTTAACAAACAAATAGATAAACAAGAAACGCGGCCGCGTACGATGCGTGTGTGGTGTGCTGGTTTCGGTGGTGCCGGCGCCTGCGCAGACGCCGCGTAGACAGCGTAGCGACCTCGCTCCCGGATGTGAATGTCATGGTTCGTATTGGTAACAGTTATTTTATAAATATCGCTCGTGTTTGGCTATCTGAATGAATATGTATGTAATCAAGGAAATAATATATTTACATAGGTAAAGAGATAAAAGTTTTTAGGTAAATGATGCAATACACGTGAAACAAATCAAAACACAGAGTGAATAACAGGCTACCTATATTATAAACTAACGAGATAAAAATGTATTTTTGAATGTCCGCATAATAACATATGTAGGGGCTAGTTTAGCATAACGTATGAAATCCAAGTGCCATTATACCACATTCATATGAATGGTTTGTTTTAATTGGCAGGCACCTATTACAAGTTCATACGTGTGGCGACAACTTTACTGTCGTGGTACTGAAGCCGTTTGATACCATATCAACTAGTTTGTTTATTTCATGTCACCTATAGCGAGTGGTCGAAGGCTGTAGAGGTTTGGATGTCTCATGTGAAGGCGTATAGAAATATAAACGAATCATATAAGGTAGAACGTTGACATAAAAGCCGAAAAAAAACCGAATACAAAAGTCTGCTGACTTGTTCAGTTGGTAGAGTGATGGCCATACTTTGCTACATGGACGCAAGTTCGAGCCCTGTCAAATCGAAGGAACTTTTCCTCGTGTTCGATCTTTCATTCGATCGAGTAATTTCACAAAAAAATCAATTAATATCATGGTAGTAACAACATCATGAAATTATTTTATTTTATTTTTCCATAATAGCGGCCACTGGCGAATGTCAGTTTATCACGATATTCAATAAAATCAACATTAAATTCCGGTCCGTTCTGTATTTCATGAGTCCTTGTTTCCCGAACTATGACATTGGCTAAATGCCCTAGGCAAAGCCATAATAAAAAAAATGACATCTATCGACGAAGAAGCTTAAACACATTTTTAACACAATTCACGGAAAATGAAGTTGACGACAGACTTAATTTCAGTTTAAAATAACCTTTATTATAACTATTACGTTTTTTTTTATAAATAATCGATAGAAATGAAATGTACACTGATAGAGATTTCAAAACCTTTCAAATTGACATATTTTTTATAAAATAGATTTCAAAGATATTTTCTGTACATTTGCCATCTGATGATTCTGTATTATTTTCATAACAGAGAAAATGTAGAAGAATTGTCCCTCTCACTCAGCACAGTTCCTTATATCTTGGTCGAATATATTGTTATAAACAATATACATTTTTTTTATAATATCAAGTGACGGGACGAACAAGTCATGTCAAGCCAGGTGGTAAGCTACACTAAACGTAGTGCTTAAATTCTCTTTGCTTTGCTTTGCAGCTACACGCCTGTCCATAGTTGCAGGACCACTCAGAGCTTTAAATCGCAAAGATTTGAAGGGCACTGCCGCTGCACCTATCACTCTGAGACATAACTTGACAAGTCCCATGTGCCTGTAATTTCACCACCACCCTTACCCTTCAAAATCGGAACGCATTAATAGCCACATTACTGCTTGGCGGCAGAAATAGGTAAGGTGGCAGTACTTCGCTGGACGAATTCTTTCACGAAGAGCTCCATTGCGACTAAAAACTGTTAACTACTTTTTTGCTATATACTGACGAGTAAACTAACATGTGTTCAAACCGACTTTGTTACAACTCACCCATAGATAATAATAACAAACTAGAGTACTTATCGGTTCCAATCCCCATGACCTACGCTCCCAGACGACCGCCAGACATGACCATCCTCACCCGGATGCCACCCGCCCACACTCGCCCACCGCATGTATTCAACAACCATGAACACAATAAAAACATCTTTTTTTTTTAATTCAATTGACAGTTCATTAGACTCTTGGTTGATATGGTGCATCCTGCAACGATAAGTGTTTGTATTTTGAACTGTATGCATTTGAAAAATATAAAATAGAGACATTTTATTTCATTCGTCTGTATTTTGTTGAACGTATCATAAGGATATTCTGCCGAAAAGTAAAGTAGTCATTTTTACAAAACACAGCAGTTTTGTACAGCGGCAGTAAGTGCAAAAAAATGGCAGATTTTTGTAGTTACAGTTTTAACAAGAATATTTTTTTAGTTTAAGTACAAGTACACATTACGATTTGAGTTTCTTAATTATTTGTTACCTTTTTAAGTTGATGTTCTTAATAAATAAATAATAATGCAAAGGGGCAAGACGTTTGTTATTGCGGTATACTACATAGAGTATTCGACATCGAGTATATAACCATAATTGGAGACGAAATGTCATTTAATTTGTTTGATAACTATTTTGCCAAATCATTACTGTGACAACTGCGTTTCTATTGGCCAGCCCGAATTCGAAACAATTGACGGGTGTCGTCAACTTGAGCTTTGCTATATTGGACGAAAATTGCAAAATTACATATTCAATTACCGATGAAATCTGATTCCGTTTCTTTAGAAATTAGATGTTTTGCTGATTTGCCCACACCACCGAATGGAACAGCCCCCATTGTGAGAGATATTATCTTTATTACAATAAATACAGAATATTTTTGGAATATACAGAGACATACACACACATGTCAGTTGTTGGCGCTGTATTATTTCAGTTTTCTAATTTGTGATTTCAGCGCAAACGAGAGTTGATATTTAAAAGTGATATAAGGCCCATTTGTCTGACAAGTTGCGAGGTATGGATGACCCTTATGTCGTCTTTATTTCAGGTTATATACTAGATGGTTCGACCTTTGTATTTATAATTGCAACAAATATTGTTTGTTTTTGGTACATTATGACAAATTTACTATTTCTTTATGTAACCTGATTGAGAGATTAGCCAAAAATAGTATTACTTCAAAGACATGGACGTATTAAATTTTTTTAATGACTGCCAAGATGGATCTATTAAAATTAGAAAAGTCTAAACAGATTTTAAAAATACGGTAATAAGGAATATGTTTTGTCGGTCTTCTGAATCAATGCATTTTCAAAAAGGTTCTGTTTGACTTTTTTTTCTGTTTTATTGACCAGAAAGTGCCTATGTAGAAAAGAGTAGCTATACCTCAGAAATTTTGCTTTTGTCTGTCACAGTGGTATTTACATAACTGCCTAATTACATAGTTTTAGTAGCAGGAGAGCTCCTTGTGAAAGAGTTCGTCCAGGGCAGTACTGCCATCTTACTTATTTCTGCCGCCAAGCAGTAATGTCAGCATTACTGTGTTCCAGTTTTGAAGGGTAAGGGTGCTGGAGAAATCACAGTGACGGGCGCAGTGGTGGTGCCCCTCAGATCTTTGCAATTTAAAACTCTGAGTGGCACTGTAACTCTTCTGGTCAGGCGTGCCGTTTTACAGAAGAGGCACTTGTTCTTCCCGTCACTTGGTATTATAAAAACAAAAGTTATATTTATATAATCTCGCAAATCTACACATTTCTAGG